CTCAATGCTGCGTATGGAAATTTCATTCGTGCTTGTGCCAGTGCTTCGGAAGCAAGACGAAGAGGTTATCGTGTGGCTTGGATGATTGGTTTGCATTATAGAGAAGGTTTGGAACGATTGTTGAAAACGAAACGTCGAGAGGATGAAGAATGGACACATTATGAGAGGGATTTGTTTTATTATACGAGAGTGAAACCAACGTTATTGTCCATGCCTCAATGGATTCATGATTGGTTGGATTCCAATTTTACTATATTTGGAAATGGACAAAAAGATGCGACGGCTAATACGGAAATTCCTGCGTGGGTACCAAAAGTATTGGGAACTCGATTTCTGGGAGATGTGTATTTGGCCATGATTGCCATGGGAATGGGTCACGGAACGACATTACGAAAAATCATTTTCGAACAATTACAAATCATTGAACAAGTTCAACCCATGGCCATGATGAATGAAATTGACATTTCTTCCTTAATTGCCGCTCATTTGGCACAAGTACCCATCATGGAAACATTGTCAACTCCAATTTTGGAAGGACGTCATTCGAGTTACATGTCATATTTTGTCAATTCGGTCGTTTCTCAATTATTGAAAGACATGAATTCGAATCAGGATTTACATTTTGAACAATATCAAACATTGGATGATATTAGGGCAGCTCATTCACATTTAAAAGTGATTTATGCCATTCCTGAATTGGAAAGTGATTTTATTCGAGAACGACCAAACGTTTCATTTGTGGGACATATTCAACCACCGTCGTGTGTGCATGGATTGAAACGCGTCCAAGATAAATTACGAGCATTGGAGGCATTTAAGGAACAAGTTCGAAAACACTATCCCAATCAACGAGTGATTTTTGCCTATTTTGGAAAAGGTTCCGTGGCCTTTCACAAAATTGAAAAAGAAATTCCACTCTTGTGTCAATTGTTAAATTCTAATAATCAGATTCATCAAGAATTAGACCAAACCAAAGAGGACGAATCATCATTGAATACTACAGTCATTCCCTATCATAGTTACGTTGCTCATTCATCCGTTCAAAAACCTTACACTCTTCTCAATTATACTCATTTCAGTAATTGGTACAATGGAGATGAATTGAGTGCCATTAGTGAACTCACGATGAGTCATGGAGGAGCCAATTCAGTCATTCAGAGTCTCTATTTTGGAGTTCCTACATTGGTCAATTCAGGTTACATGTTTGAAAGAGCATTTAATGGATTTAGTGCTCAGAAAGTCGGTGGTGGCGTATTGTTGGATCCTGAAGAGTTTTCACATTTACGAATTTATGAGAAATTATTTGCAAATTCACAAATTTTGAAAGAAATGAAACAATCGCTCAAACCTATTCAATATTCATTGTTGGAAAGGAATGGAGCTGAACAATTGTTGGATGATATGGAAAAGTGGCTTTCTCTGAAACGAAACGTTCCAAATGAATCGACTGAATTTACGAATCATTTGGAAAAACAAATTTCACAGCTGCCAGAACAAGTTCAGAGTTTTTATCAAAGACAACAACAACGTTTGAAATTGGAAATTATTCCACGAATGAAATTATTGATTGAGAAGGAATTGGAAATGGAACAATCATGGTTGGGTTCCATTTACTTGTTGAGACGAAATTATGGAATTTTGATTTTAATGTGGTTGAGTTTGATCTTTATAGTAATTCCAATGACACTGGTGTGGTGCTGTGTGACGAGAGTGACGACAAGTCGTCGCCGTTTTGAGGATTAAGTGTTTTGAATTCATGAGTGTTTACAATAAACCATGTGAGCAACAATCAATGAATCATGTTCATATGAAACGACATTTGCTCACAGAGGAATTTCAACGATGTTTTATCGTTTGTCCACTACAAAAAGAATTCCACAGGATGACTCGACTTGCTGAATGGTCTCTCGACTGACCAGAGTGAACTTCAAATTCACCATGCGGATATTGTGTAACGTCTTACTTTGAGAAAGGGCAGACACTGCTTCCTCTGAAATATCACTTCCTGTCAAACACAACTCTTTCAATTCACCGAAGGCAGTATTTGAGGTCAGTCTCATCTCCAATAGACGTACCCGCTAACACAAGTGTCTTCAAATGTTGAAGGGAGAGAATGGTGGAAGGTTGCAATAATTGGGAAATTTCATCTGTCAAGTCACTATTGTTTGTTAAATCTAGATGTTCCATGTTACCTAAATATTTGCTATTGAAAATGTGTTTCACACTTTCGTATCCAAGACTATTGTTTGCCAACTTGAGCCATGTTAGATGTTTCATATTTGGACTCGATGCAAGATATTCAATAGCATCATCTCGAAAATAATTCGAGTCTACACTTAATTTTGTTAAATTGCAGAAATTGGTAATCGTTACCATGCTGTCCTTCCCAAGTTGATTAAAATCTAGTATCAATGTTCGTAAATTCATGAAAATTTTGCTGTTACTATTCAGAGAAAGAATTTGTAAACTGTTGAAGGCTAAATCTAGTTCAGTAAAGTTTTGTAAATTCGAACTGTCCGCCAAGTATTGAAGGCCCGTTGAGGTATTGATGTGCATGTGTTGTAATTTCAGGATTTGAAGATTTTTCATGTTATCACTTGACGCAATTGCTTTCAAGAATGCAGTGTCATAAATTTCATTCATACTCAAATCAAGAAATGTCAAATTATGTAAATTGGCACCGTATACCAACTTTTCAACGCCATTTCCATCAAAAAGATTTCGTTTTAAAGTCAAAAACTTCAACTTGTTCATGTATGGACTCGTAGCTATCATTTCTAATGCCTCATTATCCAAATCATTCTTTGTCAAATCTAGACTTGTTAAATTTCTAAAATTCGAGTGCATTAAATATTTCAGACCTTCATTTCCAATACTACAAAATCCCAATTTCAAAGTCTCCAGCAGAGAATTACGAAAATATTGACTTTCTCCGATAGCTTTTGCTCCCTCTTCCAACAGGGTATTCAATGTGGCATCTAAATTTCTCAAATTTCTGGAGCGAGGACTAGCTGAAATTTGTTTGAAATGTTCGGCTCTCAACATGCAATGATTCAAATCCAAACTTGTAATGTTATAATAACGATGATCATCATCACGAATATTATTAGGCTCGGAAGGAAATATTTTCAAAATCAATTCTTCGGGCAACACTTTTCCTTTCAAATTCAAACCAAAAGGAATTTTCAAACTCTGTTCATAAAATTGATGACTCACCCGTGAAGCCACCAAAACAAGAAATTTCAAGTCCAGAAATTGCAACACGTGAAAAACAATATCATCAGGAATAATTATCATTTTTTTCCATTTTCAGAAAAATTCAAAAAAAAAATTCTTCAAACCTCTTCACAACTCGGTGATGGCCTTGCGTAAGAAGAAATCCAAGAAGGAAAAGAGTTCCTCCAAGCAAGGAGGCGGCAAGTTTTCCAAGCTTACTTCCTTGATCATGGGAGGAGGCTCTTCCGAGAGAAGAAAACGAAGAATTGGTTTTTCTAAAGTGTTATTGGGAGGAGATGAAAAGAAGAGTTCGTTTTTGGCAAGGCAAATTCAATATTGGCTCCGATCTCCTGATGTATTGAATTTGAATACAACCATGACCACAACGAAAACTCTCTATTCTTCACCCACTTCTTCTACAACGGTTACTATAAGTTTCACTCCAGAAACTTCCGTGGATCAAGATGATTCGGCTTTAACATCGACTACTGAACCAACAACACGACTTTCTACACAAGAAATTTCAAAACTTCAATCTGTACATGTCTTTTCAGCAAATACCAAATTAGTGGCGAGTGCATTGTCTGTTTGGTATGAAATAGTTACATATTTATTGACTCACCATAAGAGAAGAATTATTTTGCAAGAGGATTATTATCCTGAAGGAGGATTGTTGGATTATTTGGCTCGTGTGAAACGAGAAGAAGGATGGCTTGCATTGTTGGGATTTAAAAACGCAGAAAAAGATTTTACAGCATCATTGTTGACCATTGGTGCAGGAATGGCGTTTGAAAAAGGTATTCGAGCTCAAATTATTGATCCTCTTTTGGATTCTGAGAATACATCCATTCCAAATGTTGTGAAGCAATTGATTGCTATTTTGGAACTACCTTTGTCTATTGCAATGACCTATCCTTTTGATCATTCACAACTTGTCATTGTTAAAAAAAAGATTGAAAATGGTACCATTGGTACAAAAGAGAGTGACAAATCCCTTCGATGTATTCCAACTCTAAAACAATTGTACAAGGATCGTGGCCTTGTTCACGGAGTTTATTATGGATTTGGATGGCATGTATTGGAAACTGTCATTTCCAATCTAGTCAGAAGTGGCCTCAAATATGTCACAAATTTGCTCTTGGAGAAGATTGTAGGAACACAGAATTTGGAAATGGCCAAGTCATACCTTCCTGGTGACCAATTATTCACATTGGAAACGACACAAAACATTGGTGTGGAAATTGCCCACGAAGCAATCACAGCACCACTCCACTACACCATGACAACATACAGAGCTGACATGGGCAAGACCTTCTCCAATCCAGTGGAATGCTTTAGAAAAATTCAAACTGAGAGGGGATTTACCACATTTTATAAGGGAGTTTGGCTCGGAACATTGTTCCCTTCATTTGGAAAAAGAAAGTAAATGGTTTTGCCAACCTCAACATCTTATTTGGTGGAATATATTATGTCAAAACTGTTTGGTTTTTATTCTTCATCTTGGAAATTTTCCTCATCCTCTTCTTCGTCACCCTCAGCAATTTCACTTGGCACATCATCTTGTTCTTCCATGTCTTGCTCGTCGTCACTTTCAACGTCTGCTGGTGCGAGATCGTTCTCATCGTTCAAAAGGTCTGGATCTTGTTCAAGTGATTCTTGGAATTTCTTCAAGAAGGCTGATTTTTGCTTTTCCACCTTCTCCTCTTTTTCTCTCTTCTTTCTTTGCACATTTTCTTCTTGTTGTAGTCTTCGTTCTTCTTTCAGCTTCTTCTTTTCTTCACGTTCCTGTCTCTCAGCCTCTTTCACGTGCTCTGGTTTATCTTCAAACACGGAGTGATAAATGGTCTCACCTGCAAACACGCCCTCAACAACTTTTCGTAGTTTGAGAGTCAATCTTGGTCCAACTTCTTCGAGACGAATCTTGACCTTGGTTCTACTATTGGCCTCAAACATGTCATCCACTTCAATTGACTCGGCTTGGAAATTATTCATGGTGGGCACATTGGATGAACTGGCCGATGATGATGGATTCGACAATTGATTCACATGAGTCAATTCGTCAAGTTCCTTCTTGTAGAGTGTCTCCTTTTCAGAATATTGCAAGACTGTCTTTTCCTTAAGTGCAATATCCGCTTCGAGACTCACATATGGATCGGAAAGGTCATCCACCTTGTTGACTTTATCCAATAACTTGTCATCGGCTTTCTTTCCTAGTTTTTGTTTCATGTCCTTTCTCTTTTTATAGAGTGCTTGCAATTCTTCTTTGGCTCGATCGAGTTTCTTTCTCACCTCGCTTAATTTCTTGGAAGCGCTCTTCTTTAACGTATTAGCTCTGAATGGAGTAATGACATCTGAATTTTTCTTGATGCCATAATGTCTCATTTCAATGGTTTCATCCTCTTCATCATAGTTAAATAACACAACTCGTTTCACATGAGAAAGTTTAAACGATTTCACATCCACTGGTGGAAACATATTTTGAAATGTCAATGACATGAGTTGAACATGACTCTCAGTACTTGTAAAGTTATTCAAAATACAAATGGCTGGATCTTTAAAATAACTTGCTTCATCACACGAAATTTGATGATTCAACTCCTTATGGAAGAAACTTCTCAAATTTTTCATGGTGCAATAATTTTGAATTTCAAAAGTCAAAGTAGGACCATTAGGAAGTCTACAAATATTCAAGGCAGCCATAGAAATACTACTGGTCAAGGTTATCAAGTGAGTTACATGAGCTTGTTTGGAAAATTCAACATAATCTACAATTTTTGTAGAACCACTCTCATTCAACTCTTTAGCAGTGTAGGGCATCATGATTTTTCTCAAATCCGAACATAACTGCCGCATAGGCTCGGGTTTATACTTTCCTCTGACGACAATGATGGAACGAGGTACGAAGCAATTTCAGCCTCTTTTAATTCTTCCTTCTTTTGTTTGGCAGATTTTCTAATTTCATCATGGATATTCTCTTGTGCTCGGGTTTCAACTTTTTTCCTCTTTTCAGTTCGGGTCAAGTCTGCAAAGGTTCTTTGGTCTCCCTTTTTTCTCTTTAACATGATGATGGTATGGGATGTTCAAAAAAAATTGGTGTCGTATGATGATGATAATATGGTGTTAATGATATTGTCTTTCCGATGTGTTGATTCAACAATATCTTTTGAAAAAAAAACAATTCTCGCAAAATGAGGTCGATTGCTTATTTTTTTTGAACTTCTGCTTTTTTATTGGAATGCCTCAATTCTCGCTTACTGCAAAAACGGTGGAGATCAATACAACCATACCAATATTTATTGTAAATGAGGATGATTGCTCAACAAGCACGGTCTCTCTTGCCTTTCAATCAATAGCATAGAAATGTTCATACTTTGACATTGAGTTTTTTCATAGCTCTTGAAAGATGTTTTACAATTTCATGAGTGCCACTCAATCTCCACATAATCGGTACACATGATAAACAATGGCATCTTTGGTAATGTTGTACTCGGAAAGTGTTCGATCGTCGTTCAATAATTTGGCACTATAGACGAGTCGTATCTGCTCGGAAGGAATTTTCTCGGATTGAGAGATTTTTTGTTTGATTTCCGAAATGGTGTCATTGAGCTCGCAATTCAATTCGAGAAGTCTACCACACAGGAATTTGATTCGAATTTGCATCTTGGTTATTGCAACGTTCCATCAAAGAGAGATGGTGGGGTGATGTGGTAGCAGGAGGGTTTTTAATTTTTTATTTTATTCTCTCGATCAAGTTCATGTTTCAGGGTGATGAACTTTTCAAAAAATAAGTTCAAGCCAATAATTGAATCTTTGCATTCCACTTACTTGTTGAAATAATAATTTATGGTTCCATGAGAACAAATGAAATAGATTATAAATTAATTCCCACAGATCCAAGTGCATTCACAATCCATTCTGGATATTTCTGCTTTTTAAAATATAAAAACATGAAATCTTTCACAAATTTTTCAAACGATCCATTCACAATTGACTCTCTCACATTTTTCATTAAATTCATTTGGAATGCAATATTGTGATAGGTCATTAATTGTGATCCAGTTTGCTCCACTTTACATAAATTATGTAAAAAACTTCTCGAATAACATTCATCCACCATGCATGAAGATTCCAACTGAGGGTCTAACGGTCCAAAATCCATTCGATATGCGTTCGATTTCACTTTCAATGTTCCACCATCTGCAACTAGAGCTGTGCCAAATCGAGCTGTTCGACTTGGATACACACAATCAAACATGTCTACACCTAGCGCCACACACACGACTAAATCTTCGGGATATCCCACGCCCATGCAATATCTTGGCTTGTTATCTGGCAAGTAATCTGTACACATGGAAACCACCCTCCAAAATTTATCCTTCTCTTCACCTCCGCTCAAACCACCGATTGCATAACCTGGTAAATTTCGTTTAATGAGCCCATCTAGACAAATCTTTCGAAGTCTTTCATCGAGACCTCCTTGAACAATTCCAAATAGATTCTATTGTTTGAATCGTGATATGAATCATGCATTGATGAACAATTTTTCACACAAGGTATGTTGACATGATTAAATTGAATGTTTTGTAAATTCACACAAACATTGCCAATAAAAAAGTAAATTCATGATGAACCCAGTGATGAATGAATCCAAGAGAATATAATCATTTTGACAAAATGTCAAAGACACCCAAGACTTACCTGCTCATGCGGTCTCTTATGACTAGCAATACATCGATCAATCCATCGGAGTGTTCTCCATGTAGCCTCTTCAAATCGGGCCATATCCGTAGAGACTGTACTCACAACATCATCAAGAGCCATCATAATATCGGCTCCAATACTATTCTGAATCGTCATGGATTGTTCTGGAGTTAATAACATTTGACTTCCATCATGAGGTGATTGAAAATTCACTCCTTCCTCTGTAATATCAGCCAAATCCAACAATGAAACCATCTGAAAGCCTCCGCTATCTGTCAATATATTTCTCTTCCAATTCATAAATTTATGAAGTCCTCCGGCATGTTCCAGAATTTCAGGTCCAGGTCTCAATCCCAAATGATATGTATTACCGAGAATAATCTCACATCCGAGTTGTTCTAATTGATGAGTGGTTAAGCCTTTCACGGTACCTTGTGTTCCGACGGGCATGAAAATGGGTGTATTCGCCAAATGATGTGGTAATTTCAATTTTCCAACACGAGCTTTGGGTCCACATCGTGCTACTACTTCATATTCCAAGGCCGAGATGGTATTCACTTGGAAATGAGTGAGTTCAGGTTTGGAAGCATCTTCTGCCGACAAGAGAATTTCTTTCATTTTTTTTTGTGTTCACCCGTTCAACTCAAGATATTGAGCAAGGAGAGGGCCCTGAGAAAAAAGAAACAAGTTGTTAACAACTTTTAACACACTGCATGTCATCTCCTGGAAATCAATTTGACACGAATCAAAGGACAGTTGTTAAATCATGAATTTATAACTCACGTATTTGGATATGTTTAGGTGAAAAACCACAATGGATGTACGGACTATTGATTGAGGAGAATTGTAAAATTTGGACTTGGCTCGTTTGGTTTCAACCAATTAAAGTCGTGAACCTTATTCCACTTATTCTTCGTTTCATCATCGAGAGACATGTCACATGCTTTGAATTGTTCCTGAATTCCTTCGTATGAAAAATTGTATTTTCCAAATTTGAGGCTACTACAATTTTCAATAATAGGATGATTCTTTGGACAAATTAAAAATGTACAATTGACGCTGTCATGAATTCTCAATTGCCAACATGCCAATTGGAATGTACAATTGGTACATTTTGATAAGAACACTGCACCACACACTGGTCCAATACAAATGGTGCAATCTTGTAAATTTGAAATATATACAGCTCCAATAATATTTGTAATGAATAACGTTTGATTCACTCCATTACAAATTGCAAAACTTTCCTTCTCTTTCGTAGGTACCACATTGTGAATGGTTGAATTTGAATTTTCAAAATTACTCAAATCAATGACTGTCTTGTTGGTTTCTGGCAATTTCACATTCGAGGATGAGCTTGTTGTGGCTGTCAAATCATCCGAAGATGACAATGATGGAGTTAAAGAAGATGCTGATGATACAGGTGTCGAAGGTGTGGATGCATTGGATGACGGATTTGTTTTCTTTTTAAACGAAAAGACCTTCTTATCCTTTTTCAATTCTTCCTGCATTTTCTTAATTTTTTCATCTGCTTTCCGAACATCATAATTTGGAAGATAGTGTACATGTTGATTCAAAAATAGTTGTAATTCATGAGCCGACTGTTGTTGTTCAATTCTCTCATTAAATTCCTTCCAAAACAGTGCTGGATTCTCCTTTTGCTCTTGAGCTCGTTTGCTTTTCATTTCTTCGCTACGTTGTTGCATTCGTTCAAAGAGTTTGTTCCGTTTTGCCTCCATCTCGGAAGTCATCATGGAGGGTTCCGAGTCTATTTGTTGCATTTGTATTTTGGTAGATAATCTTGTGAATGATTTAAAACAAAAGGTCACGCGGCTCTGTTGTTGTATTTTTTTGTTTGAACAAAATTTGAGCGCGAGATGAGTGTTTAAACACACTCTCACCTCGATCAAGTGAAACACTCAATACAGGGTTTCTTATTATGAGGTTTGAAACACACTAGGCAATGATGGCATATTGCTTCCAAAACTTGACCGATTCCATATACTTGTTTCGATCCAAAGGCACTCCTGAACCTCCTTCCTCTTTACCCAATGCATTTCGCATCATGGTAATTGGAGACATGGGCAATTCATAATCCACATCTTGAGATTTGACTGAAATAATTCCCCATTCACAATCTGCAATCTCGAGTCTCTTTTCATAATCACTTGGTTCATTCATGGCTTCTGCTTCTTTCAATATTTGCTCTTTGGAATACAAAATAATATCCAAATATTTGGCTTGTTGGATTTGATCGGAAACTAATTCTTGAGGGAAAAATCGACTCAATACAGGCAATTCACTTTCTTTTCGTTGTTGATATTCGGTTCGGATCAAATGTTCATTTTCTTTGGTAATTTCAAGAAAACTTTGCTTACATCCTGCAAATTCGGAATTTTGAGGTAAAAACAAGTGTTTACAGAAAGGAGCATAACCATCTTTTAAAGTGTATTTGCCGCTTGAAAATTCTTTATTGACATATTCTTCAAAGGCTTGCCAAGACATGGGAATGAAAGTACCTCCCTTGTAACCTGTTTGAAATTGTCGAATGGCGAAGGAATCCACATAAAAGACTCGTTTCATTTTTTTTAATAATTTAATACTTTTGTTTAATAATAATATTCTATTGAAAATTCAATTTTCATGGATGTTAAAACACTATTAAATACTTCACCATTGATAACAACAAATTTCTTTTTAATGCAGTAAATTTTTCGAGCAGTTAATGTCAGTTGTCAGTAGTGAACAATTTCTTTTCAAAAAAAATGTTTAGCAGCAAAAGCGAAGAATACAGACGCACGTCTGTGGTCGATCAAATCCTCATGTCCCGTCAATCACAAAAAGAACAACTCTCTTCACTCATCTCCTCTTCCACAAGTTCTCGTTATTCCACTTCTCCGAATAATAATTTTCTCTCCATGATGACAAGTGGCAGCGGAGATCAAACACCACCTACAAATCCCGAATCTCCCTTCTCCATGCCTCTTCCCATCAACAATGAAGAATACAATGCCATGATGAATGAAGCAGCTGTTAGCACTTCTCCGACACTCAATTCAAATACTTTACAATTTATTGGAAAACAAGACGAGAATGAAGAAGAGAATGTTTTTGTATCCATTATTAAAAAATCTTCACAACAGAATGCTATTGAGAGTATTTGCCGATTATTGGAGACTCCACAAGATTTGGAAAAACTCGCAGATTTGAAATCCAATACACAAAAACAAGTTGAAAAATTGGAAACTCAAGTATCGACCTTATCTTCGACACAAATTGAAGAGGCAGATCAAGCCATTCAATTAATGAAAAGAATTCGAGGAGATGTGAGAGAACAACTTGACGAACGAGTGGAAAATTCTATATTTGGATTGATGAGAGATTTGGGTGAAAGTAACATGCAATTGATTGAACATTATGATGTAGTGAGTGAAATTCTATTGGCACACAATAATGTGCGAAAGACCATTGAGAAATTAGAGACATTGACTATATTGCAAGATCAAATTAGAAGAATTAAGAAGAAATTGTCGTATGAGAATGATAAATATGTGTTGAGTGCACATGAAGGTAGGTGTGAAATTTTTTGTGTGTGAAAATGTGAAAATGTGAAAATCATCATGTTGTTGCGTTGTTACAATACAACAACAAACTATTGGTTTATGTTAAAAAAATATAATATTCAGATATTATTGCATTGGAAGAAATTAAGGACGATGCTCTCTCTGAAGTGAAGGCAAAAATCACTCGTTCCGATTACAATGACATTTTTGAAAAATTTTTCAACATGATTGACGACATTAGAAATCGTTTTGAAGAACTCGTGTGGCTTCGATTGTCCGATATTGAATACGTTGCAGAAAATGAATCAGAAGCCATTGTAAGAATTGCTAGAATTATTGAAAAAGAAGAAAATCGAGATCAACGAAAACAACTCGAATACGAAGACAAACTCGAAGAAGCAAAACGAAAAAAGAAACAAGCTACTGGTAACAAGAGATTTGCGGATCAAAAAAATAATGACGACTCGGAAGAAAAGTTGATTTTAAAACCCAAACTTCGCAACATGAAAGAAGAGTTTTACAAGAGAATGCGACAACATGTTGCTGACAAGTATAATGAAGCAGTTCATGAAGCAAAAGGCGCCGACGATAAAATTCAAGGCCTCAACATGTTACTCAGCGACAAGTTAAATGTGGGTGTGACACGTTATGTTGTGACATGTTTTCCATCCTCTTGGAATATTTTACAATTTTTTTCACAGGCCTATGAAGAGGAATTAATCAAATTCATTCAAGGACTCACACAACCAAAATCTCCATTTTACAATAGCTTGTCCATGGGTGACAAGTTGAAAATTGTTCGATGGCTCGAAGATTATCCAAGTCTAGTCGATGAAGCGATTGAAAAGCCCTATGATTTTTCAACGGATCGAAATCGAATTATTGGAGATTATATTGGTACGAGATCAACGTTCATGATTGAATATACAGGAAATACTGTCGCTCAGGACTTTAAAAACTTTGAAGAAGTTCCACTTAATGAGAATGCAAGAGGATTTCCATATACAGCAGCGTGTGTGGAAGTTTTCACATTTATTAATCAACAATTAGATGAATTGCTGGAAACGGGAATTGATGACATCATTCCAACATCGATCAGTGGTTTAAATGCTGCACTAAGATATTTTATTGATGCATCGTATCAGAGATTTGAAGAACACAGTAAGTAGATGTTACATTTTTATACGACTTTTTCACTGAAATATTTTCACACACCATTTGATAGTCACCGAAATTCCACTCGTCGTTCTGTGTGCTCTTATGAATAACAACACCACAAGTGTCGATTATTTGACTGTGATTGAGCAGAGAACCGAACACCTTGTAGCAGAAGATTACAACGCTTTACGTGAACAATTTCGAAGGAATGGCATTAAAATGGCTGAAACTGTTGCAGAGCAAGTGGTCATGAAAGATGCTCTCACACTCATGAAAGATCTTTTCACAGATTATTGGATTACTGTTCCTGAAGAAAAGCTTGAAAAAGAAGAGCTCATAGAATATCTCAAAGAATGTCCAGTTTACAAAATTGTGGAATTAATTTTCGAACCATACATGAGAGATTTTGAAGAATTGTTGGAAATTGATTTTAGAGATGTTTTGATTGAAAAGCTTGCAGAGTTATTCATTGGTGGATATTTGGAAAAATTATTGAACTCGAAAATCAAGTTTAAAGAGCCCAAACTTGCTGCCAATCAAATGAAAGAAGACATTCGATTGATCAAGAGATTATTCACGGCTGAGGTGACAATTAAAGTTGAAGAGAAGGAATTTAATGAGCCAAGAATGGATACGGATGATTTCAATGAATATTATGAGGCGATGAAGAGTGTCTTCTTGCATTTGAAAGCGTAAGTGTCACGTGTCATGAATTCTTTTGAATGATATATACCAAATATTGAAATTTTTAACATGAATGATTTCACTCCATACAGAAAAACACCTGAAGACGTCATGAAAAATATCAAAGCCATGTTTGATGTCTATGACGACATTTCCATTGATTTACTATATGTATGTGTCAAATCACAAAATTATTTGTGCATGATTATTTTATTTCATTAACCTTATTTGAATTTATTGAAAATATATAATTTCTTTAAAAAACAGAATCTTATTGCACTTCGAGATGATTTCTCCAAAAAGGAACGTCAAGAAATGGAACAAAAACTTGAAGTCATGTACAGTGAATACGAAGACAAGGTCAATCCAAATGCCAAACTTTCCATCTTTGGAAAAATTGATAAAACTCCACCCAACAAGAGACGTAAAACCAAAAAGTCGAAAAATATCATGTATTCAACCAGTGGTTCAGGAATGCAAAATTCATCAGGTAATTCCTCTCAGAATGCATTGTCAGATTCTCGAAGTGGAGGTGCCACCTCTAAAAACAATCCAAAATATGAAGTGCCAGAAGGTGCTGTCAATTTGAGCGAGTTATTGGGAGATGACAAATTGGATTTCTCATTTGAAGATGACGAAGATGAAGATTATCAAAGCGATTAAATTGTTAAAACCAATTTTTTGTTTGGACACATTTTCATGGTGGAAGAAATGCATTTGAATATTGAATCTCTTGTCGTGAGGAGAAAAAAAAGAATCAAAGTAAAAAACATTTGGTGATAGTCGGGATTGAACCGACGACCAATGGCTTATTAGACCAACGCTCTACCGACTGAGCTATATCACCTTCACATTAAAAATAACCCAACGAATAACACTTTCATAACTACAACCAACTTCAAGTTCATGAGGCTCTTCTTTGTTGGATGGAAGCAAAATTTTGTTTAGAAAGATAAATTTAACATTTGAAAAAATGGTGTTGACAATCTCGAATTACAGGATCAAGGGATTGGCCTCCATCTCTTTGATCATTCTTGTTCTGCTCTTTACCATGATCACGATCATGAATGATTGTTCCATCATCTTTGCCCAATCCTCGGACACGACAGATTCACCTTCTCCCCTTCCTCATCTTCACGGTCATCATCACGATCATTTCAAAACTGTGAATCCCTCCACCTCCTCTTCATCAGCACCATTATCTGATTCTCAAGAATCTTCCTCTTTACTAGCCAAATCTTTAATTGAAGACCGAAAACAACGAAAGGAATCACTTTTTACAGTATCGGAACACATTCAACAATCCTTTCCTCTCATCAAACCCATGACTCAATATGGAGAAGGAGTTTTTGAGGAATATGTAAGAACAGCTCTCATCTCATATGCTTGTTTTACTGTTGCTTACTTTGTCTTTCGAATTTTAATCATTCCGTTGTTGTTGAAATTCGGAGGACCTTCCTATTTGGAATATTTTGAAAAAAATATTACCTTGTATGAACAGGCTCATCATTCTCAAGTCGTGTTGAGTTTTATACATGCCGTGATTGCAACAGTGGGATCGTATTTTTGTACGATTCATTTGTTTGGTTTGGATATGTTACATTTCGGATTGGAGAGTGCTTTGAATCAACCGTATGATCTTGAAATTTTCAAAACTCGACACACGTATATTGCATTGACTTTGGGCTATTTTGTTGCAGATTTAACGTTTTACTTTTTTAATCATATTCATCCATTCTCTCCGAATAGAAAGAGTTTGAGGGAAGTTTATTTGAGCATGAAAAAGCAAGCACTTGGATTGGATCTGTTGCATCATTACATTTCATGTATCGCATATATTTTCTTCTTCTCCCTCAATGCTGGAAGTTTTTTAATTATTTCATTTGAAATTAATGAAGTGTCGACTCCTTTCCTGCATGTTCGATACTTTGCAAGACAATGGAAACAAACCAACAAGTGGTGGTATCATTTGAATCAGGGATTATTTGTGTTGACATTTTTCCTTTCTCGCATTGTGTATAATGGTATATTGATGTGTTTCGTGTTGTGGTCACGCTTTACATTGGGACATTTCACATCCTTTGGACAGCTAATTCTGTATTATTTAGTTCAATTGTTGTGGTGGTTCGCCATTATGAAAATTATTCTCAACAAGATTAGGGGAGCAGAAAAGCACAAGGAAGAGTAATACGTACAAATTCACAAACATGAAATTCTCTGAATCATTTATTTATTTCGCATTAATTTGTATCACTTTGTAAATTGACCATTCTCGACACAGAGAAGGAATTATTAAATCATTGAATGCATAATACTTTCAGTCATATCCATGAAATCAAAAAAGATATTTACAAGGTATAAAGTGAATCATTCCATGTTCAAAACAATATCTGAAAACAATCCCTGGTGACTCTCGGTCCTGTTGTTCACCATGATGAAGGGTCTTTTACAGTCACTGCACTTGGAAAATAACTCTCGTCGAACTTCATCTTCTTTCTTTGCTAGTTTTCCAGAAATTCGATCTTCAAAATAGGATTTTCCTTCAAGTAAGTGATGGGTAAAGTTATACATGTCACTCTTGCTTGAAAAATCATTCACAGTGAAAAACAACAGCTCGGGAGATGACGAACCATTGATCGAGTATTTTGAAATAATTGGAGAAGAACTAGCCGAGACATGTTCACTGTTTGCCATCTTGTTCAAATTATTGCTCGACAACGAGTAACCATTAACACCGTTGCTTTGAATAAATTGAGCCACAATAAATTTGAAAACTGTCGTTGGATTTCTAGTGTCTCCTTTCAAAGATTTTTGTAAAGAATATTCTCCTCGAACTACTTTGTCACAAAATAGATTGCTTTCTGTAAAGCAAACATAAATCTGGGTTCTATTATTTGCAAGAAATGTATTCGAGTTGCTTAAAGAGGTATCACTAAAGTATTGCGTTATTTCGTTAAAAGTATGTAGAGCCGTTTGCAATGAATGTTTTTCACTTGAAATTTCATCCAACGAGAAGATGATTAAAAATCCATCCACATTATTATACGATCGTAACCATTTTGTCTTTTCACCTCCAATAGCTTGTGAAATTCTATTAAGCCAACATTCACTTTCAACATTAAAATACAAACCTGTAATATCAAGCACAGAAAACACTGTTTCCAAACTTGTCCAAGCCAACTGATTCTTAATGAATGTACTATTGGTTGTAGGTTGGCGACGATACCAAAGTTTCACCTCATTGATTCTCGAGTTTCGTTGCATGGCATGTGTCCAATCTTCCACGGTCCATTCATGATTTTCCATTTCTTGTATCTTGTTCAAAAAGTACTCGGCATGTTTACACAATTGACCATAAATGTCTTTCTCATCATCTTGTTTGTTTTGTTCTGTTGTTCGAAGGTTGCAATTCTCCTGAATGGTCGCATTTAATTTCTGTGTGTTCATCAACGAGTGATATCCTTCTTGTATATATTCACTCTTCCAAAGACGATCCAAAAAGAGTAGCGTTTCGGAATCAAAATTTGCATTGGAAAGGAGAGTTGGATCCGAAGATTGTTTCTCGGTTTCATCCAAGACCTTATTTTCCTCAATCTTTGATGAATTCATCTCCTCTCCAGAAGATCTTAATCCTGAAGAATTTCGGACAAGATCTTCAATCCAACGTTTTTCTTTTTCACTCCATTTGTTTTCAATTTCCAAGACTTGTTGTTGAATATTAACAATTTCCGAGCTAGCTTCAGCTGTTCTTGGATCCGAGCTAGCAACTTTTCTCGGATGATGAAGAAGGATGGTTCTCAGACAGTGCGTACATAATGAGAGAATTTTTTTTTGAATATGTTCGTACTCCATCTTGGGTAAGTATCTCTCCATCCAATATTTCAGAATATGATCTTTGTAAATTTCAATATTGCCAAATTTGCATGAAAGACGAAAAAGGTCAATAAATAAATATTTCCAAAAACAGAAAATTTGACACCTACCACTGTAGTGACCATGACTTCCATATACCATCATCATGATCATTTTATGTTTCAAAACGTGTTGCATGGATGATGAATGTCCCAATGGATGAGATCGAGGCCATTCCATATCACTTGAAAGACTTGAAAACCACTTTCCTTCATGATGCGTCTCTTCTTCTTCGCGTGATTGAATCAAAGAAGGAACATTCGGACAAGTAACTGCTCTTCCTCGAGGTGAGGATGCCCAAGAGTGGATATTCTTATTGGGAGAATTTGAAATTGTTTTTTGGTGGAACAATGATGATGAAGGACTACCAAGATCCAGGGAATGAGGAGACATGGTAGTGGGAGAGGATGAAATTTGGAGGTGCTGTTTGGGAGAGGAAGATTGAAAATTAAAAGTTGGATCTTCCTTTTCATCCGAGTGAGGGAGAGGCATGATATCTTCTCCAAAGAATAAATGTTTGGAAGGACTTGCGTTCAGATGATGATGCTGCGGCTGAAGAAGTCCAGGTGAGGTGGCTGAAGAGCTGGCATTGGGTGAATGAGGATGGTGCGAAGACATGGAATGTGGTTGACCCATTGTGAATGGATTGTGTGGTCAGAAATCAAAAGATTGAAAATAGAGGCGGGTTGATGAACTCTTCTTTTTGTGAGGTTGAATGCTGTGATCATGCGGGGTCATTGGTGCCGTTGAGCTGTCATTTTGGATGAGGTACAATAAAGGAAAATGTTTGGTAGTGAGACAAAACCAAAGGTCATGTCCACCAAAGTGTCAAAGAAAGGACAAGTAGCTCATTTTTCCATCACACAGGTTTGGGCTAAATAAGAACCTCACAAAAAGCATTTGGCCCAAACTGTCCTTCATGCTTGTTGCTTTAGAAGGAATTGTAATGTTACGATTGGGGTACAAAAAAAGATGCAAGAGAACCGGCAAGTGTTGAAACTTCAATCTCTTGAAAAGAAAGAGCCTCACCAGTAGTGGTTGTTGCCTGTTCAGCATGAGGCTCAGCTTCTTTAGCAACCTGATTGAGAGTGGTGCTGGTTTCGCAAAAAATTTTCCTCCCCCAAGTGGGCTCGAACCACTGACCTGCAGATTAACAGTCTGACGCTCTACCGACTGAGCTATGGGGGAATTCACAAATAATGACCAAGTTTCTTTCATGAATTAAAACTGGGGTGAAGAATGATAACAACTTTGATCAAACAAACGCAAACGCTTCATACAATAAATTATTCCAATGTACTTCATTTAATCAAATGTTTATTTTGAAGCGGTATCGATGGAGAATCGGACCTGTTGTTGGCTAGCAAATCATGTAGCACTGACACAATAATTGTGTTTGAGGTGTCGATTTGTTCCATCAGCTCCTTTTGGTCGACTTTAAGTCCTTGAGATCGTTGTTCAAAAGTGTCCTTGATTAATTCAATGCTCCCCAAGCTAGCCATACACGCCGTTCGTAATTCATGAGAAATGAGAGCAATTTGAGCATCTCTCTGAGCAATGGATTCTATCAGGACTGCGTTGGCTTGATGTAATTTACAAAATCGTTTCGTTGAGTATTCAGAAAATCCAACTGTGAGCAGAGAAAAGCTCGTTATGGAGAAAGTTAAAAGGGTGTTCTGAAATATCAAGTTAAAAGCAAAGATCATGGATGCTACAAATAAAAACTTGAAAACATATCGAGGACAAGGAGAGGTAAAAGAAGGAATCAAGGATGGAAGAGTGTTTGAAGAAGTGGCCAAGGACGGAGAGATCACGTCTTCAGAAGCGGTGTTGTTGCTGTTGTTAGACTGGGAGGAATCGGTGTATGGGACGAGGGAACTGGCTTCTGGTTGTGTGGTTGATTGAGTTGGTAACAATTCGAATGGCGTTTGATCTTCATCATCCTCACATGACAAATCTAAGGTGTAATGAATTTCCGAAGTTTGATCAAAATCCTCATCACGGTGAGGTGAATCTTCGTTGTGTGGCTCCGCATCCTCTGAAGTGGTACTGTTCGTGGTTTTGGCTTTCACAGGTGGGAACACATAACTGGATAAATCTAAATTATCGCCTCCTGAAAGGTTGGAGTAGAATCGTTTGCTGTAAAAGCCGTTGCAGCAAGGGCAACAGTCAGTGGCAGTATGTGTGTTGGAGGTTGTTACTACTTCTGTGGTGGTTGGGGGTAAAGTGGAAGAGGAAACATTCATCATCATGTTGTTTGAATGTTTGATGTGGAGTTCAATGCAAGTTGAGTTGGTTGTGCTAATACTTCCTTGGAGTCGGGTGAACGCGTTTTTTGATTTTTCTTTTTACTGTGTTGGTTGATTGAACAGTTTTTCATAATAGCCTTTTTAAAGATTACATAGATGATGCGTTTCCAACTCCTCCTCACGGTTCAGTCCTCGGATGAATTACAAAAACAGGGAATGGTTTGAAAAAGGTGAGAATTGTTGCATGAGGTACTCAAGAATTTTACTCACAAATTCCCCTCATTTGGAAATTTAAGTACGCCTATTCAATCTTTTAACAATTAAGGATGAAAGGATTTTTGGCTTGGATCAAAAATGGAAAGAATCTTTTCTTGTCGCATTGATATTTATCGCTTTGGATGACGCTGAGTTCATCAAAACCTTGTGCAATTGGTATCGTCAAACTTTTGGGTTGAACCATTTCTAGCAAGTTCGTTTGAAACAAGAGAAATGGCTATGCCACCAATACAGAACAAGTCATTGTTATGCACTAGTTATAGATGAGTACAGGCTCGATCAAGCATGTAACCCCATGAAGAATATTTCTGGCTTTTAAACGCATCTTTGCCAAAAGAGATCCTGTTGTGAGGAACATGCGTATAATCTAGGGAACACTCAGAGTGGATTCAAATTTTGAGGATAATGGATCCATCTTGAGCTCAAGATTGGAACTTGTAATGGGTTTCTTCATGTTTCCTGAAATGATGAAAATAAGCATCATAACAATGACAGCTACAAAGTACGCTAAATTGGACGAATACTTTGAAAAGAATGAATGTTGCCAAATCAATCCGTCTCATCCAAATCCTTCATTATTACTTGTTTTCGTAACTCTCTCACATTATGTCCTTAAATTGCTTTGGGATGATAGAATCAGAGTTTTAGCCAGTTAGGAAAAACCAAGAGGATGGACAAAAGGGACTGGAACAAGTTCTACTAACTCATATAGTTCAAACTTGCGGTTGTATGAACTGTTAACATTAAATACTTCCATTCTTTTCATTTGATTGCCGAGTGTTCCTCCAAATGTTCTAACGGTGACTTTCATGAAGGAAATGAAGTACTGTAATTAATGTTATGTCATGTGCCACTCCAACACTCAACCCGCAGAGCATTTCAATATTTTAGAATCTCGATTATGAACATTGTTCATGACTATTTTATAAAGCTAGAATATCAGGTGATTCAAAACAAGTTGAAAATCAAAGTTTCAGAAAGAGCTAGAGACAAAGTCTCAACATTGTTTCTTGTTGGCACAGTGTATTTTGGCTCTGCAGATTTTTTTAAAACTGAAAAAACAAAAATGCCATTCCAAAACACGGAAAAGTAAGATTTTCATTGTTATTGTGCTCATCTGGTCATCATGAACTCATCACTTTTTTTAAAATTATGGAATTCATTCTCGGGATGATCGTCTGTATTATAAAAATTTATATGAATGTCTGTCACAATTTCCGATTACAAAATGATAATATTTACACATGGATATTTTTCGAAAAATCAATTCGTTATTGTTGAATCATTTCTGATTTATAGATTCAGGACAGCGGTCGCACTGATGAATTCTATTGACCCACCACAACTCTTCTACAAATTTCTCAATCATATATTGTTGAAACACAAAGTTTCGGAAAATCAAGGATCTACATTCACGGAACAAGAAAGAGAACGTCTCTTGGAAACATTTCCAATGATTAAGAATGATAAACAACTGGTACTGCTCATTGATGGTTGTAGCTATGTATTTGAACAAGCTCTCTATAATACTCTCAACCCCGAGAAGCTCTTCCAAGAATTGATAGACTCACAAAGTGGAATTTCTGAAACACATGCCCAAGCATTCCAAGAAGTGTGGAGAAAACAGGGCAGAGAATACATGAGTAGTGCTAAAGAACATACTTTGGGCGGACCAGTGAAATTGGATCACTTTGATTGGCGTTTACAAATGCAAATTTCTGAATCTGACTTGTCCAAAATGAAAATTCCAAACGTACTCTTTGAATTTACGACATTGGATTATCAAAACAAGGATCGTGAAACAAACAAACCAAAAGAAGAAAATATTGTTGTGGAATTTACACGAGATGAGCTTTATGGATTTTTCACCAAATTGGAGGCCATCCAAAATCAATTGGATAAACTGTCCTAGATGAATGTATTCCATTTGTATATTCAATCATGATAATAATTTGTTAATATTAACATGTAGTGTGAAACATTTAACATTTTCCTTGTCTTGAGCATCTGCAACAAAGTCTGTAGCTGTGTTTTGTTTCAATCATGAATTTCCAACAATTAAAAAATGCAGCCTTCATTAAACCCTACCACTTCATTTCAAACAACAACAACAACACCAACACCACTTTCATCATCATCAATGATCATGGGAAATGTTGGATCGACAACAAGTTTCGGAAGCAGTAAAAATTCGTCGAGCCCTCTCGCAACCACTATCTTTGAAACGTCCTATGATTTCAGCAAGAGTGTCGGACTGCAAATCAAAAATCTGGTACTCACTCTTGATAAGAATAATTACCGAGGAAATGTATCGGAAATTGAAAAGGTGAGTGTGAATAGGCAGGAGTTTTGATGGATCGAAAAATTGATATCATCCAAACATTTATGTGTTCGAATTTATCCATTGTTTGTATAAACAAAATGATATTTTATTATTGGTGGTGATGACAACGAATTGATGCTTTCAACTTGACACATATTTCAACGATGAACATAATGATATGGTGACATTCGAAATTGTGTAATTTTGTCATACCACAATTTCTTGAAAACTTGTTATTGCACTTGGATTAATATTTCAGATTTTAAAACAATACGGATTTGAAGCGTACCGACATTTTCTTACAACTCTCCTTTCCTCTATCAATTTTTACAACATTACACAAAAAGACAAATCAAAACTTCAATTATTGAGCCAAGAATTTGCCAAATTGACCACTCAAACCAATTTTACTTCCATTATTTTGAGAGCCTTTTCAGAAGGAGTTGAGAATGGACTAAAAGTTGAATTTATTTCACAATTTTCTCGTACCCTCAATTTACCACTCTCACAACAAGTATTATTGGGAATTGCTTTGGCAGAGTCTCACTCTCCTCTCATTCAAAAAGAAGGTATGTGTGTTAAAGTATTTTTCATTGTGTGTGGCTAATCAGCTTGTCCATCCTCCTGAAACTGGCTCATGGTTCATTGACACCATGTTGTGCCAATACATCTATTTCTTGTATGTACCTATGAAATGGTATGAATGGGAAACGCCAACAAACAATTAGGCTTTATCTTTCTCAAAACCAAACTACAAGAAATGCTCAATGATGAAGGTCTTGTAGATTTACTTCCAGAAAATCTTGCTCACAAATTTTCTCATTAGTACAATGGGCAAGAATGAATATTTCAGCTCTGATGAAATTGAAAAGCTCAAGGCCCATTTCATGAGAAGCTCATCCTCCAGTGCTGTGAGCACGTTGTTGGCCACCGGTAACAATGGACACAATCCATTACCTCATCATCACCACCAACATCCAGTGAGTCTTCTTCCTCTACTTCTTCCCTCCAATGGCCAAACCTCTGCTACTACTGCTATGAACAGCAGCAACGCCATTGCTACTTCTTCAATCTCCACGCTTCATCTGCTGAATGGAAATCATTCTGTTGTGAATGCGGTAAGGTAAGTTTTGGAATTCGGCATCTAATTTTTATTTTTTAAAAAAAATTCTGTGCTTTACTACAAATCCCGCTTCATCCTCTATTTCCTCTCATCATCAACCCATTCTATTCTTCTTTTTGAATAATCATCATCTTACCCTATACCTTGAAACAATCCTAATTAACAACAAAAATGGTACAAAAAAGGAGTGAAATTATACAACAACAACATCAACAACACAAACACTCAGAATTCTCGGACTCCAATCTGGTTGCTCTCGTTAAAGATTTGGGTTACACCATCATGTCCACAGTGGACGCTTTCAGCAGAGTGGTAGAGAATTGTTCCAATCTGAACGAACGAACTGTTGGAGAGTTAATAGGTATGATGGCCATGAATCATACCGGACTACAAACTCGAGCTGATAATGGCTCTATTGTTTCCTTCCTTCAATCCATAGGCTCTTCAAAAGTAGAAATCAAGGAAAACGCATCATCATGGAATCTCGATAACTTCGTAACGGTCATGAAACAAAAAGACCTCAACTGGAAACAAGTCGTAGCATGCTTGGACCATCCTGGATTCAAGTTAAAGGATCAAAAAGGCCTCGCAATGATCGTTACTATTTACAAAAAGATTACAGGAGAGAAGCTACCACTAGATGTTTTCGTTTGCCGAAAGTGGAACAACAATGATGCTCAACTTTCCTTCATTCTTCTCGCTTTGGACGCTCCACCTGACATTATTGACTTTTCATCAGATAAGCTTCGTCATGTCGACATTTCCTTCCTTCCTTCTCACAAAAACCAAAACACAACATGGGGAACAATAGATTTAGTAGAAACCTTGTTAAATTTGGCTGATATCGAGAATATTAATGCCATCAAGAGGTTATTTGAAGCTCCCATGAAACAATGTCCAGAACAATTCCTATTGGCTCTTGCTCAGTGTAATCCAATCAACATTTTACTTCGCCAAGAAGTGATTTCACAGATCGTACCCATCTTTGTCAAGCCACACAAGAATTCATTCTCTGTGCTCCACAAATTCTCTGAAGTGAATCAGCCATTACTCATTTCCACTCTTTCGGAAACATACCGAAAAGATCCCACACAATTGAGAAGGATTTTAGACATTGCTCAAGAATTGAAGATACTTGATGCTATTCTAGATTCAAGACCATTCCGGTTTGCCATTGAAATTGCGATTTTGGCATCGAAGAGAGACCATCTTAACTTGGAGTTATGGCTTCTCAACAATATGGAACGTCATGGCAATGAATTTGTTCAGGAAGTCATCAACTATTTGACAGATGCCATTCCTACTCTAAAGGACAAGACTTCTCAGCAACAGGCAACCTTCACTTCTGACACTGCAAAGATTTTCTTCAAGTGTCTTGACAAGGCCAGAAACTTGATTGTTGCAGAAATTTTCGAACAAGCATACCAATTGTATCAAGCATTGGACGAGAATCTCAAGCGAGAAATTGCAACAACCGAGTTCCAACTCTCTCCAGAGATTGAAACCAAGACCAATCAGTTTTTCCTTTCCATGTTCCATGGAGAAATTACAGTAGAAGTTGGAGTTGAGAAACTAAAAGAAATGAAGCTTTCAAAGACCAGAGCTGACCAAGAAATGTTTGCCTGTGTGATTCACAATCTATTTGATGAGTATAGATTCTTCAGTCAATATCCTGAAAATTCATTGAGAGTGATGGCCAAACTCTTTGGACTAATTATTCAACATAATGTCATAGTTGCCAAAACACTAAAGTATGGCCTAATTTGTGTTTTGCAAGCTCTTTCGAGCCCTGACATCAAACTTTTCCAATTTGGTCTCATTGCATTGTCACAATTCAAAACTAGAGTTTCTGAGTGGCCACAGTTTTGTGCTCATTTACGTACAAAGATTCCACAAGCTTTCCAACACATTCCAGATCTTGCTCAGTATGTTGCTAAAAGCCTCAGCTTGATTGAGACTCAATTACCAAGCGATCAATATGGAATGCCTGGTATTCAAAATACTGCCATTTCTTCCCCTCCAACATCCATCTCTCCTCAGCCAAATGTAATGCAGCAACAATTTGGCACTAGTAGTACCTTCCAACAACCCTCCATTAGCACCACACCTCCTCCCCAAATTTCTACTTCTCCAACCCCTCAAATTCCTCCATCAGCCACATTAACACCAACAACTGATCCGCAAACACCAACTAAAACCAAAAAAGACGAAGAGAAGGATAAGGCCTCTCCTGGAATTGGCTTCCAGTTGGATATCAGTACTCTGACTAAAAACGTTACAACACAAGAAATTGAAGCTCCAGAGCCAGAGCTTGCAGATAAGATGAAATTTGCAATTAACAATCTCTCTCAAATCAACCTCAATGAGAAAAGTAACGAGCTGAAAAATCTGTTGTCTCCAAACTTGTATCCATATATTGCAAGATATATTGTTGTAAACAGAGCCAGCTTGGAGCCAAACTTTCATTTAGTGTACGCAAAAATGTTGAGCACTTTGAAGTTGGAAGAGCTTGACAAGCATGTTTTGAAGCAGACCTACATTGCTGTCAATGCTTTACTTCATTCTGAAAGAATTACTACCAGTCTTTCAGAAAGATCTCTTCTCAAAAACTTGGGAAGTTGGCTAGGATTACAAACCTTGGCAAAGAATAAGCCCGTTCTTCACAAAGATCTTGATTTGAAGTCTCTTTTATTCGAAGCCTACGAAAGTGGAAGGCTCATTGTGGTCATACCATTTGTTTGCAAAATTTTGAATCATTGTGCCAAATCAAAAGTCTTTACACCTCCAAATCCATGGGTTATGGGTATTGTATCTCTTTTAGTTGAGATTCATGCAATTCCAGAGTTAAAATTGAATCTAAAGTTTGAGGTTGAAATGTTGTGCAAAACCTTAAAACTAACCATTTCTCAAGTTGAGCAACAAAACAAGGAGAAAGAAGATTACATTCCTCTACTTCAAGGAAGATCACAACTCAAATACAACAATCCAGATATTCATGGTCCAACTAGTGCTGTAGAACCACTCGCACCAATTGCTCCTGGCAAATCAGAAAAGCTATTCAACATCTCTCAAGTAACTGATACTGGAATTATTATTACCGATCTCCAGGATCAAGTGAAAATTGCTGAAAATTTGTCTATTTTCAGAGAACAACCAGAATTGCGAAAGCTTGTTGTAGTTGCTCTTGACCAAACCATTCGTGAAATTATAGCTCCGTTTGTAAAAAGAGCAGTTACCATTGCCTGCCGTACAACAACAGAAACAATCATTAAGGACTTTATTGCGGAACCAGATTATAACAAAATGCATCGAGCAGCCAACTTGATGGTGGCTAATCTTGCCTCCAAGCTTGCAGTGGTTTCTTGTAAGGACATTCTCAAGAATAACCTTCAAAATCACCTCAGAACATTATTCGAAGCTGCTTCAATCAATCCAAGCGATCCAAAGCTTAAGACTGTTATTGATCAAATTGTAACAAACGTTAGCGCAGATAATGTTAATGTTGGCTGTGCTTATGTTGGTCAAGCAGCCAGAGACAAGGGAATGCTGGATATTACTGAAGCTCTTCAGTCTGAACTTGAATTGAGAAAAAGCTATGCAAGTGGCGCCGTTATGAATTATACCAATTACACGATGCCAACCTTTGTACAAAGATTACCCGAGATGTTAGCTCCAAAAAGTGGTCTTCATAGAAGTCACGTTCAAGTTTATGAGGACTTTGAAAGAAAGACTATATTCGAGCAACCAAGAGAAGACATGCTTCCATATAACGTTGCTGTCGATCAAGCCAAGCTTGCATTTGCCAGTATGATGGAATATTTCAATCAGGTTAAAACTCAATTGCCAAATATTTCATACGTTCCAGCACAGAGCCGTTTTTATGAAAACTTGAACAAGATTAGATCCATTCTCCGTAGATCTGTTCAAGGGGGAGAAACTGCAGAGGCACTTTGCATGGACGTTTTCTACAAGCTTTACGATACAGATATCAATGTCATTAGAGAGGCTTGTGTAATGGTTCTTTCTGTTTTGCGAGAAATGGAAAGCGAATCATCTATGATTCAAGTTACTAATCTGTGGAAAGAGTTGACACCCAATCAAAAACTCGACAATGCTACTCTTTCATTAATCAGAGTAGATTTATTAGATCTAGTGACTCTTGATAACGAGCTATTAGCTCTGGTTGCTGATTTGAACCATAGTAAGAATGCAATACCATTCTATTTGCGTCTGATTCAACGATTGGTCATTTTGAAGAGTACACTCACTGTGGCAGATCTTCCAAAATCCTTCAACTTTGTTCAATCAAACTTGTCAAAGCATCAGGATTACTTGGCATATGCTTCCATTATTGAACAAGCCGCAAAAGCAACAAGCAATTTGTATGACAACCCATTGACTATACTGTTCAATGTTGCTTCAGATTTTGAATCTCCAGAGAGATATGCTGTGCGAGATCAGCATTTGAAGAAGTTTGTCACATACCTTTCAATTTCTGAAATGCCTTACACCCCAACACCATATTACGATCGAAACCATGTTTCCTACAGTTGGATGTCGTTATTCAAGACTGCTAACGAAAACAAAGTGCTAATCACTGTTGATTTCAATGACATGTTTGACAAAAAAGTAGCGTCTTTTGAGGACACTATTAGACCTTATCTTGAAACTGCTGTTGAACATTTCTACAAGTTTGGAGTTAATTTACCCTATCCAGAGACTTTCAAATTTGCTGATGGTTTATGTGATTTCATTGGCAAACTAATTTTCGAGCAAAGTGAACGTTATGATATAGAACCTGAATATTTCTCAAAAGCTCTTACAAGATTCAAGATTGTTCTTGATCTGATCATACAATTAATCATGAAGGATATGGAACTTCAACAATCAAAGTTCAATCAGAGAATTTATTTAAGATTACTGTCAGGCATGATTGTTCAAGCTGGAAGCTACTTGCCCCCTCCTTCTTATTATATGGGACCTTCATACCGAGCAGAATATTTCCACCAAAACTATGACAAGCATTTGGAAGCTCACTCAGAAATTTTGTGTATCTTTGCACAAGCTCTACTCGTACTGAAACCAACCAAGAATCCAGCATTTGTTTTTGCCTGGTTGGAATTAATTTCTCATCGCTTCTTTATGCCAAAAGTTCTTGCTCCAAGCTGCAAGAAGGGTTTGCCTTTGTACCATGATTTAATTATTGAAATGTTTAAATTCTTGGAACCATTTTTGCAGGCTGGACAGTTGAACAATCCGGTCAAACTAGTATACAAGGCGGCTCTCAAGATTTTATTGATCCTTCTTCATGACTTCCCAGAATTCCTTTGTGATTATCATGTCTCGTTGTGCAACGTTATTCCAAACACTTGCATTCAAATGCGAAATCTTATCCTTTCTGCATTCCCAAGACACATGAAGCTTCCAGATCCATTCACAAAAGATCTCAAGGTCGAAAGTTTGTCCGAGATCAATGAACAACCAACAATATTGAGCGACTATTTGAAACATTTTACTAAGGAGTTACCAGTCGAGTTGTTCGAATCTCTGGTCGACAAGTATTCTATTAACTCTGATGTTTCACTTTTGGATCAAATCATCAATAAGATTAAGTTGACGTCACAGGAAGAAATTGCTGAGTGTGGAACTTCGTACAACGTTCCATTAATTAACTCGATCGTCCTGCATGTTGGAGTATTAAGTACAACTAGACATCCTCGATCACAATGCATGCACTCTTTTGCAACGGAAGTTCTTCGTAGAATGCTCTACAAGGTAGACTTTGAAGGACGTTACTTGGTGTTAAACGCCATGGTCAATCAGTTGAGATATCCAAACATTCATACATACTACTTTAGTTGTGTGTTGTTAAACTTCTTCTGTGAAGAGCATTATATTCAGGATCAAATTACACGTGTACTGATTGAGCGATTGATTGTCAGTAGACCACACCCTTGGGGTTTGTTAATTACTTTCATTGAGCTGATTAAGAACAGTGTTTACAAGTTCTGGGAAAAGCCTTTTATTCATTGCTCCCCCGAAATTGAGCAAATGTTCCAAAATGTAAGACAAACCTGCAATTAGATTCAATAAAATGTCCAAAAGCCTCCCTAATAATTTGCAATGATGTAAATGAGAGTGGAGAACAAATTGGGTTTCTTTAGTTTTCGCCCAAATAAGCACCATAATAATAATAGTCCATGCGTAAGCGAAACAATTCATCACTATACTCCAAAACAAAACCATTGTTCTTGACAGCTTCAATTACAAGTTCTCTTTCTTCAATTCTTCACTCGCAAACTTCAACGCATATCCATTACTCCTCACTGCTTCCAACATCATTTCCTTTTCCTTCTTATAACTTGCAGGAAAGGAATTACTAGTAACAACTCCAAGGGCATTTTGTCTTCATGCTTTTTTCACAAATTCTCTGTCCATGGCGAACGTTTGTGGTAAATATTTCAAAAGCTTCTGGCATCCCAACTGAACCAACTGCTGTACAAATTCTTGATCACAAAAAACCTTCTGGAAACGTAATGCAAAACAGGATATCCAAATACCAAACGGTGTCGTGTTTGTTTGATGGCTTCTAATATAATTTCACGATCGCTTTTCATTGAATGATGTGCATACTCAATAGCCAAACCATCTTGTTTGATAGCTGTTAAAACAACTTCCCTGTCGTTTTTCAACTCGTATGATGCATATTCAAGTTTTTGTCCACAATCTCCTTGTCATTTCTTAACTCATTTGAATATTGAAAAGCTCTCCCATCATGAGTGACAGCAGTTAACACAACATGTTTGTCATTTCTCAACTTGAAAGAAGCAAATTTCAATGCAAAACCATGGCATTGAACGGCTCTCAAAACCATCTCTCGGTCATTCTTTAAATCATTGGATGCAAATTCGAATCATTAAATGTATGGACACAAATTGAAGTGCCTTCTTGTTTGATGGCTTCAACTATGATTTCTTGATCATTTCTCAAATTTAATGGTCTAATACACTGCAATGCTAAACCATTTTGTTTCACAGCAGCATTTGCAATTTCAAAATCTTCTTTCAGAGCATCATCACACTGACATACCACAGAGCTAGTCCATTCTGTTGAACAGCTTTCAACATAAATTCCTTATCCTTTCCAAGTTGTTTTGTAAAATCATTGTCAACCAAGCCCAAAACGCCTATATGTTGATGGATTGCAATCCTTAACAACTCTTCATCATTTCGTAATGCAACACTGGCAATTTGTGATATTACGTTCGTATGAAAAATCCACAACAACCATCTTCACGTCATCATAGGGTTCATCATCATTATGATTGTTTTCCATGTTTCTTTTTGAAATCATATTTGAAGACAAGTTGTTTGGTGTATCGATCGGATCCGACGTCTAGGGCATTCAAGTCTCGTTTGGACATTTTGAACAACAGAAAAAGAACAATTTGGAATCCTGGAGGTTGCATCATGGTCTCATCCATTACCTTTTTTAGAGAGAGAAGCGACTGAGGAGCTTATTAAGCAATTTTGTAAGAAATTTTTTCACATTCGATCCAACTCATGGTTGACATTTCATGAATTTAACAATTACAACACGTTGGATCCTTCGTCTCCTCACTCGTGATCAAAGCAAAAGTTACATCGAAATAGACATGTTCTCGATGACACAATCTCCATAAATTTTTCCTCAGCATGTCGTTACCTTGTTGTTCTATTTGCTTGACAACCAATCGTTTTGCATTCTCACGACCATCTACCAACAATAGAGAGCCATCAGAGGTTCCTAGGGCAAGAATTGTATGGCATCACTTGCATCACACGACAGCCAGCTCGATGCTGAAAATGAAAATCCATGGACACTCTTCATATACTGTAATTCCTTAGAATCCAATAAAATTCTGGAAATATCATGATTGTTACCTAACCATACTTCATATCTCACTGGATGTGTCTTGATCCATGTTTTGTTTGATGTTAGATACTGTGTCGAGTTTGCTACTGCGTTTTGGAGTGAAATAGAAAAGAGTTTACAATCACCCAAAGCGTCCCATATAACAATGTTGTCATGCATGACAATCGTTAACAGAAATCCGTCTGGTGAAATGTCAATTCCAGTAATTGTTGACCTTTAAATTGTTCTATGGAACTCCTGATTCTTAACCTTCGTATCCAAGGTTGGAACTCGTTTTTTTGCAATACCAGCAATAAAATAGAGCCATCATCCCATAACGTCCAAAGGGACTCATTGATGTCATGACAGGCTATGTGTAACAATTTTTTGTTACTAACATTACTTTGTTTTGCATTGGGTATTGATTTGTGAGGTGTTTTCTTTGTTTCAACACTATTTTGTTCATTTGTTAAAATGTTCACACACTTGGATTCTGTTGAACTTTCTTTACTCAACGAGAATGCAGAATAAGTTCCATCTTCGCACAACACAACTGCAATATTTGACGAAAATACTGAAACTCCAAAAAAACGACTTTTTCTCTTGAAACTCGCATAATATTTGAACACAATTTTTGGAGATGCATTCGTGTTTGATAATTGTTTTGAATTTTCACCAAATTTCCAAAAGAAAACTCGATCATCCGAGCAAGAAATAGCCATTTCCAAATCAGGTATATATTGAATAGAATTGACCCGATCACGATGGTGAATTCTATAATTTTCAATCAATAGAAAAATGTTTGAATCAGCACCATCATTGTTTTTGATCATCGGATTCACTACTACACGTTCATCGTTCATCACCGAAGCTTCCAAAGCTTTGTATGAAAATACGACCCTATTGACCCACCCATTTTCTCTTCCAATCAATAACATCCGATGATCAAAAGCAACGTCGGCTGTTCTCACATACAAGGCTGAATGAAAACAAGAAATTCCACTTCCTTCCATTTTTTTTGTTGTTGGTGTTCATGCTGTGTTTCTGAGAATGCAACGAACTTCCATTTTTGTGTTTCCCTTCATGCAGTAACGGGAACGCCAGCTTTGATGTCAAGCCACAATTTCAGGATGTATTGAAATCAGTAGTTGCTATTTAATCTCAAATAAACAAACCATAGATGAAAACAGATCAAATAATTCTCGTAATCAGGATAGGAAATATCATCTAGTGTTTCAAATCGTTCATTTCCATTCGCTTAATCGTATCAATTAAATTCTCTGTTTGTTTAGTGATCACATTCATGAGTTTTGTGGTTTGTAATTTGAATCCACCAAATGCATTGTGTTTGGAATGGTCAAAACCTTTGGCTATGAACTCAAATAAATTTCCTAACAATTTCTGAATATATTTTTCCAAGTTCTCATAATGACTGTCAAAAAGTGAACCATAGGTTTTGAGATTATTCAGGTCGTGACGGAGTTCTTGTTTGGCTTTTTCTGATTTTTTCTTCTCAGTGACATTTCTCTTGAGCGTTTTATCTACAGGCTTCGTCAGAGAGTTTTCCTTCAAGAACACATCCAAACCAAAGGCAAAGAATGCAAAGATTGAACACGATTTCAATAATCGTCGAGTTCGAACAATCATCGAAAGCATTGAAAACATAAATTTAAAATCGCTGTCAATATATCCAAATTGTGACGTTGCTGTCGATCGACAGGAGATGATCAAGTTATAAAGGTATTGACTTGATTGTTGTTCTGTCAACCACTGCTTATAGAGATTATACTTGTACATAAATCGGGTGTGAATTTCCTCAATATAATAATCCTCGTCGTTAAATTTGGCGCCTCTCTCTTTGACACCATCACACATCACACCATAACCATGTTGTTTACCACATGAATAACAAAATCTTGTGCGACAGAGGGAACATCTGATGAGTAAAAATCAAAGATTACATGAGTTTGAGAAAGGTGTAGTGTGGTGAGTAAATGAACTTGTATGATTGTTTTTCAACTTACGTCATTTGATCACTTGAAAATTATTTGAAACAACGGTATTATTAACATGGAAAAACGAGAGCCTTTGTAAAACTTACCATCCTTGATTTTTGGAAATAAAAACTTTACATCCTGGACATTGAGTACTAGTGTTCTTAATGAATTCTACATTTCGAGAAATATCCTGTCCATATTTACAGAATTTCTGTAACATTTCACAAGTAGCTACAAATATATTTGAAAAACACACATGTTAATAATATCTTACTGTAAAAAGAAAAACAAACCTGGGAAATGCGGCTCTTCTCCACAATGAAAACAAAATTCAGCATCGCAATTACAATGGACATAATACAAGGTTTCATCACATAGCTTCTTAATGCAGTATCCACAGTGAGGGGTCACACACCATCGCAATCTGTGATTGTTGGCGACAAATAAATCGATTTTGGTTTTCAAAAACATTTCGTTAAACTTTTCACTGACAAAGGACATCATGAACTCCTCAGTGATGGTAGCGTTGCATCCAAAAGCCATACAATTGATTTTGCTTCCATTAAGAAGGCCTTGTGAAATACTAGACTCAATATAACTACGCCAACAATCTTCGCAAAATTCATGTCCACAAATGTCATTCTTAATGAGTGATACGTTTTCGTTGAAGCAAGATTCACAGCAAGAATTGCTTGTAGTTTCGTCTTGAGATTGTTTGTTGACCGATAATCCACTTTTGCAAAGTATTCCATCAATTCCAAGCTCACCATAATCTTGAATTAATTTATCAGTATTCCATTTATAGAACTATGTATTGGTCACATCACGATTCAAGTTAACCATTTTCACATCCTAAAACATACTTTTAAAATAGCATCGATTTGATATTTAGTTTGAACGGGTAAAATCGTGCTCGCCAGAGACAATTCCTTTTCCATTTCATCTAAAATCTCATCATCCCGCAATAGGGCAAATAGTTTTTTTGATTTTTCTGTTTTGGAATCGGATGAGGTGGTTCTTTCTGTGATCATCTCATCATCATCATGAAAATCATCCAAAGCATAAATTTCTTCTTCATCTGTTGTTTCATTCTGATTCGTTATTGTGTCCTTTTCCGTTGTTATTGTTGCTTCCGATGAGATCATTTCGGAATCTTCTTCTCCAGCAATATCCACCAACAACTCAATACAAGCCTCTTCATCATGACTGCATTGTTCCATCACTGATTCAATCACATCCGTTTCAAGATTGGGAAATAATGAACACAAATTTTGAAACAACTCGTCGTCGGATTTGCTCATTTTTTTTTCAAAATTCATTGTTGCTATTTTTGATTGTTAAATAATTATTCGCAAAGTAGGATAAAGAAGAACATTCATTTTCGAAATTGTGGTGTGCGAACAACATATAACGCTCGTTGAACTGAATGAAGAACTAATTCAAGCGTTCTTACAAGTAATATTTTGAATACTTTTCATACAGTTCTGGTTCTTCAATTTTCACATAATCTTCCATGAGGGTTTGACCATCAGCAAGAATGCTCGTGTACATGAAATTTCGTAACACATCTGTTCCCAATTCTAATGCTGCATTGAAACATAGTTCGAGATATTTTGAAATGGGTTTGATTGGAATTTGAGCTATTTTGGTGGGTGTTGTGTCTGAATTTTCAAGTGTCGTTTCACAAGTCATCATGCATTCTTGTGTGCATTGTTGACTTTCCAAGTACACATCTTTGGTGTGATACCAAATTCTTCCATTGTAATGCCGAGCAACTCTTTCATGAAATTCATTTTCATAGGTAATGCATCGCTCTGTTTTGTAAAGATCGTCATTGTATTGACAGCAGATCAATGCTTTGCATCCACACGACACGAGGTGATTTTGAAATGTCACTGAGCAGTTACAGCATTGACAGCTATTTTCAGAGCCTCCTCCACATGAGCCATTTGCACACGAACAACTTGGCACAAAAGTGTCATTCTTAAATTCTTGATCGAGTGTCACAAATTTTAGTTGATATCGATGCTCTCTTGTCATGAATGCACACCAAATCTCCTCCGAAAGTGGAACTTCAAAGGCTGTACAATACATTTCAATATCTTGTGGCCGTTGAATTTGTTGTTTCCTTTGATTCGAATTTCCAATTTCTTTATAATGTTCTTGTTGTTTTGCAATAATTTTCTGACAAACCATGTCACTCACTTCATCGTGTGAAGCGGCCGCTACCGATGCCACTTTTCTCTTTTCCAAATCTCCAAAAGGTAAACTCGAAATTGCAACTAAATTAAAGGTTCGAAGATAACCCTTAACAATCGCTTTTCGAAAATTATGTAGTTCAGGAAATGTTCGTTTCGCTGATTTTTCCGATAATAAACTTCCAATGCCACAAATTGTGATATACTGAGGCCAATGCTCTCTTGAAATGGATGTTGGCTTCATCACACCTGGAAAATTATTTTCCTTCTCCTTGTCACAACAGCAACAAGTGTTGAGCTTATTGTCGTTCAAATGATGATCATCCATATTCCGATCAGAATCTTCATTCCGTGTTTGCTTAACACTAGAAGAATCATATTTGGAATTTGAATGTAAAATTTTTAAATCATGTTCTTGTAATAATCGATCCAATAACATTAAACAAAATTCCTTTCCTTTTTCGTTCATGGGTGGAGCTGTAATCGGTTTCGGTGAAGTAATTATTGTCGTGCTAGTGGAAGATGCTCCATCCAATGATGAATTATTCAATTTCGATTGTTGTTGCTGTTGCTCCTCACGATCATTAAAAGAATGGAATGGTTCTTTCCGATCACTCGGTACCTCATCTTGTAATGAATTTAGAATTGCGTTTTTGGAAATTTCAGTGGTAATGAAACAACAAGAAGAGTCGGAGCAAGTGGCGTTGCGAGAAGAGGAAGGATTCTTCATTCGACGGTACGGTTGGCTTGCAAGTTGACTCTTGAATTTTTTTGATGGAGAACGAAAAAGCGAAAAAGAATCTTTTCTTGGAAATTCCAAACCTCAATCCTATGCATTTTAGTTTTTTGTAAGATTTGACAAACATTGAAAATTATTGCTTCCTCCCGCAGCATGCATGAGGATGCAATTACATACCGCAGAGTACATCTGGACAAACGTTTGTGGTATTTGAAGATGACGTTGTTAGAGAGGAATTTCAAACAAATTCACATGAAACACTTTCTTGATATATTGTTGCAGAATAATCGAAGAATTGCACTTCTTTGACTATCCACTGAAAAAGAATTACTGAAAATCGTTTCATTCACCTGAAAATGGTTAACGGTAATCGCATAACAGTTTAATACTATTAACAATTATTGTAACAGACTATTTGAATACAGTTCCAATTTGATATTTCCTCAATAGTTGTTTTGCACTCAAACACGAAAACTCTCAAATAGCCTCCAATACACTCCTCAGTACTAACAGCATCTTTTCAAGTTATACCTTGCACGTGTTTCGGTGTGAGAGACAAGGTCCGCATCAAAAAATATTCTAACACCCTTTTGTAGGTAAATGCTTCCTTCATTCCTCATAAAAAACTTTAAATTCCACCGATTTGGCCAATTCGTGACTCCCTCCTTTTCCAATCTCCAACCTTCGCATATTGTTTACAACAATTCATTGTAAACGAGTTGACTGTTTTTTCTTGAGGTTTCTCTATTCAGTAACTCTCTTTCAAAAAAAGGAACCTCAGGCAATGAAAGGAAATACACATGTTGAGGGGTCGTTATTCATCGGTGGATACCTCAACACAAAAACAGCGTCATCTCTCTTTTATTCTCTCTCAAACAACAACACACAATAAGAGCGATACGAAGAAGGAATAAATTGCAAGATTCAGCAGCTACCAACCGTTTTCCTCAACAACAAAAAAAACACAACAACCACTCGTTGAAACATTACTCAATATATATTGAAGAATAATAATTCCCTGAAAGAAATGAACGCTACTTTGATCTTCCTCATTGTGTGCTTGTTAGCCTTGTTTTCATCCTCCCAATTGGTCCAAGCTCAATATTATCCTTCGGAGATGGTTGATGGTGCTTCCTCAGTTATGAATGGAGGAATTGTTGGTTTGATGGTCTTTTGTTTATTGGCCTTGTTGGCATTCATCTTTTAATTATGTTAGTTTGTATTTCTCTAGCTCTCGCTACCTAACAAGACAAAGACATGTATTTGTATGTACAACATGTAGAGAAGGACATTCAAAAAGCACACATGCTGCTCACTCAAGAAATTGAGTCTTTCATTTAAAAACCTCTTGTAGGTTGTTCATAATAATAATAAAAAACAATTTGTAACAACAATTGAAAAGTTATCATTGGATGATCATGTTCAACTAGCTCTGTAACTTGTGCTGCAAATAATCTCTCTTACCGTCTTTAAGTCCATGAAATACATGAAATAAGCATCTCCTAAAGTTCAACACTTATCCTGTGAAGAGGTTCTTTCAAAGTTGAGCATTCTTTTCCACACTCAGAGTTCTTGTTGTATGTTCTCTCACATAGAAGTGAACATCGTGCACAGCTTTTTGTTTCTATTTCCACTTCCTTGGCAAATGTCTCTTGTCAAAGAACATTTTCAAAAAATTACAAAAAAAAGAATGACCTCCCACGCACATGATTCGTGTTTGCATTATCCTCATTCGTTGCCATCATTAGCATCATCAATATATTCACGAACAACAACAACATTCTCTTCTGATCTACAGGATCGAATCTTTCAAAACATGAATCGAAAGAAATTTTCGAAATTTAGAAATGGTTCTTCATCGTCGTCTTTGCAGCGATTATTGTTTTTATTGTTTTTCCTTTCCGTCTCATCATTTCTATGGTTCATCGTGATTCAAACAATTTCCTTTTATAGAAACCATTTCGATACTACAAGTCCTCCACAATCATCAACGAGCATTTCATCCCATCCATCCTCGTCCTTCTTCTTTTTGGTACACGCTCGACCCATACCTTCTTTGACATTTGGCAGGTCTGACTTTTCCGAAGAACCATTCTTTAAAGACATGATGAACCAACAAGACTCTTTGAATTTATATCATTCTCCATTTCTCTCAATCATGAATGTCCATTCTACATCCTCCAATGATTCACGAGGAACTTCAGGAAGTTCTGAAAGTTATAATCCATTCTATAGTATTAGCAAACAAATTGCATCATTAAAGATGAATTTGGTGAGAATGACATTTCATGGAACGCAAGCTCCAGATACATTTGATCCAGAAAGTTCGGACTAGTAAGTATTCGAATTTTGAATTTATGAATTTGATGTATTTGAAATAATTTGTTTGTCAAATGCATGTTGATGAACATGTCAAAAACAATGACAGCTGGCAAGGAATTGGTACATTGGCATTGGGAGGAGGAATTTTGAGTATCATTTCAATTTTAATGTTACTCTGTTGTGATACCTTTCGTACATTGGGATGTTTTGGAGGCGTCGAACCAACCAAACAATTATTCTATGGACGAGAACCAAGAAAAGAACCTTATGGCATGTGTCAAGTGTTCACATTGAAAATTATTATTGCAGTGGCACTTGTGGTTGTGACAGGACTTGTAGTCTTGGTAATTATTGGAAATGTGATTTTTAATAATGCATTTGAATATGGTCGTTCGAATTTTAAATCTGGACTCAATACCATGTTTAATCAATCCATTGAATTACAAATTGTGACCAATAGAATTCAAGTAGCGTCTGGCTCTAACGCTCAATTAACAGATATTAGTTCATTAATGTCTCAACAACAAGCCAGTATGAATGCAACAAGTACTTTGACACGAGAAATTCGTCACATGAATTTCATTCGATACTTTTTATTAATGCTCATTGCGTTGGTTATTTTGTTTGTTCCATTATTGGGATTATTGAGCGGAGTGACTCATTGGAAAGAATTTGCTGCATACGGTGTGAGATTTGGTTACATGATGCTCGTGTGTTGTTGGATTTTATATACCGTGCATTTTGCATTTGCAGTTGTCACGCAAGACATGTGTGCCACTGCAGATCGTTATTTACAAGGTCAATATTCGAATAGTACTGGAAGTTCAGAACTTGTGAAACAAATCTCCTCTCTCGTTCAAATCTTTTCCAAATGTTCCAATGAAAGTGTCCTCGTGGCAAATAGTGGAATTGACATGACACTCATTGACACCATGATTACAAGTTTGAATCAAAAATTAACCAACGACGATCCTCAAAAACGATACTTTAACATTATCTATGCCAACTTGAGTAGTGCCGTCACCATTGATTATGTTCAAGCCAATCCACAAACTCAAGCCAATGTCCAAAAATCAGTCGACACTATTACTCTCTTCCATGACGATCTCGTTCCAACGTTCATGACACACAATAATTGTAGTCGTGTCGGACAATCCTTTGTCAATGTTGTGGATTCAGGTTGCGTGGGCATGTTATCGAGTATGAATATTTTATGGGCAAGTTATTTAGTGCTTGGAGTTTTATTATTTCCCATTATTTGGATGAATTGTTTGGGATATAAACGATTCAGAAAGAAGAGATTTGTTTTACCGAAAGAACGAAAACCTGAAGATATTGACATTGCTTTGAATTTACATTAAGATTTCTTGTGTGTGAAATTAATCTCAAAAAGATTGATTTCAACGCAAATACTGTACCATAAAAACTCTCCATATTAAAAACCTTACACCTCCTTTTCAAAGTATTAGAAATTATTAAAGTTAAGCTTATTTTTTGAGGGTTGCACAACTTGATTCTTTTTACAATAGTGAATACTCCAATACTTAATTTATTGACTTCTTTCGAAGCTCTTCCAATCCAAGATAACGTTTTGGAATACTGCATCCATAGTATTTCCTTTCCAAAACCAGGTCCAATAATTTTGAAAATTCTTGTGGATCTTTCACAAGTCGATAAGAATACACCATTCCCGTTCTTTCCATTGCTTTCTTAGTAAACTCATCATCTCTTCTATATCTTCCCATACGATAATTATTATACACCAATGGATTCAAAGAAAGTAAATCCAGAATAAACTCTGAATCATCCAATAACGTTGAAGCAGCACAACCAATGGCTGAATGATGATATGAACAAGCTTGTGCCACCACATGCTTATCTGCAGTGAGAGAATACGAAGCATATCGAAACACTCCACAAATGGACACAGCTCTCATCATGAATTCCTTGTCCTTTTGCAATTCTGGTAAATATGACAATATTAAGGCATTTCCTTGTAACAAGTGGAATATGAAATCCTTGTCATTTTTAAGTTCTGGAGAAGCAAATTGAATGGAGGAGGCATATTGTTGTGCGGCTATTTGAACCATTTTCTTATCATTTCTCAATTCATCCGATAAGAAGGCAAATATGTTTTTTCGAGAACATAATTTTTTAGCCAATTTGAAGTCAATTTTGGAATAATCAATTTCCTTAAATAATACTTTCATAACTTGACTATCTTTCTTCAAGGATTGTGGTACTTGATTGTAAGCAGATCTACAATTTGTAATGGCTGCTATAACAATCTCTTTGTCGTGTTGGAGTTTTCGAGAAGCATATTGAAAGGCATTTCCATTTGTAGTCACAGCCAAGAGAACAAGATTCTTGTCGTTTCTTAATTCTGTAGATAGCCATTTCAATAATAGACCATTTTTTGCAATAGTAAATGTTGCCAATTCCAAATCATTTCTCAACTCTTGTGATGCAAATTGAATGGCACAAATGTTTTGTTGAATTGCTTTCCACACTACCTCCTTGTCGTTTTTCAATTCATCACAAACTCTATATAAATGTTTTCCATTATTTTCAACAATTTTCAATGCCTCTTCTTTGTTTGTAAGGACACACATTAAATTCTTTTTAATCTTTTTTGGTTTTTCAATTTTTTCCTCTTTCTCAATTTTCACTTCTTGTTGTACAACAATATTTGAATTCTCCAAGTGATAATTATTCACATATTCCTTAAACGAATCAGGAGCTTCATATTTAGCTTCAAATGCATAATGATGTTCAACGAATGGTTGACCAACTTTTACAACAATTTCTTCATCTTGAAAAAATTCGATTGGAAAATATTCTTGTTGTCTCATGTACCGCATTCTTCTAGATTTCGGAATGGATTTTATATATTCTTCTCTATTGTGTAGAAATAAGGTGAATCCTTTGTGTATGAATTTTTGATGAAGTAATTGTTGAACATGAGAGGATGATGAAGGAATGATGAGATCTGTTAAATGAATGGTTGTGGGTGGAGACATTTTTTTTGCAATGAATAAACCTCTCGAGATAATCAACACATCTCTTTCTTAACAAAATAGATTGTAACATTTGTTGTTACAAAATGGAAACTAGTTCTTTAAAAATGCATCAACGAATCAATTAGAATCCATATTGGTGGATTATTGTTGGAGTTAATGTGAATATTCTGAAAGCTCTCTTATCTGGCTTCTTTTGAATGATCTTAATTGTGAAGACAGTTTTGTTGAAAGTGGTTTAATCTTCTTCTTTCAAATGATGTAACTATTCAACTATTTTGAAACTACATCGTTGTTCACGAAAAAGACCAGCAATTCAAATTTAGAACTTTTCAAAAAAAAAATTCAACAAGAGAATCTCCATTTTCAAAAAAGATTCTGAAATCTTGATCCGAAAAGCCTTGCTCTCTTTTCGTTGTTGCAACATTTTTAGAGTCTGTCACTTCGTCCAGGTTGAACAACATCCAGAGAGAGTTTGTTTTTGGAATTTGAACGTTTTTTTCATCCCGAAGATCATCATCATTACGTTTTGAATATTTTTGAAATAATAATAGCACTAATCATTAGTAACGTCTAATTTCATTGGAAATTGAATAGTAACATGACTAGTGTTATGGCAACAACATCACGGAATCATCCTAACGGTTATAACGGAGGAGGAGAAGGAAGTTTGAATATCCATCAAGAGGCGTCGTCATCTTCTATCATGAATGTTCAACCGTCATCATCGGAACATCATCAAATGATCGTGAATTCATACCACAAGGTCAAGGAATTATATGCGTTAAGCGTTTCTAGGTATAATCAAGGAAAATACTTTCTTGCTCTTGAAAGCTTTTTGGATTGTAAAAATCTAGTAGAATTGGAGTTGGTGCAGCAACAACAACAATCAGCATCATTGGTGCAGCAACAACATTCAACAAAATCAACGATCGCCCAAGAACAGAGGCATGAACACGGTGTATCATCATCATCGTCAACCATACAGACAAGACATCAAGCCTCGTCTTCCAAACAAAAAAACAAAAAGCACAAACAACGATCCAATTCCGATAACAAAACAATACTAGGAAAAGGTCACAATGAGAGGACAACTCGTGTGGGTCATGAGGAACGGTCGCTGGTCAAAGTCGAACCCTCTCAGCAAGTGACTCCAGTTCATATTGACGAGAGCGATAATTATTATCTTTATTTGTACTATCAGATTTGTTTTCAACTGGCGAAGTGTCACTTTAAGCTTGGCCAGCTGAGTAAGGCTATTTATTATTTATATCATCAATGCTCGCAATGCGAAAATATTACTGTAAATCAAGAATATTCGACGCTTCTTCAAGAAGTTGAGAGAATGATATGTTTTGACAAAAACATTGATGCCAATAAGATATCCGCAGACGATATTGAAAAATTTGCTCTAGAAATCCAACCTATTCACTTTTTTGCACCTGCCGCTGGCAGCTTGGATCACAGTGCTTATTCCATGTTGTCTTCATCCACGACAACCTCGAGTGTGGGCCATGACATGGATGTCACAACTCGCTCCAACAACAACTTCTCCATCTTTTTCTCTCCATACAGTATCCACAATGCAAAGCATGCCTCGCTACCCTCAACATATAGTACGGACAAACGAAACGATTGGCAGTCCATATTTTTAAAATATCAAAAAAGCGTCTGTAAATAGTGTACATTATTGTAACAATTTTTAATATTAAATTATTTGTTTAAAGAATGTTGTACTGGGAGAAGTTGGGGAGTGGTGGGTTGGAAAAATTGAGAATAACGTTGTGAAAGATAACTCTATCCGCACGCGATCATCGGACACATCTGATTAATCCTTTGCCGATTTGTTTACAAATCACTCACAACCGTTTCCATAACCTTAATGAAGGTTTCATCGTTCTCCTTAGTGACTGAACAAAACTCGAAATTAATTGGAATATTTCTAAATGTGCTCCAACTTTCAAATGAAAATTCCTTAGATTCCATGAGTGGATATGGAGCAGTAGTGGCGTCTTCATCAATAGATTGATGTTGATGCTTCTTGGTGTTATGAATAGTTGTAAGCTCCTTTTCCAATTCTCTCTTCATGTGATTTTTAACATAGAAGGCAATATCTGCCTTATTACAAATTATGGTCAAGCTTGCAGGCTTGTATTGATCTATCAATTTTCTATTCGTTAAAATATCGTACAAGAATCTGATACATTTGGGTATTGAAATTAATTATTATATATAATAAAATATATTGTTGAATTAATCCGGCATGGAAGACATAAAACAAAAAGACCAAGATTTGTAAAATTCATGAATTGAAAATATGAATTGAACCATCATCAAAATATAAATAAACAACTCTTTCATCAATGTACAATACTTACTCTGCATTGGTTGAAGCATTAAAATCGGAAGCATCTAACACATAGATAATCTTTTTAGTAATTGGCAAATATTGATTCATTAACTGTTGTCTCACTCTTGAATGTCCCGGAATATCCACCACTTCAATTTCCTTCTCCATTCCTTGAATCAACTTGGGAACAAACTTTCCATAATTCTCCTTCACGCTCGTTTGAGTACGAGCCACTTTTCCATCTTTTAATTTATAAAACAAACAAGTTTTCCCAGAATCACTCAATCCGATAATCATCAAAGCATTTCCTCTACGGAGGCCCATATTCTTCATCAAGATCCGGGCCACCACAAATCCAGCCACTGCCATGACCAGCAAAATGGCCGCGAGGATGAGAAGATTCATTTTTTTTTCTGTTTCCAAAACAAATGGATGCGATGAAATTTTGGAATGACGTCATTGTGTAATGAAAATTCAAGAAAAAAGCAATGATTTGATTCATAAATGATCAGTCAATGGAGCACACTAATTTTACTCAACAAGTAGGGTTCAGAATGCTAGTACACGATTAGTTTTGTCATCAGTTCAAAGCAAGAGGAAGATGACCACTTGGAGCATGAATGTCCTTGGCCACACCACACATTTTCACTCAAGCTTAAAATTCCATACTTGGTTAGGGAACTCTTTTCGGAATTTGCAAGTTATGGTTTTGGTTTTTTTTCAAAATATTTTTCACCCCATCCATCATGGTTATAACAAGAGTTATTCTCATATCATTGTCTATAATCATATCAAGATGACTTGGATTCACTGTCATCGAGTATGACATTTGCAAGTCGATCATGTACGATCAGATTTCATGTATGCTTCTGAGCATTCCGAGTTAAGTTGATCATCAGATTGCAATGAGATCTTGAATGCAATTCAGATGATCTGATTGCATGATCACAGCAATGAGAATATCTACATTTGAGATGCTTCATACAATGAAAATGTGAAACATGTTCATCAACTAAGAGAAAATATGACGATCAATGTCTAAGAATAGTTTGATATATATATCAAATTTTGAGAAATATGATTCACATCATCATGACAATGATCATTCGAGTTTCAATCATGATGAATGTCGCACAATTTAAGGCAAGTTCAATGTTTCAAAAAAAAATTCATTCTGAATTCATCATCATGGAAATTGCATGCTTTTATCATGTGCCCATGTTGAGTATGGAGAAGGAAATGCTCAAGCAATGGAATGAGCAGATGGAATGGTGGGATGAGTTTTGTTCGTTTTTGCATCGGAAGCCAGCACTCGTAGAGGCTGTAATGAAGATTTCTTTGAGAGCAGATTTAAGGCCTACCGTTAAATATAATGCTTTGATGATGATTTACCAGTATGTCAAGATTAGGTAAGAATGTTGCTTATTCCAATACTTGTTCAAATGGTGATGCATTTGCTGTAGTAAGGAAACTGAAAATTTAGTATTGCTCACTCTCGTATGCATTCGGATACAAGTCAAACGAGTGGAGGCCTTCACCATTGCACCCAAATCTATAATCGACATTGTTCATCATCGTCAAAAATCTAATGCCAATCTTACCGAAAAAGATATCAATGAGTTGGAGATGAAAATATTAGAGACTCTCAATTTTGAAATTAATTTTGTGTCTGTATTCGAATTTGTGGAATTGTATGCGGCATGTTTTTGGAACTTGGCATCGGAAAGACTGAATTTGGAGAGCAAAATTTTCATGAAAGCAGCAGAACAAGTGTGTGATGTGTTGTATTTGAGTGCGTCGTATTTGGTAAAGCAAAAAAATCCTAAATTATTGAGCGGTGCCATTATTGCGTGTGCTTCTGAAGTTAAGTGTGGAAAGAAATTAGCTGCTTTAAATTTTTGGAGTAAGTATAGTGAATTCATGGAGACAATATTCGTGATGGAATGAGCCATGATTTAAATTGAAATACGTACTTGGTTTGCTGATTTTCTTGAACTGTTCTCCAATAATTATTACGTACTAATCTTACTGACAGTTTCACATGTTACAGGTGAAGACGATGATGTCATTCAGAAGCATACCAAAGAATTATTTAAATTATTACAAGAGGATTGAGCGAGCTGGATCATAATGTGATAGTTTCAATGATTCACCCAACAGATTATATATTGACATTCCACTAATTCAATAACATATTCTCCACAATTATATATTATCATTATTATTGTAAATATTGCTGCTGTAATTTATAGGAATCATATGGATCAAGAGAATGCAATAATTTTTGACTCTCCTCTACATGTTTTGCAAGCTCCTTTTGTTCTACTTTGCATACTTCCTTTTCATTCGATAATATTTCTCGCATTTCTTTCACCGTGGTTTGAAGAAAGAATCCTCCAGAACCGCACGACCAAATTTTTTCATCCTCACGCAACTTTTCAATACAATGCTCTGCTTGTGAAGCTTGTTTGTGCTTGGTTCGGAGTTGACCGATTTGTTCTTGGTCAATTAAAATAGTTTGAATAATTTCTTGAATTTGACTGGCAACATGTTTTTTCCAATATATTTGTGTTTGTTTTAAAATTTAATGATTTTAATATCAAAGAATTTTCTATTGAATCCTCATCATTATTCAAGGTGTATGAACACTCTACCTTTGCTCTTCGATTTGTTCGGACACTGATTTTTGGCTCATTTTTTTGCTTTGTAAAATATGAATGGGACCCAATAAATTCGAATCAATTGAATTGGTTCATTGCTCTTGTTTCACTTTCTTAGAGGATGGTTCGAATGATGAGGTGTTGCCATCGCTACCACCATCATCACTCGAGGCAACATCTTCACCGCTACCATCCATCATGGTCTTTCTTTTCAATAAATTAGACGAAGCAGCAGAGGGAGCACAAAAGTTATGGACATAGAGTTGAGAGGACTCGTCAAAAACAGCTCCTCGAAGCATCCATTCATTGGTCTCTGTATTGTAATACTTGTCGAGTTCCTCGTGACAAATAGGACATGTATCTTGTTCAGTATTTGCAACAACATCTTCTTGTTTTGTTATGTTGTTATTTTTCATTGAGGTTGACGTGCCAGTTGCAGTGGTTGAAGTTTTTGGACCTGTCTGGAAGAAATCAAGTGCTGAAATGGGTTTGGTGGAAAGAGAGGAGGAAGAGGCCGAGGATGCTGATGATGCAGAGCCCTTACCTCGATGGTGTAACAAACCAGAAAAAGAGTCTGCAAATATAATGATGCCTGGACAGTGAAGAGCACTTGTGGGAAGAGTGGGTGCAGTCATCCATTCATCTTCACTCAAATACCACTTGCGTGACAAGTCCTTATTCGTTCTAAAGAATTGAGTTGTCTTGGAATGAAGATCCAAATGTTCGCTTAATTGTTTTTGTGTGGCCAATCTCACACCACAATTCATACATTGATGAGAGAGCGCATCATAGAGACGATGCACACCCTTACTTGTTGTTGATGTAGGTTTATTCATCTGAGAGGAGGAGGAGGCAGAAGAGGAAGGCAAACCAACAAGTGATTGTGGTGTGGTTGTCAGGGAATGACCACCAGGATACATTTGTACAGGTTGTTGTTTGTGTCCAAGCATTGCTCCAAGGGATGGTGTGGCATAGGGATTTAAGGATGACGGAATATTTGAAGCAGCATAGGGATTCATGGCTGTTGCAGAAGCGTTTATCCATGATGAAGATGACGTTGTACTACCACTCAACTTGGCAGTCAGCTGAGAGAACAATGCAGCAGTTTTAGGATCATTGATCAAGTCTGGATTTCTTTTGAGTGCATCTGCTAATTTCACTAAAAGTTCTTGTTCCGAGGCAGATAATGCATTACTAGTAGTTGTTTTACCTGAGACCATTGCAGTGCTACCAGGTGTTCTGGCTTCCAAACCTCGAATTCTGTTTTGAATTTCTCTGACTTTTTCCTCTCCGAATACTTCATTCCAAGTTCCCAAAAGCTTCAAATAACTTGCTCTCATTTTGGGATCGTCTTTATTCTCTTTGAATGCTCGGAAGAAGACATCGGAAATTTGTTTGCCAAACTCTTCAACGTATTGTTTTCCAATTCGTTTGGCAATGGAATCTAGAAGATAGAGGAGATGATTTTCTGAGGGGCAGGAGCCTACGATTGTTGTGTTTTTAATAATACAGTGTATAACCATTGCAAACAATCATCATGCGCGTTTCAACAGAATATGATCATGATTAAAAATTATGTAATGAAAGAGGATCATTTGTGTTCATCATCATTGTGTAATAACAATATTATTTTGTTGTTTGTCCGATTCAAGAATATATTAATATTCATCAAATTGGTCAAATCATTAATTATATTTGATGATTAATTATCTTTCATCCAACATGTTCATACTATTCTAACACTACATACAATATTAATTCTTGTACACAATACTTTTGCAATATCCCTACAATATTCAATATTATCATTGGCAATTTCTGTGAGCATATCAATTTGCATCCTATCATTGGTTTGCAAATCCGTCTGCAAAGCAGTGCTAAATTCTTGCACCACTTCTGGCAGTGTTGATGTCATTCACAATGTTTGTAAATATTTTGAATGTATATTTGATGATGAAAGAAAAGAAGAAGGATGAGTCGTCGGAGGTGAATTTATGAACTTTGCATCAAGAATTTTTTTTGAAGAATTTTCGTTTGCTCTTTGGAATTGTAAGCAGGATCCAAAGGGAGAGGTCTTTTGACAAGAGAACAAAAAGATGATGTCAACAAGTAACACTTGAAACATTACTTGCGTGTTGCCTTTCTTGATTGGACCACTTTTCTCTTTTTGGGAGCTTGTTCTTGCTCTTCCAATTCAGTTTTCTCCACTCGTTCTGAAGAGGCTGAATCTTTGGATGAATCTTGGTCAGAAGTGTTTTCTGAATCCTGTTCGTCCTCGTCCTCCTCTTCGTCACTACTTTCCGTTTTTTTCAATCTCTTCTTGTTTCCGTCAGAAAATAGACTTGTTCTCACATCTTGTGGAATTCTTTCCTTAAATGCAGATAATTGACTTCCATAAAGAATCATTTGAGCAAGACCAGCATATTCTCCAAAGATATTCACAAATTCTTTCATGACCAATTTCACATCCTTTTCAGAGAGAGTTTTCTTTTCTTGAACACACTTCTTCATGGATGGATAACAATTTCGGGCAATTCTTAGAATGTGAACATCGGTTGGAACACAATCAAATCGATTGCAACAATATAATGCAATACAGGAAGCCACTTTCATTCCCACTCCAGAAAATTGCTTCAATTCGTCCAAAACGCTGTGAGTGGTGGGATATAGTTCCTTATTTTGCAATGAAACAAGATAATTTTCTGGTTTTTTCTTTAACTTTTGAATGGTTTGAATGATGTATTTCGCTCGATATCCAAAATTTTTGTCTCTAATGATGTTAACAATTTTCATGATCCAAAGATCAATGTTCCAAAACAAGTGTAACAAAAATTTAACATCAAATTTCTTTCAAAATTTCAAAATTAATACCTACTTTAACGCCTGTTCTGTACAGCTCTCTAATTGGTTCAATGTTGGGAATTTATACATTGGAAATGTTGTTTTTCCTTCGTCAATACTGAATTGACCCAAATACGTTCCATAATCTTCACATAACGATTGAACCATTTTCGTAATTCTCGCAACGTTATTATTGGAACTGCAAATAAACGAAAACAGAGTTTCAATTGGTTCCAATTTCAATAATCTCCATCCTTGATAATACTTGACAATTTTTCCAAATAATTTTGGATCGCATGTTGCAAAAGTTTCATGTAAGGCATCAATGTCATACGTTTGGAAATGGAAAAATTCATCCATTAATTGCTCAATTTCTGCATGAAGAGAAGTTTCATCTTGTGTTTCATTGAATGGTTCAGAATGGTTCATTGGAAATAATTTTCTATAATAAACATGCTGATCTGTTTCTGAATGATCATTCGAGGAAGAAGAGCCAACACTCGAACAAGTCGATGCACCATTTACATTTATATTCATATCTTCCAATTTTAATTTTGTATTATTTTCATCCGAGTTGTTGTTGTTGCTGTGAAATATGAGATGAGCACTTGGCTTGGTTGTCAATTCCAACACGTGATTTCCAAGAACTCCGACAAAGGAAGATGAATGTGATGTTTTGAAATGTTTCCATGTGAATGTTTGTCCGCATAACAATGTGGTCTCTGTGTGAACAAAATTCAGATTTTTACAAAATTATTTTTGAAATGTGAAAGAATGAATCATCATCGAAATTTTAAAACATGACAACATTTTCATATGGACAATATTTTCAGCCAAATTCGAAAAATACGCCAAGACGTACCGAGATCGAGAAGACGAGTGCCAAATTTCATCAATCGGAATTTACTCATTTTTTTTGAGTTGATTATAGCACGATTTATAAATTTTACAATAAATTAAAAAGTATTATGGATTGTTTGAAATGGGCACCCGAATGACAATATTTCCAGTCACCGTCGATCGTTGAGCTGAAGCTTTGGATGATGACACTTCCTTGTCAAATCTCAATTGCAGTACTTTCCCCTTAATGGTGACACGAACCCAAGTGGGCTGAACATCAATATCGACGTAGCTGAGTGACATGTACTTTCCTGCTGGGATGTCTAACACATAGTGGCCTTTTTCTTCAAAGAATTTGAATTGCCATTTTCCTTCATTCTTTTGCATGACTTTTCCATACTTTTCAATTTCTTGTTCTGGTGTGAGTTTGGGACCACTAGACAAAGAACCCAATCGATCTACTTCGCCAATACCATCGATATTCTTTTCTTGTGCCTTCTCTCGTTCGTTTTTGGAGTTTGCAATTTCCTTCTTGTCTTCATTTCGTTGCTCGATCGCTTTCATTAACTCGGTCACATTGACTCGTTGTTGTTCTTCTTGGATGGAGATTCGAATTTGAGCAAGTAATTGTTCAGCAAGAATTTTCTCGCTTTTGGAAACCTTATCTCCGTCGAGAATTTGCAAATGAGGCAAAGTACCAATCACAAACAATCTATAGTTTTCATATTTCGTGCAAGGATTACCCAACAAGTGTAATTCTTTTAAATTGTAATTGCATTTCAATCGTTCCACACTCAGCAAATCCCAAACAAAGTTTGCAGTCAGATCCAATTTTTCTAAATGTTCATTCGATTCCAATCCCTCTACTCTTGTTAAATTATTGACAGCCATATTGAGATATCTCAGATCTTTCAAATGATGCAAATTTTTGATAGTCCCAATCAAATTGTTTTGTAAATACAAAATTTGTAATTCTCGGCAAAAGACTCCCAATACTTCATTAATTTCCTCAATATCAAATTGATGCAATGTAATTTCTTTAAGAGTGGATAATTGCCCTTCATTGTGTTCGCTTCTTTTCCGAAGCAATTCTTCAGTAATTTCAACCATATTAGAATTGTTATATCTACGTAGAATAATACTATTCCGATAATCTAATAATTTGCAATGATGATAACCGCTAATTTTGTATAACCACCACTTCCGAAAGTAGAATCAACAAGTGCCAGGAATGTTGTGTTGTATTTTTTTTCTGTAAATCGCGCAAAGAGGGAACAACTCTTTATGATCATCATTCGGAAAGCTCCGAATATTCGAGTATACGTACAATTACATGACATGGATGTTCATTTTCGTACAAAATTGAGTTTTCAACGAGATTCTTCGTTTTGAAGCGAATGGCACCAATGCTTCTTCATTGGCAATGGTATCAAAACATGACTTGTATTGACACTCATTTCCATAGAATCCCAATGCTGAATGACACTGACAGGTATCAGGTGCTACACAATTTCCTCTTCCTTGACACACATTCACAGTGTCATTGTTCCATTTTCCAAAACATTGAAAATTTTCACAATTCACACCAAAATATTGTGAAAAACATGAACAAGTCCCATTGGCATTACAAATACCATTTCCAGAACATGCGAATGGTGCATTGGATGAATTGGACAAGATACCATTGCATTGGAAAATGTCACAATTTTGTCCGAAAATATTTGGCTTACAGAGACAATGGTCTTGAGAGAGACAGAGACCATTTCCTGAACAGACATTGGAGAACGATGCTGAAACTCCATGACAGCTCCAATCGAGAGCAACTGCAACCGAGCATGATGTTTTCCACAGGATCCCATATAAGGCATTCCTCCTAACTCGGATCTTGAGATGGCAAGAACGGGTTTTGAAATTTGTGACAAATTGTACTTGCTGGAAATTTCAAAATAAATATTCGAACCCATTCCATAGATATTTCCAGATTGAGTGATGAAATACGTGTTTGTTTCACTTGAAAATGCATCCATAATTAATTCTGAATTTGGTAATGGAATGAGTGAACTTGTCTGATTGAAAATCATGGCCGTAAAATCATCAGCCAATAAAATCAAATGAGTTCCCAATACAATTTTTCGAATTCGTTTCGTATCCATCACTCCTCCTTTCACTTGTTCAAAATCCCAATAATTACTCGAACCAATATTGGAAGAAATTTGACCCTTCTTGTTGTCTCCACTTCCAAACACTCGTCCATGATTCGTTAACACAAATGTCACGCGATGTCCAGCAACAACTTGTGTAATGTATTCATTGTTGGATGCATTCACAACATGAGTGACATTCAAAACTCTCAAATTTTGAACATCAAAATTATTTCCTTGATACCAATACATTCCACTTAATTGTCCTTCAGCATTTCCTCCAACTCCGTACAGAGTCATTCCATCTGAAAGTAACAATACAGAATGATCGAATCCAGTCGCCACTTGTGAAACAGCAAAACCCAAAGCACTTGAATATAATGTTAAATTATTCGAAATGGTACTCGTATAAAACATGTTATTTCCTAATTGATAACGGTCGTTTTTACCCCATGAGAATGCATTTCCATCAAAACTCACAGCCATGACATGAGCTCCCATATGAATAGAGAGATCAAGAAAATTAGTAACAGTTCCTACCACACTGTCTAGAGAGAGTGCTGAATAAGGAAATGAAATCAAATTTGGATTTGGAGAGCTACCTGCCAATGCCAACGTGTTGCTGCAGTTTCCGTAGAGATAAATTTGTTCAATACTTGTGGCGATGGTATGCTCGATGGCGAACGTACACGAATCACCAGTGACAAGTTTGGCAACAGGTTGTGTTGGAGTGGCCACTACACTAGGTGTTTTGATAATCTATATAAATGTTCACACAAGTCGCAACAATGGCAAAATGAAACATTCATGAATATAAGGTAATTAAGGAAACCAATTTTGGGAGATCATGGATTCATTACGATCATTATGCACACACAATCGAATACTCACCTTTGAATCTGAAACACATTGTTGTCCATTCAAATTAAATCCAAAGGAATACACAGCATTGTCGGTAACAACAAATCCGTATTGAGAGAGTAATTTTGCAGCTTTTGGCGTCGATCCATTCGGAATGTTCATCAAATTCACAACATTATTATTCGTAATTCCAGCTTGATAAATATTTCCCCATGTATACACATTTCCATTTTCAGTTTGGCAAAGACATGCAAAATTCGAAACAGAACATTCCACAATTTTTGAGACCAAGTTTGGAAAATGAACGGTCAGATTGGTCGGCGTTGGAATGTTTCCATTTCCTCCTTCTGGTAGAACTTGTCGGTCATCATTATCTCCCATTGTAAACACATGTCCATATTGTGTTAAAATCAATACATGTTTTGTTCCAAAATGAATCGATTGGATAGGTCCAGAAGTGACATAATCCAAACTAGACACAAAAACTGGGTAATTATACACTTGATAATCCACACTCGTTCCAAACGAATAAATGTTATATCCCATAAAATACGCTCCAGTAGCATTGACAAATGCAGCCACAGCACTCATTCCACTATCGGCAAAATCTGGCGTTGAAGAAACATGATACATTCCTCTCAATGTTGGAATTAAGGTTGGATTGGATACCAACGTGCCATCGACACCATGTCCTCGAATTCCCTTATTAAAAGATCCCCATGAAAAAACAAAACCATTCTGAGTCAAGACAAACTTGGTTTCATCGCCTAATTTACCACCGAGTGCGACTTGTGAACATTTCACATTGGTAATCGTTTCAAGTGTTTCTGGATCTTGAAAGGATGAAGGTAATGTGACGAGAGTCCATGGACTGCCACCTGTCAAGGTTGTTTGTCGAATGTAGGTGAGTCCATCTTCGGAGCAGGCAAGACAAGTGGAATAACCACAGGCAATACTAGAAATGTTTTTTCCAAAGAGTGGATTTTGAGAATTACCATTTTTGGTATAGGCATAATTCAAAGTCAAATCTGTAGCAATGATAGGAACAGCTCCAATTCCTGCAATTCCATCCTTATTATATCCACATGAAAAAACATGTTGTGAAATAAATAAATCCGATGTCGTATTTTTGAAATCAATGACAAATGTTGTAGAATCAGCACCAGCTGTCACATGTCGAACATTCAAAGCGACATCTTTTGGAACTTCCGAACCCACAGGCATCTCCAATGCCAAATTATAAGTCCCTCCTTGATTCGAAATAAAATAATTCACAAGATCATTATTCAACGTCGGCATCATGAATGAATTTTTCAATAAATTTCCAAATCCAGCTTCTCCATCCACATTTCGACCCCATGAAAGAATAGTTTGAGTTTGAAAATAGGGAGAAGATAACGCTCGAGAATATCCCAAGAACAGCTGTTCTTCCAAAATCAATGTCAGTACGATGATGAGAGCGAAAACAAGTAACGACGATGAGACTCGGAACTTCATGATGTCTTGGTGTGTTGATTATTTTTATGAAGGATGACATTGTTCACAAACACAACACATTCATGAAAACAAACTGTAACAAAAGGTCAATATCTTTTTTCGTTGTTGATAAAAAAATAAAAATTCAAAAAGAACTTAGTGTGGCAAGTGACAATGCTCGGAATTCTTGCTTGGGGCCTAAACCGATCAAATCCAAAGAGTGTTAAATGTTCGATGGCCTTTTCCCAATGTTTGGAAACTCGAATACATGATCCGATGATCGTTCGTGTGGTTAGAAATTGTAGAATGTGAACAATCATCTCCATGCGAAGATCCGAAATGATTGGAGAGCTTGAGCTCCCTCCTTCTCAATGAAATTGAATCCAACAAAGAGCTTTGTAAATTTGTCAAGAATATGTCCTTGATTCTGCGAGACATTTCGCTCCTTCATTTCAAATTTCACAATTAGTCAAATTGAATCGCGTCAAATGACACAAGTGTGGTCAGTCAGATTTCAGAGCGAGTAGTCCCTTATTTCCAATAATGTTGGTACTCATGTTGAGATCAGTTAAATTGTTCATGTTCTCGCTTCTAGAACCCACGCTTTTCAATCCCGCTCCAAAAATGTATTTAACGTTCAAAACTCGAAAATGTTTCATGGTTGGAGAGTTCACAATAGCTCTCAACCCAAGCACATCATATTCATGGCAAGGTTCAACTCGGTTAAATTGGATTTGGATATATTTACAATTTGGAAATTAAGGATGGTGGCTCATTAAAACTATCCCGATCAGAAAAATTCAATGATTTTTGAATTTCCAATGAATGTTGCAAATATCTCAAAATAAATTCAGATTCTAAATATTGCAAAATGTAAAATACAATATCATCTGGTATTTGAGTTTACTCAAACATGGCACCTTGACACATACTCAATCGTTTTGTGTATTACTCAATTGGTATTCATCAAAAGTGGGCCAGAGATTCAACAACTCTTTTTTTAAAAAAGGAGCCTTCTCAAGGGCAAGATCAAAATCATGTTTTGCCTTATCCAATTCTTGTAAGTGAAAATAAGCTTCTCCTCTGTTGAAAAAAGCAGCATAATAGTTTGGATCCAATTCCAAAGATGAATTACAATCTTGAATGGCTTCATGATATTTTCCCAATTTAATTTTTACATCTGCTCGATTGGCATAAATGATTTCCAAATGTTCTTGCAAATGTTGCTCGTCAATATATATGTTTAACAGCTTGAGAGCGTTTTCATAGTCTCCCTCAAGAACACATAATACATCCAGCGAATATAATGCATTTCCTATCCAGAGACAATTCGGATATGTTTGCGCAATATTCAATGCAAATTGTTTAAGACTGTTTCCACATAGGAACAAGTTAAACGGAAATGGAGTTTCAACCTTCTCGACCTGTTGGGAGTTTTTGTTTTCTGTGTTGGATTCATGTGTCATATCATTAACAGGACTATCAGTGATAGTAGTAGCTCTACTTTCACAAATTTCAAGAAGTGCAATCTCTGCCCTAAGCACGTGCTCACATGCCTTATCAATTTCATTCATATTCACGTGTAACATGGCCAACTCACTATGGGCAACATAGATTTGGTATTTTTGTGTTTCCCATTGAGGTGTCTTGTCATCAGCCCTCGACGAGTCCGCAATATCAAATGCTTTCATGAAGTCTTTCAATGCCAAATCATATTTCTTGAAATATTGCATCAATAAAAATCCTCGATTCATGTATGCTTGATAGTATGCAAACAGCATTGCTGTTGAAAGACCGTTCTCTTGTTCCATCTCGTGAATGAATTTGATGGCTTTTGTATAATACTGGAGAGCTTGTTGGTGTTGATTCATGCCTACATAATTACTTGCAATATTCGAGCATAGTCGAATTCGATGACATTTCTCAGCAGAGTGTAATGGAGCGTCATGACTCGTGTTGTTATCAATGAGAGTGCCATCAAGAGCAACAACGCCAAAATGACGACCATGACCCAATGATCCCACTGTGAAGTTGGTATCAGAATGATTTTCAATACGATTCGACAATATTTCAATGGTCTCTATACAGAGTTGATTACCCTTTTCAAGATTGGTATGCCACTGGTCTATATTTACATCCAATGATGCACGCGCCACTCTCCAATACAAACCAGCTAATCGGTCCAATATCTGTGGATCTTGTCGTACTCGTGGATGTATGTGTATGATTCTCTCATAATCTTCAATTGCCTTTTCATAATCTTGACCTTGTTCGTAAATGAAGGCTCTTGTTAAATAGGCCTCAGTACAATCTGGATTCAGTGAAAGGCATGTTTCAATGTCTTGGAAGGCTTTATCCATTTGATTCAGGGTGAGATAGACACGTGCTCTAAAGTAATAACCATTAACCAAGAGAGGATTGAGTTCAATGGATTTACTTAAATCTTCGATAGAATTTTGAACCCAACCGCGAGCTAGATAGGCAAACACGAGAGTTTTCTTGTCTTGTGCTGAGAGAGAGTGTTCAGAAGTCATTGTAGTTAATCTTTGAATCAATTTCGAAGAAATGGTTGCTGCTAGAGCGTAACTTTGTTGTTCAAAGGCTTCAACTATTTGCGTTCTAAGATCTGCCATTTCGAGTTCAGGAGACTTCTTTTCCGTTTGATAAAAGACTATGCATTTATGGAATTCTCGGTGTTGTGGTTCATGGTTGTGGAATGAAACATTTCCGAACAAGAAAAATTGTTGGGAGGATGGAGTAGTTGTTGTTCGATTGAGACAAGGACCCAATATGACCTTGAAAATCTTGCGGGCAAAAGAGTGGCATGATCTGTGTTGTTTGAGCATTTTTTTTATGAAAAGTTGCACATCGCGAGAGTTCAGTTGGCACAACATCCTCTGGGTTCGATCAAAAATCTTATGTTGATATATAGTTCTTTTGGACTTCAATCAACCAGCTGCCAGATTGTATTGTTGATTGCCAGGTTGAGTTATTGTTATATAAGTTCAATTAGTAACCAATTGTATCAGAAGAACAACAACAGCAACATGACGACACACACAAAGGTCACAAACGGCCCTTGTTGCTTCCTATCACTCACTGCAAGAGATGCCTGTCCATTGTTGACTCCTCACGACGTTTTTGGTGAGGTCTTTATAGATACCTTTGGAGAGGTGTTAGGTTGAGAGTAGAAAGGATGGTGTCACTTGTCACAGTTCCATTTCTCAGTGAAACCAACAATGAAATATTTGGATAAGGGAATGCAGCACTTCCAATATTTGGTAAATTCAATTTCAAATTCATCGAGGTCCATGTTGCATTACACAATGAAATATCGTTCACGGTAAAAGCATAAACCAGCAATACAGATGCATTCAAAGCACGTTGATACTCGTCGACACTGGTTTTCTTGAGCGTTGAAAAAACCATGTACCATTCGTTCTCTGAACACAATCCTTGAAGTTTTGATCGTCCAACCCGATTTGAAAATTTTGCTTGATTACTAGGATATAATTCTCCTCCAATGACTGCACCCACTTTGAGTTTTGTGTCAAAAATATGTTCAAATCTGGAATTCTCGATTGTAAAAGTAGTAATCTTGTGGAGTGGTGGTTGCAGCCCCAGGTAAATGCATCATCATGCAATCCCATCGAGGAGAAGTTACCGAAACGTCACACTAATTATTCGTAGAACCATTGCCCAACGGAGGACAAAAATGGGAATCTTGTGAAACGAAAAACTTGGTCTCATTAAAGGCATTGTAAAAAGCAGCAAGAACTCTCCATCGTGTAGAAAGAGGAGCCATCTGGTTGGTGTTTGTCAAGGTGACAGCATTTTGACCTTGAAATAAAATCAAATGTCTCTAGTGTTTTAAGTTATATCTGGACAACAAGGATTCCAAAAAAACTCTCAAATTGGGTGTCTTTTCTCTTTTTCAATCTTAAATATTTTCTCAAGTAGGTGTTCATCAGAATGAATGGTTTTGAAGAATATTACACAAGAAGATTTTCCACATTTGCAAAGATGAAATTATTCCGTATGGATTCATCCAACAACAAGACATAAGTGATGATCACAAGTGTGTGGAAGTCAGTGATCATGTTCTTTTCGTTGTCGAATGAGACGATTGATGCGAGATCGTGTTGTTGCAGGGTTTCGACCTGTTGAAATCAAACATGTTTTGAGGTGAGTCTGATTTACGGTTGTTATGTGAGAGGAGTAATGACAATTTCATTGTTGATGGTCATGGATTGCATGGTTGTATTGTCTCTATACAAAAGACAATAACACTTCAGTGTTAGATGACATGTGGCAGAGCTTGTCATCTTTGTATTCCATGAAAACCAGATGTTCTGAACAGACTATGGTGACCTCTCTTCTGTGGTACGTTCATTGAACTTTAAGTGTTCCAAACCGATTTCTTGAGATTAAAAAAAAAGGAAAAAAAAATGGGTCGACTCTATATAGCAGCCAACACTTGTCTCGGAATGACTTGTGTGTTGGGAGTATTGGGAGCTTTGGCTTTATTTTCATTATCGATTGTGGATACGTTGAATGTGGATTATAGTAGTCATGTGGATAATAAGGATTTTTGTGCAATTACTGGTAGGTTGTTATTGAGATCCGAATCATCATCAATATGATGAAATATTTATATGAATTTATCATGATGATATATTTCTATATTTGGAAATTGCACATTGATTATTGAACCATTTCATCATCATCATCATGACGACCACCCAATATCCATCTCTGCTCTTCATCCATAAAACCATCGTTATGGATCTCTCTCAAAATTTCACAAAAATTCCATCACGACCAAAAAAATCTTTTCTGTGAAAATTTTCAACAACACTTTGATTGTTCGCTCATTCTCAAACGACTCCATTGGACACACAACAGTTCTCAACGATCATCGTCCTTTCAGTGTTCAATACATCCTTCCTTCCAATACCGATTCGAACACGACTCAAATTTACAAAGTTTGCGCCGAAGTTCAACCAGGATCTCTCGCCGGTCATAACGGAACGTTTTGTATCTATCCGAGTGTTCCGTATGATTCAAAGGGAGAACCCATTGCGTCTCAAATGAAAGCATTTTGTGGTTTTTCATTGAATGTCATGTTTGAACGATTTGGAATTGTGTTGGGATATTTGCTTGGATTTTTGTTTGCATTGTTGTGGTTGACCATGGGTCGGAGAAGTATTGAGAATAATAAGGTCAAGTGGACGGGAAGGATTTTTGGTGGAATTTATACGGTAAGTGTGTGTGTCAATTTATGAGTGTGTGGATGAAGAGATGGTTCAATGAAATGATTCAAATGAAATTATTTGGAATGATTTATGGAACTTTTTCCAATTTTTCACATGGTTGTGAACAAATGAAATTTCATAGGTTTGGAGTGTATTGAGTATTGCTGCTGCATTTTATTTAATGATTGCAGATGCTTCTCGTGTTGCAGCTGGAGTGGATTGGTGCAATAATGTCTATGTTCATAATTATTGTAATCCTGGAGGATTTGACGGACCTGTAGAAGAATGTAAATGTGATTTCAATCTCTATATTGGAATGCCATTACTTGGGGCTTGCTTAATTCTTGTCTATGTATTCTCTACCATTACATGCATTGTGAAATGGATTGCAGAATATAGAGCTGTCCGTGAAGGTTATCGTGATTTGGATGCCTCAGTTGATGAATTGACCAAACAATAATTTGAGTGTGTGACAAGGTGCACTCCACCACAATTTTTTCAAACCCATTAATTATCGACGCAACCTAAACTAATTGACATTTTTGATAAAAACCCACAACAACCTTGTGAATTATATATTAATCTTGTCCAAAAGGATATCCGTTTGCACACAATTTTCAACTAATATTATTCACACATTTATTCCTCCCATTTGGCATGGAATTTTCCTTGCATGTCAAGTCTTTCAAAGGTGTGAGCTCCGAAAAAGTCTCTTTGAGCTTGAATCAAATTGGCTGGCAAGCGTCCTCTTCGGTACGAATCATAATAAGCCAAACTTGAGGAAAGAGCAGGTGTTGGAATTCCAGCATTGATGGCCAATTGAATGATCTTTCTCCATGAAGCTTGTCTCTCAGCAATTTCCTTATTGAAATCTGGATCTAAGAGTAAACTTGGTAAATTAGGATTGAGGTCATAGGCATTCTTAATACGATCCAAAAAGATGGCTCTAATGATGCAACCACCCTTCCAGATACGAGCAATTGAGCCAAGTTTAAGATTCCATCCATATTGCTTGGAAGCTTCAGCAATCAAGTTCATTCCTTGTGTGTAGGAACAAATTTTGGAGCAATAGAGAGCATCTTTCAATTGTTGGATCAACACCTTCTTGTCAATGGTTTCTGTGAGGTCGTTAGGAGTTGGTCCTGTTAATTGCTTTTCAGCTTGCAATCGTTGATCTCGCAATGAGGAAATGTAACGTGAATCAAGTGCAGAAGCCATGGTTGGAATGGCAATTCCTCTCTCAGCTCCCTCTTGCACTGTCCATTTTCCGTTCCCTTGCTACCACTAACGTCAACAATTTTGTCAACAAGATGGCCCTCTCCTTGATCATCCTTCTTCTTAAAAATCTTACTTGTAATTTCAATGAGATAGCTCTTCAATTCAGAATTATTCCATTCAGTAAAAGCTTCAGCAATTTCTTCATTGGTCAATTTACCAACACTCTTCATCATGTCATAAACTTCAGCAATAAGCTCCATGTCACCGTATTCAATTCCGTTGTGAACCATTTTCACATAATTTCCAGAGCCTCGTTCTCCGATATAAGTGACACAAGGGGCTTCATTTTCCAATGGAGCAGCAATCTTTTCCAAGATGTGTTTCACTTGATTGTAGGCTTCAAGAGGACCTCCAGGCATGAGAGATGGTCCGTGACGAGCTCCTTCTTCACCGCCACTAACACCCATTCCCATATATAAAATTCCATTTTCTTCGGCTTTCTTTGCACGTCTTTCAGTATTCAAGAACCATTCATTACCACCATCAATAATAATGTCTCCCTTGTCAAGAAGAGGTGTCAACAATTCAATGGTAGCATCGACTGGATTACCTGCTTGGACAAGCATAATAATCTTGCGAGGCTTAGAAAGACTATTCACAAATTCTTCAATGGTTTTAAATCCATCAAGTTGGTAGGCACCTTTTCCTTCATCTTTGGCTCTTTGAACCTGTGATGTGGATGAACAGCCATTCAATTAATATGTATTGCAATAAATATATGGATCATAATATTTTGAAAGTAATTAAATCGGTCGAAAATCGGTGGCGGATCATTCACACAAGCAATGATTATATATTTGATACAATTCAATGAAAATCATCATCATGATTCACATACAGTATGTTCAGTCTTTTCATAGGATCTATTGTAAACTGAAATCTTGAATCCCTTGTCAGCAATATTCAAAGCTAAATTTTGGCCCATAACAGCCAAACCAACTAATCCGATATCTGCCATGTCTGTGTTGTTGGCCATCATGATATCATCCGCAAACATCGGAAATATGATTCGTCCAGTCATAATATATGTTGTTACAAGCAAGTCCAGATCATTTACATCATGTTGTGTAACACACGGAATCGGAAAATCAACATATATTTCAAATCATCACCTTCTCTTCTAATAAACTTACCTCTTATTAGATTCTCGTTGTTTGAATTTTTTTTTAAGGTGGAAAAAACATTTTCATCAACGCTTTTGTGTCCTAATGAGGATCAACCAGCGGCCTAATTGATGTGCCTACATCATTATTGTTCATCATGAAGAATCAACAAAGCATAGACGTGCGTACAATCAATGAGTTTGTGCATTTTCTGATATCGGAGCTACATTCTTGAAATTCTCCACTTTGCTCACTCGCATCAGGACAAGGGTTTGATGTCCATCATAAAAGACAACAAGGGTTTTCAAACACAAAGAACAAAAAATCTCTCTATTGGCTCTCTCTCTGTTCAACATTTGAATTTTTCTACTACTGACTTTTCAAATTAACAACAAGAAAAATGGCTTATCCAAAGGCAGTGAACAAGATGGACAATATAACGTAAGTCATTCTGATGAAAAAAGTGTTTGAGAAACAATCATTTTGTGGATGATCGTTATTATTGGGAACAACATTCTCAATGATAATCGGAATGATCATATTTAATTTACTTTAATTACTTGTATTATTTTGAACAATCATCATCATGAACAAACGGATCATGAATAACGTGTAGAATGGTCATTATGGGAGCATCGGGAGATTTGGCCAAACGTAAATTATTCCCTGCTCTTTTTACTTTATTCAAGGAAGGCTTTTTAGGAAAGGCTTGGAGAGTCATTGGATACGCAAGATCTAACTTGAGCAAGGAAGAATTGATCGAGACGCACCTCATGCCATTCCTTAAAAAGTTTGAAAAGAAAGATTTGGATGCTTTCTTTGAACACGTTTATTATCAATCAGGTCAATATGACAAGGATGAAGATTTCAATCAATTAAACAAGTTGATGGAAAAGTGTGAAGAAGAAGGAACTAAAATTCTTGAAGAGGAGTTTAGAACTCAAATTGAAAATAAGTGTCTCAGCGAAGATGAAGTGTTTGAAGATACCGAATCAAGATCACCAACTACAATATTCAAGCCACGAAAACACAGATTCTTCTACTTGTCATTGCCACCCAACGTCTTTCTTGTTTCAGCAACCATGCTTGGAAAGTACTGTAAGACTCAAGGAGGATATAACAGAATTGTCATTGAGAAACCATTCGGAAGAGACTTGGTGACATTTAAGAAATTGTCCAATGGATTGTCCAAAGTATTCGAAAAGGATGAAATTTATCGAATTGATCACTATATTGGAAAGGAAGTTGTTCAAAATTTGCTTGTCCTCAGATTCGCTAACATTATTCTTGAACCACTGTGGAACAGAAACACTATCAAGAGTGTTCAAATTAATTTCAAGGAAGAATTGGGAGTAGAAGGAAGAGGAGGTTATTTCGATTCATATGGTATCATCAGAGATGTGAGGTGAGTATACACTACTTGATAGATTTTCATCAACAATATTATTGTCACACTTTTTTCGTTGCATACCTTTATTAATCTATCATTCATATTTACTACAACACAACAGCCAAAATCACTTGTTACAAATTTTAGCACTCATCGCTATGGAACCACCAGTGACTTTGAGTCCAACCGATATTCGTAATGAAAAGATTAAGGTACTCAAGTCCATTCAACCTGTCAAGATGGAAGACATTGTAGTTGGTCAATATAAGGGTAAGACCGTCAATGGTGAAAAGACCCTTGGCTACAGAGAAGATCCTACTGTTGCTGACGATTCCATAACTCCAACCTATGCTGCTTGTGTCTTGAAAATCAGAAATCGAAGATGGGATGGAGTTCCATTCTTCCTTGAGTCAGGCAAGGCTCTCGATGAAAGATTGGCCGAAATTCGAATTACTTTCAATGATGTTCCTGGTAATTTGTAAGTTTGTGACACACTTCTCTGGTTATTTGGAGTTAATGGCTAACCTTCTTTTGGCAATTATTGTTAATTTCACACATAGATATCATCATGCGGTGGTGAGCGCCAATGAATTAGTGATTCGTATTCAACCAAACGAGGCTATTTATTTCAACATTGTAAACAAGGTTCCTGGATTGGGAGAAAAACTTTCAGAATCTCAACTCAACTTTACATACAAGAGCACCTATGATCCAAAGAAGATTCCTGATGCGTATGAACGTCTCATTCTCAACATGTTGCAAGGTGACGAATCAAACTTCTTGTCTGAAGATGAACTTAAATATTGTTGGCAAATCTTTGATCCAATTCTTCATGAATTACAAGAAAAACTCGTTCAACCAGAGGTACGTACATTAATCACACTACAATTCAACGTTTATTAAACATGATGACGACGAATACAGCCATACGTTATTGGAAGCGCAGGTCCTACCGCAGTGCACTATCTTCGAGCTCGATATGGGCTTGTTGCAAGCAAAAATGTGAGTAAGATACCTCCTGAATTTTATTCAAGCCTTTAATACATATTTTCAATTATCAAAATCCATCAATTTTTTCAAAATAGCTCGGGGATTTAGATTTGTAATTTAAAATGTTATGTAGCATTTACTTAATACCTCGAGTGTGTGAGGTGAAGCACTAGAATGACAGATAAATGTCATTGATTTGTTTTAAATAATTTTTAATTCTTTTAGAGTTTTCAGTCGAGCAACATTACCAATAATCCTTGTCATGTACAAATATTCCATGTCATCCTTCTTGCTATTGCCGATTTCGAGAGCTGCAATTAATTTATCTGTTTGATTTGTAAACCGAGATGTAATTTCCGTATGATCCTGCTCAAAGACAAACGATCCTAACATTTCAAAAAGTTTCAAAAGATAGAACGGTTTGCCATTGAGTGGATTCTTTTGCGAGCAAGTGCGTTCGTTTAGCAATATTGAAAATAGTACCTCAATCAAACATTTCATGAAGAGAATTTGTTCCCTTAAGGCAGAAATCATTTTTGTCATTCGTTCAAACATGACAGAGCTCAATTCCCATTGTCGTTCCATACTATCTTCGGGTCTTTCGGTCACAAAGAATGAAAGATACCTGGTCAACAAATCGGTCCAAAATTGCTGACAATTTAGAGACAAGCCTTGTGCAAACTTTTCAAGAACGAGTTTGATAATTTCAATTCCCCTATCAAACAATTCAATTTGCAATAGATCTCGATCAGTCACATGTCGAATGACCATCTCTAAATTTTGATTCACCATGTAAATAGAAATGCGATCCAGTGAGATTGTATCCGTCGTGGTAAGAACTCTCTCCAAGAATTTAATAGCCTTTACGACACCCATTGGTTTTGTATTTGGTGTATTCTCAATCATTTTTGCATAGAGACGATCATGAATATCAGAGAGTGGAGATTGAGGTGAAACAAATAATTCTTCATTGAGAGCAGTACAATGTCCCATCTTGAGCTTCTTTACGGCCATTGCTTGTTCCATTTGCCTCAATGGAATCCATCTCAATTCATCATCATGCTCCAAATATTGCAAATCCGATGATGCCACGAGTGGTTCACTCGTCGATTCTAAATGATCATTTCCTTCATCATCATCTTGTACAATTTCAATGCTCTCTTCAAAATATTTCTTGGCTGATATAATAAATTCATTCAAATCCATTGCTTCAATCCATAACCCTCTTGCAAAGCCTTGTTTAAATTTTTTTTGTAAAGTCATTTTACAGGGGCAACCTTACAAAAAAAATTACAGAGCCTCCCGTGATCTACAGCACAGCAAAGGTTTTCAATTCGGTTTGAAGTCGTTGAAGAGAGGAAATGATGGTATTGAACTCTTCATCGGCTACATGTGGTTGTTGATGTAGCAGTGAACGGGATGATGATGAAGATGAGAGGAAGTAGCATTCGTTGCAGCTGATGGATGATTCAATGGTTCAACATTAGGTTCCGAATGAATGATCGGACGGGAGGACATCAAGCTACTGGATGAAATGGTTTGAAAGTGGGACAGGTCGTTATGAGGGGCCTCGATGTGGTTGGCATGGGTTATCGGCAAGGGTAAATAATGATTGTTGGAAAAGGAACGAGGTTGTAACACATTGGTAATTTCATTAATGTCATCAACTCTTAAGGAATTAGCCGTGATAATATCCGAGGATGGGATTAAGGGAGTTTGGTTGGCAGGTGGTGATGTGTGGTGTTCTGTCATGATCATTTCATGGTGATCGTCATCTCCAAGTAATTGTGTGTTTGAAGAGGATTCTGTGAAAACAAAAGTATCAACGCTGAGTGACATTTTCTGATCTAATTCATCTTCCAAATTTCCAAAAAGAATATTGTCATAGTTTTGAGTGAACATGTTTGGTGAAGGTCGTTGGGGCAAAGAAGTAGTAGCCTTTTCAGAGAGTGACGGATGTTGGGAAGAAACTGCTGCTGCTGGTTGCTCGTTGACCTTAATTTGCTGAGTTGTTAATGTCTGTGACGGAGGCTTTTGTATGGGTAGAGCTGGTTGCTGCTTTACGAACGTAATTCGTACCAAGACCTGACCTGTTAGTTTCTTGTTCTGTATCGAGTCATACAGATTATACCATCCACAAAGGTCTGTCGAATAGGAGAGAGGTGATAGATCAATAATTGCCACACCAACAATTGCTTCATGACCGTTCTTCTTGACTTGGTCTGTAATTTTTAACATGATCTCATTGTTGTATTTTGAAAACTCGTCATTAATGTGGATAGAGGTGTAGTTTTTGGAGAGTAAGTCTTGCGTGACAAGTTCCGTATGACCTCGTAGTATTGAGAAATAAACTAAATAATCGATGTTTGAATCGGAATGAAAATAGAGATGTTAGAGAATTCCTATTACTACAAACTTACGTTGTCCTTCATATTCAATCTCATGTATTCGTTCAATGGTAAGCTGTACAGTGCCTCGAATAGTACTTGTTTTAGGAACAAAGACCTCTTCCGAGGAAGATGACGAAGATGACTCTATTGAATTCTCTACGGAACCAGAGCGATGGTGATTATTCTTTTCAGATGGTAAGACACTATTCTGTAACAAGTCTCCAAGAGTCTCCTTCATTTCTCTAATATCGTTTCCAATTTTTGTTATTTCATTCCTATAAATTTTCTCAAGTTTTTTGAATGCATGAGAAAGTGTCACAAATGAAGTGGATGACGATTTCACATCATTGTCCGAAAGATAGTTCAATAGGTTTTCTCCTTCTTTCTCTTCAAGGTTTTTCTGTTGATACGTCATGAAGACTTGTTCGTTTGCCGATGTTGCCTTCTTTCGTTTCGATTTATCATTCAGTAACGATGCTAGCATAATACTCTCTTCATATATGGAATCATTCGCAAAGTTCTGATCCACGCGGGCGTGTTCATTGTGATTTGCAATACTACTCTCTGAAATCCAAGATTGATTTGCTTTGACTTGTTCTTCCTCAACCTTGTTGACATAGTCTACTAGAACTGAGTTTTTCGATAGAGTATCATCATCACCTGACGTCTTTGATGAATTGTTGTGATCTGTCTTTCTATAGTAAAGTCCACTATTTGGGAGGTTTTGGGTTGAAAATATTGGAATCTTTAAAATTCTTGATGCTGGCGGCCTTAGAGATGGTTCATAATCCATCATGCACGAAATTGTTTGCAAAGTGACAGCAGTCACTTCATAACTTGAGCTTCCTGTTAAATAATGTTTCAACACTGAGAGGCGATTGGTTTTTAAATCTAAATGCTTGGATAAAATTGTGTTGAAAAATTTGCTCTGTTTCATATATCGAGGATGTGAATATTCTTCATTTTCTGATTCAAGTCGAAGAATAGATAGCGTATTGATTACTTGATCTTCAATTCTCATGGAACTGAAGAGTGGATACGGAAGCATCATTTCTGAAAAAATGCATCCCATAGCCCAAATGTCAATCGCTATCGAGGTTGTATAAGAGTGCTTAATCTCGTTGTAGAGTTGTTTCTTGTACTTGTGAATTTTGTCCTTCTTTCCTAGAAAGATTCGAAACACCAACTCGGGAGGGCAATACCACAGCTGATTCTCGAAAAACTCCTTCACTAACACCTTATTATCCTCAAACTTGATGGTATAAGGATCAAAAATACTTTCCCCATGTGGATCCTCAATAAACTTGTGTAGCATGTCTGTTTTATCAATCACGTATGGTCGCAACATTACTTTTCGAGTCTTCTTCTCAATCAAAATGTTGCAAGGAGAAAATGAAAAATACGGTTCTCCCACAGCGTGAAGAATGGCAGAAGCCTCCAGACAGCATCTCATAACTTGAAATATTAAACTCTGTTTTAGAGGTTGAAAATTCTTATTTCGCAATCTGTTTTTATACAATAAATATCGAAGAGAAACAATTCCATCAATCTTTTCCACTGTACAGAAATACTTGTCCGTGTATTTTGATTGTTTTTCAATTTGTTCAAAATAAAAGCAATCCAATAAATTTACCAAATCCTTTTCACGAAGAAACAATAAACAATCAATCCGTGTATGAATATCATTATATTTCCTCAAGAGTTTTTCATCTTCCGATTGATATTTAGAGTGGTCGTAGGAATATAAATATTGTTTGGTAATTAAATAGTGATTGTGTGATGAGGATGACTTGCGATTTTTTTTCTTTTCCGATTTTCTTTCCGTTTGATGAGAAGATGAACGAGCAGAAGGATTATTTGATGATGAAGATGATCGCCTCACACAAATGTATTGATTATTGCTGAGGGTTTGCACCACCTCATAGTCCTCCATCTTTCAAGTTGTTTTTACTTTTTTTTAAATTTGTATAATTTTTGGCGGTTTTTTTAACCACGCATGAAACTATTTATTGTGACATGATAATGTACACTTTTCAGAGCCACTCTCCAAATCCAAAATAATGATACAATCATCTGCATGGTTTTCTGGTTGTCTTACAATGAATAAGTCCTTACCACGAACTTCTGCATATATTTTGGACGATTCTCGATTCACGTTGATTGGAGCATGGGTTTGAATGGGAACAGAATCTGATGATGAATGCTTGGACCATATAGAACGAAACAACAAGTCACCATTATCTGTTCTAAATCTTTCAATGATGAGCTCATTGTTGTACGTACTTAATATAATCAAATCATATTTACAAATGTCATCCAATTCAGAGTAATTGATCTCCATGTCATGACATGCGAAATGAGGAGATTTACATAATTGATATTGTTTCATTCGTTTCCTAATTTCACTTCCAGTCAGAGGCACCTTGACAATATCAACATTCGTGCTCTCCAACACAATTTCTTGATTTTGAGGTAGAGACTCCCATTTTGTTTCAATAGTCATGGATGTTAGTTTCTCATTGTTATAGGTACATGTGGATTCAATTAATGCAATACGGCTCAATGAATAAATAAATAAGGTAGTGACAATGGTTTCAACAGGCTCCTTGTATTCTCTAATAGATACCACATACATGTCACGAATCAACTCGCCATCAAAGAATATGAGAGGTCTAGCTGAGGAAGCATGCAATAGAATAGTTATGGTATCCTCTTCACTTCTCGACTCTATCCAATATTGCCCACAAATAATTCTTTTAACGGAAAATGCTTTGATTGCTGCGAAGTGAGCATTCATTGAGATTGGAATTAAGGAAGAAAGTGTCACACTCCATAAACGCTCACCATTCTCCACATTCCATGCAAAAAATTTGGAATAGTCTGCGTTGAGACAGGTCACAATTCCAAATTTCAAATTGATAGCATCGTTGAGAAGAATTTTAGTATTCGGTCCATCTTCATCTTCCCATACAAGTTGGGCGGATTCCTGAGTGATCACCTTAATACCACCATTGACTGCCAAAACCAAATAGTCTAACCTGTGATAGTGATAGATATAAATACAATTTAGGTATCTACTTGCATAGTTCTTTCTCTCATTTCTAAAATGCAATAATGTTTGTGCGCTTTGGGACCACACCAACTTTCTTGAAAAGTCATAAAATTCGAATGAATTTGAAGTAGCTCGAATTCCTCCCAATTTTCGCACAAGAGAAGAAGTAATTTGAGTAGCATTGACCTCACAGTTGTCATCTTTTGGAAGTAGTATTTGATCCACGAGTGGAGACATGGTATCCACGGCAAGATATAAATCAATCACATAAGGAGTTGAGTTGAGCTTGCTGAAGTCATACAAGTGACATCCATGAAATCCTCCGTCTCTATACTCAACTGGAATATCTGAGAGATAGTATCTATTGCTTTGATGGGAACTATTTTGCAATAGTGGAATGATGTTGGCGATGGCATATTGCGAGTGACAGACCCCACGACCACCACAGCTCAAGTCTTTCTTTACAACATGTACAATCTTATCACGTACAAGTATTCTTCTCGAGTGTAGCTTCTCACTGATAGCACAAAACAATTCCAAAGATTCACATCGATCCTTGGAACGAGTGTTCGGATCTGCTTTGTCATTCCTCATGTGCCACGTCACTCCGTAACAATCCAATAAGTACTGTCTCCACAAATATTCATTCTCCCTCACCAACTGGTACCAAGCCTTACAAACAGATGAAATTTGATTCAAAACGAATTTGGGATTCTGAAAAGATAAAATCAGGAGGAATACCTCTTGAGGAAAAACACCAGTTGGATAAAGCCACAAACTGATGTGTTGACAATGGTCATTTTCTAAAGCATTATGATTGAAGGTACTGGATTGCTCATGGTTTGTAGCCTCCGATTCGGAATCCACACCTGGGTGTTTGGAATTGTTTGTAGCGATCATCGTTTCTTGCATTTTTTCTGCTGAGAACGAACAAGGAACTTAGAGGGATCTTACAGCAACTGAGAGAACAATTTTCTTGGCTACCTTTCCATCATTCGTGCCACAGGTATTGGCTGCATTCGATAATAACAATTGATCCAATTTGGTATTCATGTCTCCTTGCAACCACGACGCGTTTCTTCGAAATTGTAAACCTGTGGTGCCAGTTGTGTTTTCAGACTGACATAATCGAATAACGTTTTAAATGTATCGCTCTGGCTGTTGAACTCGCCATTCAACTCCAATCCATTCATGAATTTGAATTGAATGGACAAATCAAGGAATGTCGGCTCGTCTTTTGCGAACGTTGTCGTATCATTCTTTGGATCATGAACAACATGGTTGCCAGTAATACCGGTATTCGTCTTGTTATGAGAGCGGGTCTCACGCTTTTCCAACATTTCCAAATGTTCAGTCTCTTGTTTGAGATGAGAGACTTCTTCTTCCGTGATGGAGTCTTCATCATCGCTCATTTCATCATCATCATCCATGACAAAATCTTCATCTTTGGGATCTTCACCGTCATCATTGTCCAATAATTCAGGTAAATTCAAGATGGTATAATTTTGCTTCGGAAGTAGATCCGACAAATCCCATTGATTGGAATTTGCAACAGCTAGAGCACACTTGACCACGTGTCTACACATTTGTTCTGAAAGCTTTTGGGGTTGTGCTGAAAACTCGGCATATTCTGGTAACGAGGTGGTTTGAGTTCCACAGAACGGACAAAATCCGTATTGAAAACATTTTTTTTGTGCTTCGAGAGCCAACTGGAAATTCCTAAAAGTCAAAGCGTTTTCGTTTTATTATTAGGGAGAATTAATACAACCTTAGAAGAAACGAGAATTTCCTTTCAGTAAATGACCATTCTTTTCATGAACACTCACTTGATGAATGTAAACCTTGTCATCTTCTGAATTTGTTTTCAAGTGAATACTCATTTCACAAAGCATTTTCTTATCGTCCTTCAACTCGTCAGTGGTTGGTTCTTCAAATTTGGCACAGACATACCACAAGCCCTTAAAATCTTTTTCCATTCCAATTTCATGAACGTTCTTGTTTTTGTAACGCTCACGCAACTCATCTACAGTGAATTCAAAGTATTGCTTATGATGGTGAGTTCCAAAGAGACAATAGACTTTGTTCTTTTTGTGATAACCAATCTCTCCAAAAACTCCATCCTTCACTATGTTTTTGGGAAAATTATGGAATATGAAAATTATGTTGCCATTGATAAAGGAGAACATCATCAAGCATTTAAAATTCGTTGCTGTGGCAAACGAAAAATTAATTTCAACTTACCCAAATGTACCCAAGCTCTCTTTCTATCACAAAAATGTTCGACTATTAGAGAAATGTCACGTCGGAATTTCAGTTTTTACACATTCTCATAAAACTAGCTCTGTTTACATACCTTGATAATCAATCCAAGCTTGCTCATCTAAAGCCTATCCAGGAAGATGAACCAGTCAATGTTTTTGAACCCATTCATTGCAAAAAACAATTTCAATTAAGGATCAATGACCCAAGTATTGCTTAAATTTTCCAACTTACTCTAACATGATCACCATCTCTCAACACGTCGGCAACATAATCCTCCTTACAGCATAAATATTCTGTATTTGGTGGATGATTTGAATTGGAGGATGAAGATAGGGTGCTAGAACTATCCAACAACATGAGATCATAAATCTTGGCATGTTTTCGTTTCTCTTCTTCATTATTCAATTGATAAGAACTCAGAATTTGAGAAGAGAATCGTTCTTCCATGTCGGAAAGTAATTGGCCAATCTTAATTTTCGTATCCTTGACAGGAAATACGAGGCGATGATTTCTAAACGCAACTCTGAGTCTCATCATTTTCCGATCGTGATGATAGTTATGAACGAGCTAAAGAGGCTGATGAATGAAATCCGATGTTGTTGGAGAGGGCAATAAGCTATACGCTCTTTCAATTTTTTTGTTGGTTTGGTCGAGAGAGGGTTGCATTGTGATGTTTATGGACATTGTATCAACAGGCCCATAAAAGGGAATAATCTCAAAAAATGTTACAATTTGAAAATTAAATATTTTATGGACATCAAAAGGTGGTTCATTAAACAACATCATCAAGGAATGACTCTTGTTCATAAATAACACATGGAGATTTTAGCTGTTCAAAATTGCTTCAATTTCCTTTTCTGATTTTCTTTGTTTGATGGCAATATTCACACAAGCCATCACAAATCCAATGAAAATAAAAGCAAAGAATACGTAGTGAAGATATTCGAAAATGACACCAATACCTTTCATGTGTTTCACATAAGTGTTAATCATAACCTCAATAACAGTGGACTGAGCATATTTGCTAAATGTTGTGGCACAGAATTGAACAATGGTGATCGAACTGAGCATCATGAGTCCTGCATTGAACAAGAAACTACTGGTCAAGGTGTCCTTAAATCGAATTGGATATACAGTGAAGAATGGAATTCGACCGGCTACTAGAATATTTCCTGCCAATGTACTAAACAATAAATAGAATGCAAAAATACTGTACAAAATCAATCCAAAGAGTGGGAATGCCAAATCGAACCAACGGAAGAATTCATTCAATCCACCCCACAACGGATATGGAGGAATGGAATAAACAATCAAGTGAGCAATCCATAAAAGAGAAATTAATCCCAAGACAAGTCCAAAGACGAGAGAGAAAATGTAGAGAACAATCCATCCACCTCCTCTTGCATAGGCAGTTTTAACCTTTTTGAAATCGTCATCGATTTGATAGACTGCATCCTTGAAGGCACGATAACTACGAATGGATTTTGGTTTGGCTCTGTTTCCAGGTTGTTTTCTCAAGTCGTCCAATCTCTATAGAGTGTGAGGTTCAGTGATTCGAGAGAGAAAATTTAAAAGGACATGACAAACAGTCATTGAAAAATTCACACACATAAATTTCAGTATCAAGTCCATCCCATGAGTTGAGGTGGTGATGATAGACATGTCACAAGTCAATAAAATTATTCAAAATCCCCTCATGGAGATGATAATGATCACTTACCTTACCAATTTCGATCAACTTGTGTGCTCTTGCTGCATACTTCTTTTGTTGAACAATAAATTCTGCCTTATCAATTTTCTTTGGACGATACACAAACCACAAGACACACTCCAAAGGAACGGCAGTCAAACCACATCCACCGCAAACACAGAAACAAACCCAACCAGCCAAACTCAAAATTGCCACATAATACACCAAAAACGACATTCTTACTTCAAAGCTATCTGGATAAGTATCCACAGCAGTACCAATTCCATTCTCAGCAGCTGATCTTGATGAATACGTGCTGGTCTGTACATATTTCTGTACAGGAAGAACAGCATTTCCTAACCAATATATGAAATACCAATAATTAACAAGCAAATACCAACGCAAATCAAAGCACCAACACCTCCCCACAAACATTGACGTAAAAATCCTTTTGGAGTACCTGCACGATCTTCATCATAGGCCTCATAGTAAATGAGCGCCCATGGCACCACAAAACAAACCAACACTCCAACCAAAGCGAACAAAATTTGCCAAATAATTTCGAGAGCGGAACCAATGCAACCTGCTTGTCGGGTATTCCACACGTCAAATGGAATGATGAGAATGACACACCCGGCAACTGTCATTCCCAGAATCTATTCCATGAAGAAGAGTGTGATGGAATGGTATCCAATAGTGTTAATGATGATGATGATGTAAATTCCAATGTACATATTGGACGAGTTGTAAAAATTTGTTGTTGAGTGTGTGAAATTTTGAAATGATGTATACAATCATGTTGTTTTTGAATGGATACATTGTATCCATGGAAATAGATGTACAAAGTCATTTCATAGTCATAGTGTGTGATCACACCCAAACATGGATCACAAAATGTATGAACCAGTAACAACCCATCAAAAGTCAAATGCCAACACATCATCACCAATCGATATTACATTAGTTGTATGAAGACCACAACAATAATAACAACACTTACACTTATCAGTTTGGGAATTATTCCTTGAAAACGATCGGCTGGACTCGACCAGAAAATAATAAACAACACGGAGAGGAAAATAATCACTGCTGGGAATATTCCCAAACAAATGATGAGGAAAATATTTGGGACTGTCTGTCCGTCAGTACAATCCATTTTCTTCTTCTTCTTGTTTTTGACACAATTAAATTAAAAAACAACAAATCGGATTGTGTGTTCTTATAAAAATTGTTGTTTGATGATTTTGTATACAAAAAGACTTGTATTCAACAAGAAAGTCACTCCAAAAAAAGTATTCAGTGACTGTTGGACTACGACGACGACGATGATGATGATATGTTTTGAATCAACGTTGAACACAGTCGTGCTGCTGAACAAAAACCCTAGCAAATTTTTTTTTGAGTTTTGAGAGGTGACGTGCGGGAAACATTTAACATCTCCAACGTTCAAAAACTAGAGTTCAAAATAAATTCAAATTGCCAAATGTTCATTCCTTTTCTTTTCCAACTACTAAGCACTTTGCTTAAATTTTTTAAACAATGAATTAGGAAAAAGCAAGTATGCCATTCAAGTGGGCACAAGTTTTTCGTTTGACTGCCCACAGTTGACTACTCTAAATGGAAATTATCCACGTCATCTTGACTCATGATTAAGGACACGTATTTTCATTAAACGAGTGAGCAAACTCCTTTGGAAATCCATCGTTCGATCTTGTTCAAAAAAAAATGTTGGAGCGTTCGTCATTCCTTGATAACAACACTCCAAAATCTCATCAAAATGTTCATGAAAATTCAGATAAAACGCTTGAACTGTTGTACCGTGATGATCAGCAGCATCAGCAACAACAAGAATCCACAGCAAAATCATCCCATCATTGGTATGTGGATGAAAACTTTGTTACCCGAGCCGAGTTGTATGCAATAACAACCATTCCCGATCAGAATCTTAATTTTGATACCATCAATAATATTCAAAATAACATGTACTTTTATTTGGTGATGAATGATAAGGTACAACAGCAAGTGGGACTGCACAACAAAAAGTAACAAAGAAACGGATCAAACATGATCGTCATTGGGATTGTATAATTTATGAAATAGTAGCAAGAGACCAGAACAATGCATTCAAGAGAGAGAATGACATTAGTGCTTCACGACAGCAGAGAACTGTGGATGAATCAACAGAAGAGGAAACACCCGTTTTTACTATCTCATTTCCTCAACTGAAACGAAAAATTTGTGCTCACAAATTCGTACTGCAATCATTGAGTGGTTTCTTTGACACCATGTTAAAAAGTGAAATGATAGAATGTGAGAGCAATGAAATGTCAATTGAAGAGGATGAGAACATAGTGGAGCACGTGATGGATTTTCTGCATTTGGGATGGACGGGAGTTTATTCAAGAGAACTCTTAATAAGTTTGCAAAATACTACACAATTTGATGATGAATCACTTGGTTATGCAATGATTGGCATGTCAGAAATATTGCAACTCATTGAAAAAGCAGATGAGTTTGGTATTCCCTGTTTAATAGAGGCTATTGCTCAAACAATGAACGAGTATAATGCCATGATTTATGTCAAAAAATCCTTAACAATAATTGACGAGCTGCGAGCAATAATCTGGGATCATGCCGCACGTATTGTTGCAGAAAATATAACATGCGTGATATCAGATCATATTTATGACTGCGAAAATTATCGAGAGTCAGGTGGATCTTGGAGTTATCCCACGTTGGATCAGCATATCGAAAGGGAAAACAATTTGCGTAGTTGGTACGAACGACTCTCAATCACAAACGTTGTGGAACAACTTGTTTTATTTCAAAAGAACATTTTTATACATGCAATTACTACTCTACCATTGGATTTTTTGTTAAAAGTCTTGAAGTGTGAATCCTTTTCAGAAAATACACACAACGTGATTGCTTATATATGCATGTGGTTGTTACAAAATTTTACTGATGACAACGATAACAGCTTGGAACAGATTTTCCAAATATTAAGATCTATTGATCTCGCTGCTTGCAGTTTGGAATTTATTAATCTCTTTATTGTGAGAATATTTATGGAGTTGTTAAAGATGAGAGGTCTAACAGAACTGTATAACAATACTTCAAGTTTAGTGATTCGAAGCGCCTTAAATATGTTACAAGGAACGAATGTTAGACACATGATTAACGATATTAGCGAAACACTCCTAAATTCAATGTTGAAACAATTCCACCACCACTACCAAAACAACGCAGAAAACTGCCCCTCTTTCAATGAAGCCGTTCTACGATTGTGGCTTCGAAATATTGATAGGAAATCCTGGAACGAATTCCAACTCGTGCACCAAGATCCGTTTAATTCCATCACCTCCAAGCTCTTGAATACAATAGAAACAAATCATCATTTTAAACAATACACCTTAGACTTGATGGGAGCTTGCCTGACACATGTGTTGGAAGAAACGTTTCCTCAATCAAGCCGTCATCCCAACCACTCTATGAACAAGCATCAGATCCCCAAAACCGAACAACTCCATCAAAAAGTACTTCTACTAGGATTAGACGACAGCGGTAAAACATCATTACTGTACAAATTGACAAACAAAGAAAACCAAGATCAATATTCCACCATTGGGTACAATGCTGAAAAAGCTCTCTTTGGACCTGTGGTATTGAATATTTGGGACATTGGAGGTTCTCTCATAATGAGACCGCTATGGAAACAATTCATCAACGATTGTGATGCACTGATTTATGTGATAGATGCCTCCAATCCAGATCGATTCCATGAAGCCTTAGAATCGCTTGACACATACTTGGACTATTCACTTCTCAAACCAGGTTGCAGTTTCATCATCTATGCCAACAAGATGGATCTTGTTTCCAATAAGACACAAAGAGTACGAGAAATTCGAACGATATTTTCTGAGAAATCCAAGCTCGTTTCAAAAGTTGAAATACGACGGGTCCTCTCAACAACACCACTTTACTAAATTCCCTTCACCTTCAACCATGCAGTGCCTTAACTGGCGAAGGAATTTCCAGTGGATTGGACATACTTTGCAACAAATTTCATCGTCATCCTTATCAATTTGGTGAAATACCACATATTTTAGAGTATATTCATGTGGGAAATGATGTGTAAGCTCGAGAAGGGTGTTGTAATAAAAAGTTTTGACGTTTTAGAGAGCCCCAAAGTCGATTACAAAAAAAATGATCAAGAATTCATCCACGCCATCACCAACAACCACAACAACATCGGAAGAAATTCCACTCACCTACGTATCCTCATCGGACAGAAAATATGACGTTACAATATTTGGAGCTACAGGTTTTACGGGAACCTTGATCGTTCGATATTTGATCCAAAGATTGGAACGGATGGACAGTGTCGTGAATTCGAGAAGATTCTGTATTGCCGGAAGAAACGAGAGTAAATTAAATAATCTAGTAACTGCTCATAATATTAACATGTCAGAGAAGGGTTTGCACCATTTGATCATTGACGTGATGGTTATTGAAAAGATTGAGAAAGGCTCTCCGAAATTGTTAGATCTCACTCGGAATACCAAAGTGTTGCTTAATGTTGCTGGACCGTTTATTGCGTGTGGAGGTCTTGAGATTGTTGAGAGTTGCGTTGAAACAAGAACCGATTATTTGGACATTACAGGAGAACCTGAATTTGTATTGGAATCGGCTGCCAAGTTTCATGAAAAAGCCAAGGAAAACCATGTGAAAATTATTCATTGTTGTGGGTTTGACTCCATCCCGAGCGATTTGGGAACAAACATCTCTTTGAATATGATCAAGAAGAAATTGGAAGATGTTGGCGTGTTAAGCCATATGACTTCTCATAACACTGTCTTGTCACAATCGTCGTCAAGCTCAACACCAGAAACAATTATTTCCACTAATGGATATCTTGCGTTCAATTTGCCAGGATTTGTATCGTATGGCACATTTAACACACTCGTCACGAGTTTGGAGAATTATAGTATTTTCAGTGGTAAGAAGACGAATGAACAACAAGTTCAAAAGATGACCAAAAAGAAGTCCTACAGTAAGAGAGGTACAAAATATCACACGGGTCTCCAACATTACATTATTCCATTCTCAACAAGCGATCCATTGATTGTGAGACGATCCAACTTTTTAATTGGATATGAATCAAAATTTAGTTCCAACCCAACTCCTCCTCCAACAAGCTCCAATCCATCCTCTTCATCTGATAGAGTGTTCGAGTACAACAATTACTTGCAAATTTCTAATCTCTACTATTTATTTCTAATGTATTTATTCTTCCTTGTCATGCTGATCATGACAAGATTTTCATTTGGAGCCCAATTTTTAAGATTCCTCTATTCCTTAAAGAAGAATCCAACACAACAACAAAGAGACGAGAGTAGTTTCGACTTTGTATTTGAAACATTTGGACGTGTTCAAGATGCAACCACTTCTGAACCTGTGCTCTTCAAATGTAAAACTCGTGTGTTCAACAACAATGATCCAGGATATACTGAAACAGCTGTCTATGCTCTTGATAGTGCACTCTTCTTATTGACAAACCCACATGCACAGACAGCAAGTCCTGGAGTTGTTACACCTGGTGCTGTATTTGGAGTGGAAAGCTGTGGCGATGAATATTTGAAATGTTTGGGACAACACACCACTCTTAAATATGACTTTGTTGAATTTAAATATGTCAAAGCATCCAATAAGAAGGAATATGAAGAATTGAAGAAGGAAGTGTCTCAATTTTTAAAGCTTGATTAAACAATTTCGAATCAATATTATTGACTATTAGCATTGAAATTCAGTTTGTTCTGTGTCATTCACAACAGAAAAAATTAAAAATGCTCGAAAAACCAGTGAATCATCTTGACTCCAAAGCCTGTAACGGAATTAACATTAGAAGACGACCAGAAACTCAACAAGTATACTATGAAAAATCTTCTGCTTTGATGGAATGTGATAAGACACTTGAACAATTACAAAATTGTTTGGTTAGCACCAATTCAACCATAGAGTCGGTGGATGCTTCCTGTAAGCAAATTTTGGAATCAACAAAATCGGCTTGTGGACTCAGAAGGTAAATATATTCGCACGTACATGATGATTGTTATTGATGATGACCACGAATATTTGTCTTTCATCGTGATGATACTTTCATTTTGTAATTTTTATTCTTTGATGTTGTTGGATGATGATGACAATGAATTTGAAAATCATTGGAAATATTATTTTGAATGACTTGATGATGATGCCAAATTGTTGTGCAATTTACAAACCAAATTACATGGAATTTCATTACGTGTCTTGAAACGGCCGAATCGAAAAACACATTCCATTTACCAATTGGTACATCATAAATCCTTCACCCGAATCAATATTCAGAGTGATATACGTGCCAGACATTAAACCTAGAGTTCAAAACTTGAACATGTAAACAACAAGAAGCACTGCTGAATCATACAACACAATTGTCGGGTCCAACATTTTCAATTTCTTTGGCCAATTACGATACAATTATTATTATATTTCGTTCAATAAAACATAAAATTACTAATAATCAGTAATTATTTCAATATTGTTGATCAAGAGCAGGAGTGCTGAGATGAGACAAAAACAATTCATCATCGTGATTTGATGATGTCTTTTAATTTCCAAATAGAACAAAAAAATAAGCAAACCAACGCACACTTGTACAACAACACTCCACAGACATGTCTTCCTCGTCCTCTTCATCGGAATCATGTGAAGATATCATTGAACATATTGATATGATCATGAATGATGTTTGTAGATTTAGGGGTGTTGTTCAGAAATTATTCTCGGACGTTAATCCTCATAATCGATCATTTATGAGCGTGAGCACTCCTTTGACAGCAGGTTATTCGGAGACTCCTGTTGTACGGAATCAAATCTCAACTCTTCTGCAGTCTGCAAAATTACATTTGGATATTATCAAGAATATTGATGCTCGGCTCAAACAAAAGAAAACACCTATCCGAACGATTCTACTCGGTGAACCCGACAGATCGGGAATGGATAAGATGAAAAGCAAAATTGATGCTAGCTTGCATTCCATTTCAAAACATTTGGAAAAGAAAAGATTCAAGACCTATGATGTCGAAGAATCAGATGAGTTTGAACCTCAAAAGAAGGAAAAAACATTGGTCTCTCCCAGTTCGAAAATTCAAAAAATGCTTTCCAGAGAGGAGTCATCCTTCAAGGATTGTGGTGAAATACTGACAGAACTAAAAACTGGACGAGCCAGAGAATTCTTTTCTGTGATGGATCTGGTTAAAATGATCAAAACAAGTGACAATTGCTCATCAGCTTATGTAAGTTTTCACAAGACGCTATTTCTAATCGATCATTATTATTACATAATTTGAAAAATAACCATGATATCATTGAATTGGCCTCTTTAAACACATGACTAGATCAAACTTGCTGACCTATTTATTGTAAATATTATTTTAAAAGACAATGTTCCTTTGCAAGCAACTGTATTCTCTGTGGATGAACCAATATTTGACATCTCAACATCGAGACACAAAATCAATAGACAAATTAGTAAGATATGCTGTCAAGCGTTAGATTATTATCGCTCTCATCCAGTCTATAAGAATTATCCATTCCAAGCATTTATGGTATGTTTCAAAGGTTGCGTTTCATTCAAGATAGATTCAATTGTGTTTTCTATTTTAATTTCGCAATAATATCATACTAGATTTATTTCGCTCACTATCGACGATTCATGACAGAGAAATGTGCATACTGTGAAACTATTATGGCACCACCTAATATTATGGAAATTCCATTCTTTAGAGATTTTGAAACAACCAAACCTTATCACATGCATCACATTCCAGTGACGAGACGATTTGATTTGGGTCTTCCAGGTACCGAAGAATATAGACCAAAAGATTCCATTAAGAAAACTTCCGCAACGTCGTCTAGTGATATTAACACACCCATGAGTGTTTCAGCAACTCAAACACCACTGCCTTCTTCATCATCCAAGATGGATGTGACAAGTGGCGTTGAAGAGTAATTGATGCTCTTGAAGCATCGCATTAATAAAATCGATACACTGACATTGTTCATATTGTGTTGGCGTCGTTCCTTACTCAGTTGAGATGACCTAAGCATGAAAATAAGAACTCTTTGGGTATGACAACTCAAATAATTTGCCAATCTCGCTCTATTTAGAATTGGTGTCAAACCTGTTAGTAGCACTTGGTAAATGTTCTAACGCTTGTGGTGCACTGTTTTGTCTTGAATTTTCCAACGATGAAAATTGTCCTCTTCCATGATGATTATTTGAAATGCCTAACGAATAATTAATCCACTGTTTCAACAAATTTAAATTCTTGACAATATTAAAAATCTCCCAAATAAACACTTGAATTCTTTGAATGGGAGATAATTGTTCAAAGTGTGTATAATTAGCGATTGGTATGGTTGATGATAATGATCCTTGTAATTTGTTCGAGCCGTTCTCCGAAGTTTTTACATTTTGTACTTCCTCCTTCTGGATCGTTTCCAATTGTCTTTTTTCTCCAGAGTTAGTCTTTTTTATCCGTACATCCTCTTCCCCGACAGGTCGTTGATGATTCATCTCGTTTCAAAGACAATGTGATGTAATTAAAAGCCTCAGCAAGAAGATGTTTTAAATTTTTTTCAATTCAAAAAAAATGCATTCGCGTTCTTCATCACTGTATCATCACGGAAAGAAATTATTGCTTTCCTCATCATCATTGCCATCATCATCATTAAATGTGATACTGGGAAGCAACATTGCTCATTCTAGAAACTCCATTTCAACTATTAAACAAAATGAATATAAATTACTAGTGTTGAATAATTACCAAAATACTTGTGCTCGTTTTTATGCCGATGAAGCAGCAGAAGAGGAAGAAGAAGACGAAGAAACAAAACTCAGAAGAAAACTTGAAAGTCTTCCAAAACCAAAAATTGACCCACTTTTAATTCCCCGAAGAAGAAGAGGAATAACTTTGGAATCGTTTTTGAAGAATATCGGCAAGGGATGTGAGGAACATATTGACAAATTCAAATCATGGGAAGACTTGTTTACATCCAAAACTCTTAAATTGAAGGCCAAGGAAATTCCGGTTGCCCAACGTCGTTGGATTTTGAAATGGTTGGAAAGATACAGAAAGGGAGAAGTTCCAGGATTCCCACAAACCTATTTGAAGTAAACTTGGTCAATTCATGAACAGCAGAATGATATTTAGTTGGAAAGAAGTAATAATAATAGTAATAGAGGACTCGCAGTCATATTGGTATTAATGATCTCAATAAAATTTTGAAATAAGAATCATCGAGGAGCCATGAATATATATCAATTACCAAACCAAACGTTAAAGATATTCCATTTCAAGTCTACAAATGGCGTCCTCTTCTGCCAATGCATTCACCAAGTAAGGAGAAATTAGTACTTTCTCTTTCCAATCGCTCAGCAACTGTTGAATAGTATTGACCACAGCTGAATCATGACAAAATACTCGAAGAATGGAAGGTTTCCTCTTGCCAGTTTCATTCAAAACAAGTATTGACTTGAAAGCATGTACATCCATGTCATTCATCAACACGCTACTCGATGCATGCTCTTCTGATGAACTCATCAGATTCATTGGACCAACATGTTGACGTCGTATTAAAAGAGTCGCAATGGTAAATGAGGACTCAATCTTAACACTCGAATATTCGTTGCTCTTAACTCTCCATATTGTTTCTCAGTCTGAACATTGGACAATGATGACATTAGAGATACATCTTCTTTCAAAACAAGTGATGGCAAGTCGTTCCATTGCTGTTCCATCTCCTCGTCATCATCATCATCATCACTTGGTAATTGCAACTTTTTCATCCATGCAAAGCTATGAATCTCCACAAGAGCTCCCCGTGGTAAATCATTCACATACACAACCATCCATGGTAAACTTGGAAACAATTGAAGATGATTTTTCTTTTTTTGGGAAACATGTTGATACTGTTCACTCATTCCTTCTGAATCGATCAGACACATATTATTCCTTTTCAATACCTCATTCAATCGTTCATTCACTTTTCTTTTCATCATTCGTTCATAATGATCGTTATTATTATCATCATTTTGATCATTCATGGTTTTGGAAATAATTGAAAAGCATTCAAATACACTAAATTTCGAAAACATTCTCGGAGTGAGGTTTCTTTCATGCCATCCAATACTCGTGAAATATTTTTCAAACATTGTTCCATTTGTAATTCCACGCTGTTGAGTAATAATTGTTCTTGGTTTTCCAAAGATGGAAGAGTACACAGTTCCATAGTGGAGGCATTAAGGGAATTTGTCCTGCGAGTCGAATGATCTTTTCGTGAGCACTCGCTGAGCATAGGGTCCAACACAAGCTGGAGCCCATTCAGATACACTTTGAACAAATAAAGTGGTATTTAGATAGGGATGCCATTTTGGATTTCTGATTTGGGTAATAATTTCCATACATCCATCAAGCATTCTACCTTAATGGAACCGTTAGAAATGGTTGTTGATGTGGTAGAATTTTGGTGAATCTTCTTGGTGGCAATACACACTCGACTGGGTCGATTCAAAGTATTACTCTTTAAAAAGAAATAACAATATGCTTGATTAATAGAGTTGAAATGAGTCGTGTCTGAAATTTGAAGCACACAATGAAGCATTTGTTGAGTAAATGAGGAATTTCACGTTCGAGTTTTTGAAAAATTGCAAACATTTCCAAAGAAGGAGAAATTTCATAGTTGCTCAATAATTCAGAGTCATAATTGCAACATGCAGTGACGTAATAGAGATGAGAGTCAATGCTAGTAGAAGAGGACGATGCTTGTTTCAAGTGAATTTGAACACAGTCGATGAGTTTTTCTAAATAAGGAATTTGCTTCATGGTATTTTCAATGGAATAATCTGGAATGAAAATCTTGATTTGGGATTGGTTGGTGGACTTGAGTGATTGAAGAGGTGTGAAATTTTGTTTTTCTTCAAGATGAAATTCTGAAATGAATAAATGACCAACACCTCCCATGTCATCTTCGGAAATCATGACAATTTCTGTCTTGTCTCTAAAATTATTAATTAAAGGCATAACAGTTTAGTTTCATGTTCATAAATAATTCAAGAATTTCATAAAGGATAAAAATTTCACCAAACTTACACAACAATTCTTTTAGAAAATAGTGGACAGTCAAGTGTCAAAGTTTCATATTCTCCTCCCTCTCCACACACATTCAATCCAGCACTATCTTTCAATTTCATAAATGTTGGTTGGAGTTCGGCCAAGGTTTTTCCTAAATGTTTTTTTGGAAATAATCCCATAGAAGCTGTCTTGATGAGAATACAATTCATTCCAGCTTGAATCATCTCATTGAGTAATTCTTCCTGAGGACGTCTCCATAAAAAACTTAATGAAATTAATCCAAGTCGAGAGCAGCTAGAAATTATTTTCGGAGTCACAGTTCCAAATTTCCAAATTATTCAACAATGTTCATGATGAATGATAAAATGTTTGCTAAGTAAATGCATTGTCATTCGAATTATACTCACACATTTTCAACTCTATTTCGTTGATAATCAGAAAATATAGCTCCACACGAAACAGCATTCACTTCGGGCATTTCTTCTTTCACTCGTTTCAATAATTGATATAAATTTTCAACCTCATCATTCATGGACTCTTTTTTTGAATCATCATATTCCAAAGAAGTCTGAACTGAAGATCCACTTAACTCTCCAACAAAAAGAGGAAGATTCATACATTCAGCAATGGCCGAGATGACATTATGTCCTACCGTTTGAAACATCCAACTATCCAATTCCTCTAAAATTTGTGAATAATAATAATTTCATCAATCCGAGTTGCATCATGAATTCATTTTTGAATTTTTTGATTTAAATCATCACGTGTTTTTGAAAAATAATCATCCAATTTTTCATTCATTGAAAGGATCATCGGAATAAAATCTCTTAACATGTAACATTCAAATCCACCCTACAAACAAACATACGAATTTGAACATTGGGTGGTCTCAAATTTGCCAAACACACAATTTCATGTCCATACTCCACACATTTGACCATGTTGTAACACGAATCTTTGCCTCCGCTCACCAATGCACAAACTTTCATTTTTTCAAACACAAAAAATTCACATCAACAAATCCTGGTTCCAGACAGTGTGAAAATTATTAAATAATTTTAATGAAAAAGAGACAACTCAATATAGTACTTGCTTGATCGTCAATGACACCAACATTATCTCTTGTAATAATTAAATTCGGACATGGGTTCATCCTGTTGGTTATGGGATGCTAACCTCATGTGGCGTGATAAGTTTTTTTGAACGATGAGTGAATTAACTAAAAAGTATGCAGCAACACCCACGCCGATGGCAATAACGAGGAAGAAAATGATTCCTATCGCAACACCAACGTATACCCCAACGGATGTTTCTTGTGGAAGAGTGGTACTGAAGGTACATGCATCTGTGGAAACCTGTTCGAACAAATCTTGTGGATGAGAGATCAATAATGCAAAGCGTTGTTTTTCTATGAGTGAGGAGGCCACATAGACAGCAACACTTAGATATTGGTTTTTAAAGTTGGAGTCCAAAGAATCAACGGATATCTTCTCCACATTGTTCGAGGAATCTACTTTGGTAATGAAATTACCAGCTGCAACATCAAGATTGGTAATCTTATTGTCCTTATCAATATTGAACACATTGACAAACAAGTTGAGATCGTGAATGAGATTTGGAACAACGCTGACACTACCTGGATAATCATACCATGCCAAGGTTGCCTTAAACGCAGGAGAGGACGATGCCATGGTTGCTTGTTCTCTTCTCTTAAAACAAAGTTTGTAACTTTCCGTAGAAATATTGAAAATGGACTCAAAAATTGAGAGCTTCACAGGCGTTCCATCGCTATTCTTGAGTAGTCCTCCAATGTACACTCTTCCAAAGCCTTCATATGAATTTGGACGTCCCAATCCACCCATAGCAATTCTGGACGATTCATCATAGGTCTTGGCAACTGTACCTTCCAGTGGTATTGAACTGTGAACCAAAGCTGCTTTTAACAGTGGTCCACTTGGATTTGGTATGGAGTGATACGCTTGGAAATACTCCCTTATGAGAGCAGCAGCTCCAGCCTGAACCAATAATGGTCATTTCAGTATTGAATTATTTGAACGAACGATTGATATCACTTAGTGCATGCGAAAACTTACCACAAGAGGGTGGCCATGCTTGTTCCAGAGTTGGTCATTAGGGCAGCTGAATTTCCTTGATTGGGAGACGTGCCAGCACTACACTGAAAAGTAGTGAGATCACCATCCGAATGAGCAGATACAACAGTGTGTCCAATTCCAACCACGTCAGGTTTAATTCGATTTCCTAAAGAGATGAGCATGTATCGAATCATACAAGTCTTCATGCTAAACTTACCGCATGCAGGGCCTCTCGAGCTAAAGTATGCCAAATTATTCTCATTGTAAATATTGGAATTTGAGGTATACTTGGATTTAACATTGGTTGGACAGCAATAGTTGCGTACTATATACATGTGTGTCGCGTACAAATTAACAATCAGAGCAGTTCTACATCAAGAATTTGAGAACTTACCTGCCTCTTGATTGGTTCCTGTGTAGGCACAACATTCACTCACTGAGGTGAAAGGTAAGGCTGCATCTTTCATCTTTTGCACAAAGTCTTCATATTGAACAGACTCCTCAAATGCAGCATTAGATGTCATGCTGGCTCCAACAGAAACAGCATTCTTGGAAACAGCAGGAGACCCAATATTCTCCTTAGATGATATTGCTCCCGAGTTACCTTGAGCAAAGAGAGCGATAGCATCTTGATATTTCCAAAGTGTAGTGTCAATATCTTTGCACTGGGAATTGTACTTGTTGAGGATGGAGCAACAAGTGTCAGATCCAAACAACTCTTTGCATTGAGCGTTAGTGATCTTGTCACCTGCTTTGAAGCCTTCAAAATCTGCCTTCCAACGACAATTATCACAGTCATAGGAGCATGAGAAGATTAGGTCTGGTCCACTTCCCCATGAATTTGAAAAGATTCTTGCATTGGCATAATAGCCTGACATGAATATTGTACTCACTGTGGTTGGTACTAACAATAGTGTTTGACCGGTTTGTTGAAGATCAGTGAAATGAAGTTTAGCGTTGGGAGCAATTCCATGATACGTGTTCACTGGATTGGAAGAATCATTGTGCTTTAAATTTTGAATGGAGCCACATACTGAGGCTGCAACATGCGTGCCGTGGCCATCCACACCATCCTTATTATCACTTTTGTAGGTGGTACTGCCTTGAGAAACAACAACTGTATCATACTCTATAATTTTTCGGTGCTTGGTATTCAATGTATTCACTGTAATGGTTGGATTGGAAGAGTCACTATATAGTGCAAATGTGAGAATTTTAAAATCAATACAATGCTCGACTAACTACTTACTAAAACAAGCAACTATCCCAATCAATACCAGTGTCTAGAACGAGGAATGTTCACACAAATACCCTCAAAGTACACAACTTACCTGAGACAGCTACCACTTGATTAGAACCAAATACTCCTAAGTCATAAAAGGGAGTTGAGGACATGGCCACAGATGGATGCGGTCCAACTGATTGCATCATTGAGCTGGCTCGCATATTCAACAGACCAACGATAGGTTTTCTCTCAATGAAATGAACATGCGGATTTGCTTTGATTATCTCACCAATTTCAAGAGCGACGAGAGGCGAAAAGGAAATTTCAAGTTTCTCCTTGTCAATCAAGTTAAAGTTAGAAATACTGTTCTTCTCAAAATAGGGGTTCAACAATGATTTCAACTCTTGTGCCACCAAAGTAGCCTCTTCCATTTCCACACCATCAATCACAGCATCTATGGAAGGAATGAGAGTGACAATTGCATGCACATGCTTTGGGAAGGGCTCATTTTCTGAGGCTTGTCGTGCGTGACCATGATGAAGACGAGTTTGATTCAATGCCATTTCTTGGATTTTGCCAAAGTTCAAGTCGCTCTTGAACCTTGATTCCATCTCTGTAATGTATTCAATGCTTTGAGAGTCATCCTGCCCGACATGTCTCATAATATCAGAAGTTCTTGAAACCAATGCAAACGTGTCAGCAAATCCGAGAGAATGTCCAGCCTTAACGTAGAGTTGTTGCTGAATCGTCATATGAGTACGTTCCACTGGATCAAGATGGTTGAGTGATTTCAATTTGACAATGAATTGAGTGTTAGGCTCGGATAGTGAGGTAACCATTTCAAGACTTTGATCCCAAGTATTTTGATCATGTTGGTTCAGTGGTTTTGCCCGAAGAATTCTTTTCACCACTTCTCTTCGGCTCATCAATTCTCTCAATCTCTTGATATCATGAAGCAAATTATTATGATGCCCGATTGAGAAGGCTCGACTCTCCATTTCCATTTCATTACGGACATTGGTATCATGAATAAGGGCAACAAACGGAATGTTTCTATGCCATAGCTGGTTGTTGTTGTTAGCATTGGCACTTTCCACTGCTGAGATCATCATGTATTGAGGAAACTCACAACAAAGAATGAAAAACATCATCAACACTACCAACAACATCATCTGTACGCTCCTCTTGACTGCCATACTACCTTCCTTAGAACAAGACTCCCTTATAAGATTCTCAGTGCCTCCTCCTCTAGCACCACCACAAACACTACCTCGTGGTACCAATGAACAAGTTTCTTTCGTGAGCCCACTGGCCCAATCTCTCATCATTTTTTGAACTCATTCTAGATTCTAAATGGAATAGTCTCTCCGAAAATCATGAGGTTGGCCGTCCATGATTATTATTTCTTGCAACCTTCTCGTACTTGTACAATATTTTGGATGAGCTGAATAAGGAATAACCGTCTTCATCATGGCCACTGAAACGCTTGATGGATGGACACACACTACAGAGAGAACGAGAAACAACAACGACTCGAGAGTCGTGCCCTCCGCTTCCTTATTAAGACACCTTCATGCCTGAATATATCTCTCGCGTGATAGTGAAACTAACGAAAAAAAAAATTTACAGGCCTAAGGCTTTCAGGTCGTCGCGGAACGATTGATCGATCGGTAACAGCATCTCGGTGTGGACGTGGAGGGTTGGAAGTGTGGTCAATTGAAATTGTGGTTGGTTGTCAAGAAAATTTCCCACGCTTAACATTTTCAACCGTTATTAGTATATTTGATCGTTTTTCATTAATATTCCGAATCATCATACACAGCACCGTGAGCGATGAATTCGACACTCGGGGGTGGTGGGTCTTCGTTGGCTCCACCTTTTCATCTCATTAAAAGAAGTTCAACAAGAACGTTGGCCCTTATTTCAGCAGAAATACCTACCCAAACGAATACCTCGTCAGCATTAATGGCCAACATTCCAGCACTTGTGAAAGCAAGTTGGGGCGAATTGGGTAGCTCCTCAAATCTACTGCGGAATTCTCTTCAACAACTACAAATCCCACAAGTAACAAAATGCAACCAACAAATACTCCATCTCCCAAAAACTCCAATCATTATCAAAAAGTCATAGTATCATCACTCCCAGAAAATCAGAAGTGTCACAAGCCAACACAAATATTAAACCCGTAAGAAGAAAAGAACCTGGTTTCACAACTAAACCTGTGGTTCCACATTTAAAGATTCCAGAAAAATTTCAAAATTATGCTGCATTTTCACAGCTAAAATCACCTTCCAAGCAAACGAACAGTGCCAGATTAGTAGATCTTGCCTCAGATTCCGTGTTCGTTGTCATAACAGGAGATGTATTGAACGAACCTAAAAATCAAGATCAAAAAAACACTGGAAGGAAGAGTTATGAAATTGTTCAATTTGATAAGAGCTTACAACGAATCAAGCAAGTGATACCGTGTGGCTCATTCTCCATTTTTGTGGCAGAGGCCAAGGAATCGGAAAAGGTGTTTCTTTTTTACAAGGAAAATACATTACTACACCCTACTAAGAAGGTGGAAAATATACACAGCCATGGGTTTTTGTATTGCGGACCAAGTTATCATTATCAATTAAGGGAAATTAATTACAAGGCTGTTATACGGGACCAAATGCATCATCAATCAAATACACTCGATCCATACGTATTACAGGATTCAAAAAGCTTAGAATTGATTGATATTTATGGACTCAGGGATCATTCATGCTTCGTATGAGAAATAATTTATGCTTATTTGTACATTTTGCTGAAAATGCAGACAAGACTAGCTTTTCGTTTTTTGAAGAATATGCTGGCGGAAATATTGAATGGATTGAATGCAGTGCATGCTCAAATACGTTAGTCATGTATGCGCACGCAAGAGGAAGAACCAACTATTTACTAGATTACATGGTTTTGGAACCGGAGCCTCACCGAAGAAAGCTTCCTCTTCCTGACATGATCTCTCAACAGGACATTCGAATTATTCGTGTTGGATTGGGTAGGGTAATGATTGTCACAAACCATAACAAATTGTACATTTACCGTAATGAGAAAAATCATCCTAATATTGAATCCAATGACAAGTTTGAACTAGTAGATTACAAATGGCCATCCCAATCAAGCAAGTAAGATGTGGTGGCCATCATAATCTTGTACTTTTACAAAATGGAGCTATATTTGCATGGGGTTTTAATAATCACTATCAATGTGGATTTTATGAGAATATTAAGAACAAATTACCAAGCATCTCCATTACACCTTTTTACATTCCTAAAAACATTATTCCTTCCGAAATTACAGACATTCAATGCTCCTTTCTTAGTTCTGCAATTATTACCAACAATGGTGTGTACATTATAGGAGACCTTACAGCGAAGGCCAATGCATTTGCAAAATCGAACGAAGATTTGCGATTTTTAACACTTCCATTCTCCAAATTTAATTTCTTACTGAACGCAGCCAGTGGTGGTGCCGATCATTTTGTTCTTTTCACACACAATGAAAACAGCGAAGGCTCGCAAGGCTACTTTTCAAAAAACTTGAGCGAATTGCTCCATATTGAATCCTCCATCATTCCTTCAGTCACTTCTCGCTCCAATGGTTCCAATGATTCTTCCTCTTTCAAGTATTCTACCGATTTCTCAACGAGATGAATAAAAAAATTGATTCAAAAAGAAAATTTCAAAAAAAAATGAGTGCAATGGAAAAGTGGACCATTTATTATGAGAGTGGTTCGGGATTTCGAGTGGAAAGGGATCATCAAGAAACGTCGACGGTTCATGGAAAATTGAATGCTCATCATGGCTCTCGGTTTTTGATGGCAAAAGAGAAGTTAATCACACGAGAAGAGTTTATGGAAAAAATATCAAAATTTAAATCCGAAACAGAAGAAGCCTATAAACCAACTCATAAATTGAAAGGAAAAGAATTGGAATTGGATAAAAAGGATACAGAATTAGTAAATAGACAAATTGAATTGTTTAACACACGACTCATGAAAGAGAAATCATCGTCGCTTGTGTTTTCAGATGACATTAAAATACCGAAATTGGATTTAAATAATGGCCAACATGTACAGAAAGCGTGCGATTAATGTCAAGGAGTAAAAAACCATTGGATTATGAGGAAATTCAACGAGACTATGAACGAAAACTGCTTGAATATGAAAATGCCTTGAAAGAAATTGAACTAGAAAATTTAGAAAAACGAAAAAGAACTAGATTTTCAAATTTTGCAAGTATTACGAGAGATAGATTTGAGAAGGCTGAGAAAATAAGGTTCAACAAAACTAAAAAGCCAAAGAAAATTAAACGAGCTCAACATCAAGAAAATACAGAAAATGGCAAGAACTCGGAAAACAAAACAAACGACTCGTCGAGCGAAGATGAAGAGGATGATGACTACGTCAATGAATTTGCATCGTGTGTGGTGACATATGACTCCATTATTGAATTTGCAAAGGAAGCAAAGAACGTGCCGAGAAGCGATATCAAGAAGAACTCAAGGATGGCATTCCCCTCTACGATCTCTAAAATTGTTACACTTTCAAATAATGATAAATTATTAATTTTACAGTTATTGTTTTCTTCGAAGTTGTGAGGATGCTGTCGTTGTTGTGGTTAGATACTTGGTAGAGGATGAGAGATTGGTGCTTGACCTAAAACCTGTTGTGGCGTTGCTGCTATATCCATTGCTATTTGAGACGTCTCGTACGTACCCTGTAGCATTGGCCGTTCCAGCTGTCCCTAAATTTCTACCACCCGATAAATAACCTCTTGACACTGCTGGTGCATAGGAGACATTTCGTGACGACCTTACAGTCACAGCTGGTTGTTGAGGAGACTGAGCTGATGATTGATGATGATCTGCAAAGTTAGAAGATTTGGTATAGGAGTTTGTATGCGTTCCCAACTTGTGTGTCTCAGGTAAGGCAATATTGTTGGAACTGTTTGTTTGTGGGAGAAAATGTTGTTCTTGTTGTGAAAGCAGAGCGTTGGAACTATTTTGCTGTGATAAAGAGACTTTTTGATTTTCCATTTGTTGCTGTTGTTCTTCGAGCCATGATTGTGCATTTGTACTTATGGGCATATTGTTCTAATGAGCATTTCACATTGAATTGGGTCAATAATTTTACAAAAATATCAATTCCAATGTGTCAATAATTTCACTCGAGCATTACTTACAATTCGCTTGATGGTCCAATCAAATACATAATCCATCTGATAGCCCTCACGAGTGAATAAATCTCTAAATAATTTTCGAAGATAGGCATAATCTGGCTTATCTTCAAATCGTAACGACCTCACATATTTCAAATACGTTGAAAATTCAGGTGCATATCCTTTACAGAGGGCTTCTACCGTTGTTGACATTTTCTTTTCGCTAATCAGATCATATTTTTGTTGTTTGGATTGAGCTTTTAAACCTTGCCATGGTAAACTTCCTCTCAAAAAGTACATGAAAACGTAACCTAAACTCTCTAAATCGTCTCTTCGTGATTGTTCAATACCTAGATGCGCATTTATGGATGCATATCGTGCTGTACCTGTCAAACTCTTATTATCTTTGAATGGAATATGAGCGTGAGTTTTGCTGTCTCTGTATTTCTTGGCAAGTCCATAGTCTACGGAGATGAGAATGAAAAGAATGATTCAGTAAATCTTAAAAATTTACAAGTGATCGAATACAAACCTATGATATAAACATGATGTCCCTTTTTACCGTTCCCATTAGAAAATTATCGGGTTTAACTGTTTTCGAAAACATCAGAAATGATTATTGCATTTAAGAATCATTTCAGGAATGATTATTGCATGACACAGAAACTTACTGTCTCGATGAATGAAATTCTTGGAATGAAGAAACTCTACTCTTGAAATCATTTGATCCGCTAACATTAATACCGTTTTTAAAGAGAATTTTCGTCCACAAAAATTGAATAAATCTTCCAAGCTTGGTCCGAGAAGATCAATAACCATGACATTGTAGTCGCCCTCGACACCGTACCATTTGACACTTGGTATTCCAACAGCGGGTCCACCTAGGTTCAATAATTTGTATAATCTAGACTCGTATAATAATTGTGGATGTCGTGTTTTGACAGATTCCAACTTGATAGCAACTTTCTCTCCGCTTTGAATATTTGTTCCTAAAAACAAGATCACAAAGTCCAAAATTTGGCAAAATGTTGTATTCATCAAAACATACCTTGATAAATCTCTCCGAAACTGCCACTTCCAACTTTTCGTCCTAGCTTCCATTTACCACCGACTCGTAAATCCATGATGATGATGTTCAATATTTACAAGAATAATAATAAAACAGTGGGCAGATAATTCTAATCTAATAAATGAATTTTTTGATGTTGATATTTTCGTCAGCCAAAAACACAGTCCGAATTAGAGAGCCAGCTCCTATTGGCAATGTTCGTGCCGTATCGTGTCTACGGTTGAATTTCGTCGTGTACCACCCACTAGCGTTTTGATAAATCTCTACGGTGTTGATGGAGATGCTGCTACCGTTTAAAATATATTATAACTGTTGTTGCCCCCGAGTTGTTTTCAGAGAGAGCAATGACCGTTGCTGTATTTTTTTTCGTTAGTTTGGGCGCCAATTCCAATTTACGTTTTTCATGGATTTGAGAATGTTTGAATTCATTTATTTACAATTAGCAAAAGAAGAATTGGAATGTTACATGAAAATAGGTGGTTGGTGCTGTTGGAGAAATTTGTGAAAGGTTGTGTGTGCTCTGTGGACAAAAATGGGCTAGTTCGATAAAAGAGGAATCATATGATAAATGAACTTTGAGGAGTTTGGGAGAGAATGGTGGACATGATAGGGAATGATGAATTTAAAAAGTGATGCGGCTTGCATGTGTAACGTTGTTGGAAATTTCAACACACAGTGTGCTCATGCAGTTAAACATCATACATGATACATCTTCGTCGTCGTTGTCATCATCTCTCATAACTATGGAAATGTCAGAAAAGCAATTATTCGATTCATCATCTTCGTAAAGGGCAGATCGATACAGATTGCAGTAAAATTCGTTAAGATTTCTCGTTCTCTTCTCCTTAGAGTACAGATAGAAGCTGCATGTTCTAAAACCTGCTGAAACACAGTAATCCAAGTTAGGATATTGTTTCAGCTTGGCTGAAATAAATGGCTCATGCTGAGGTCGAATGTTATATACAGGTTGATCCTTAGCTGTCAATTGCTTGCAACTATTATTTCCACAAACATAGACATCTCGGGTATCTGAGACGGCAATCATTGAGTAGAAACCAACAATATCTCGTATTTGTTTTCCACTGAGAAAATCACAGAGCACAAATCCATCAGTCACATAATTCGAGTTTCCATTCACAAATTGTTCGTCCAAAAACAAGGCTCTATCATTGGCAGTTCCACAAACAAATACCTTATCTTCTCGGGTTTGAACGAACGTTGACAAGCTTCCACACCAAACGTTCTTGATATATCGATAAGGAATTGATTTCTTAACTTCATTTGAGAGATCATTGCCTGTGGCTTGGTTATTGCTGTAGAATGGTTCGAGAGGGGCAAACACTGGATACTTCTTTCCAATAGCATTAAATTGATTGTCACCTGCAGCATACACAATTCCATCCTCAGTGAGGAATAGAGAATGGTGTGATCCAGCAACAATCTTTACAATCTTGAGTCCTTTTCCGCCATCATTACATAATCCACCTTCTTTAAGGACTGTGACTGGGCGGAAACCGCTAGATACGTTCACATGGTTAGGAACGCAACCTATTTGATTCTGTACATTTCTTCCACATGCATATACAATACCACTTTCTGTTAAGCACAGTGTGTGATAATATCCACAAGCTACTTGCTTAATTTTCTCTCCACCAAATACACAGGAAGGAATCAATCGAGGAGTGCCTTCACCAACACTCTTTTCCTAATTAGTATTTTACACATTAATGGCAAGTATAATACGTAAATTTAAAAAAAGTCAATAATTATGTGATAACGATGAGAGAGTACTTACACATCCAATTTGACCATCTCCATTCTTACCCCAAACAATAATTTCACCAGTTGACATGAGTACAACGGTATGACCTTCTCCGCTGACTAGTTTCTTAATATAATAACTTGGTGTAAGGGGAAGTTTTGGAAGTGCAACTGGTTCGACATGATCTCTCACTTCGTTGGAATGACCAACGCCCAATTCTCCAACACTATTTGAACCTGTTGCATAAAGTCCAGTTTTGGTCATATAAAACGTCACATTATATCCACAATCAATAGAAATCAATTCTTTTGGATCGAAAGGAAATAGAGATACAGTAGATCGTGGTGTTTGTGATTGAGCTGCATCAGAAAACACAGACACTGAACTTCCTGTACCGTTTGGTGTGGTTGCAATTGGCTTTGGTCGTTTGGATTCTTGGTCTGCTTTGACATGGTCTGATAATTCTTTGGGGGTAACCCAACTCGTACAACTCATGGATTGCACGCAAAATCGGCTTGTACTTCCGCTTAAGAATATTCGTTCAGGTAATTGTTCGAGAGTCGCAGTTGAGCAAGGCATTAATTGACCAGTCCCTAATATTCCTTCCATTCCTCTAAGACCATATTTCAAGGAGAAGGAATCTCTGAATGAAAGCTTGGCAAAATCATAGTCTTGAGAGCTGCTGCTGCTACTCGCTGAGCCCGAACGGGATCTGAATGGAACGTCTGTTGCTTTGGTAGGTGTATTCATCTTCGGAAGGTTTTATGATAGTTATAAATAGGTTATTGTGGTTATTGTGGCTATTGATGTTATGTGTTGTTGTTGTTGCTCGTGTTGTTATGATTCAACGTATATCGAGTCGAGTTGAGACTGGTTTCTCTCTAGCTTGGCTGTTGTAAATTTACAATCGGGACCCACAAGTATTATTATATTATGAGCAGTTGATGGTGTTGAGACTCTTTTTTCAAATAAAAAAAGCACTTTTTCTTCTTGATGGAAGAGATGCAATGACCACCAAGTATGAATCAATGATGAATGTGTTCGACTGGTGTTGATTGGAGAGAGTATTCAAGCTGATGATGGTGAGTTTGTCTACCAAACACCACAAAATATCGGAGAAGTTCAAAGGAATGAATGGCTTCAATGAAGATGAGGTTGGTGCTTCTGGATGCGGAACAAGAACTCGTGTGTTATTCTTCTCAGGGACCTGATTTGTTTTTTAAAGAAAAAGTTTTAAAGTCAAGTTATAGGCTCTTTTGCTCGGTTGCGTTTTGGTGAGCATTTGATCATGTTTGTCATTCGATGCGTTTTGGACAGTTGCTTCAAACAGTTAATGGATGATAATAAAAATTCAGAAAGAGCTCACAATCAACTCCAAATAAGGGATAAAAATTTTTGGAAACATTCCTTGTGGAACAAAAATTCTAATGCTGCATAAACCTCAATACGAACGACATTGAAGTCAGAACACAAGGAACTAATGTAGAATGTGAATTGGAATCAAAGGTCAAAAAAGTAAGTGCTCGTGTGAATGATCGCTAGAATGTCAAACTTCTTGAGAGAAATGGGTGGCACTTGCAAGAATGGCATGATTTCCAAATGTTGAAACCGTAACGATCGTTCAGCTGAATCTGATACATTTCCTTTCATAACTTTTGATTTCTTATTTTACCAACCAAGGAATTGGTGTCACTAGGAAACTGACATTATTAGGTACATGATTCAGAGATGGCAAATACGAAAATGCATTTTTTGCTAAATAGGAACATTATTTGACGTGTTTTTTTCCAAACGGTCATGTTGATATTTCATTCTTGAATTAACACAAGGAGGTTACTTGCTTGTAGTAGAAATAGTTTGGATATTATTATTATCCAACACGTCGTGCTTGCACTCAAGGAAAGTCCAACAACATTTAAAAAAGTTTCTCCAAATATTAACTCAGTAAGAACAAGACGAGATGGTCCAATCAGTATCATCCTCCAACCCTCATAGCAACAACACGACCAGTAGCATGATCTCTCCTCCAATATTTTCACCAAGTCATAAAGTGAAGAGTGGTGGAAACACACACTTGTTCAACAACAAACATTCATTCAAGAATTCTTCACACAGTCAATATCATGGAAAAATCACAAAGCAACACAAAACAACTGCATCATTCCGAAATCATCCTGTTGCACAAGCACTCTCTCAGAGATCTCTGATGGAATTCGATCAACAATCGGATAGCAGTATGCCAAAGCCAGTTCCCTTCACAACCAGAAAGAAGCAACAGAATGCATCCATGTTGTCTTGCATTCGTGAAAATACTTGCTCAACGAGTACTAGTTGTGAAAAAGTGAAATCAACAACAACAACACTGAAAAATTCTTCCATGTTGTCAGTCATGCAACAATTAACCTTCCATTCCATGAATCCAAAGAGTAATACTACTGGTACTAACAACACTCCTGTGAGTCATCCAAATAATTCTCAGATCTCGTCCACTCAACCTTCACATCTCCCTCAACCATCTACAACAGCAAAATACAATCTCAAAGCCTCCTTCCATCAAGTCAATATCAAAGCTCCCTCTCGAAGTAGTCCAAAAAGAGATCAAAACTATCAAATATTTCACTTTAAGCTCCATAATCGATCATCAGGAAGTACAAGTAGTAGCAGCAATAGCAGTGGTTGTGAAGCTGGCTCAGCCACACAACAAGCATGCCTTACTACTAGTGAAAGGATGCCTATGAGACATATGACGACTCCACTCCTCACTCCCATATCATCTTCCTCTCATACGATGACCAATCCACCAACAATACCACATCATCATCATCAACCAGCCTCATGTTCCTCCTCGGTAAGCAATACTCCTAGTGTGGGTACCTTTAGCTCTCAACAAAGTGGTACCTCCCATCATCATCATCAAGATGAAGAAGAAGAGCCTCTTTTCATCATTCTCTCTCCATTCCGAGAAAATAGTTCGGAATCTCCTCTCACTCTCAAAATTCCTAGTATCAAGTATTTGGAGAGAACCATCTTTAGTGAACCCATTTCGAAAAAGTATTGTGCAGCTTCAACGTCTTCCTTTTCGTCTCCAACCACAACTCGTAATGAAATGGAAAAGATTTTCAAGAATTACATTTCGGAAAAAGAACTGCTCACGAGCCATTTGAATTTGAACTCGACCCTCTCCAAAAACATCTAATTGAAAATACCAAATTATTGGAATTATTAAAAATTCATATCTCTTGTGTGATTGAAATTTGTGAATATAAAATTCAATAACAAGCTTGTGTGTGAAGTTCATGCATTTTTTTAAATTTTACTTAAAAGAATTTCGTGACAACAGAAACTTCTCAACCTTTACCGACGCTCAATTGGCTCTACATCAGAGTAAATATCTTCAATGGGTTTACCCAAACAAATTTCAAAACAGTTCCAAATATCTAGCACAGGAAGCCATCGATGGGAAAAGCCAAACAGGGCAACCCAGTCATATTGATCAATTTTCTGGTGTCGGTAACAACAGCAGCATGTGCAGCACCAAAAACAAGCAAAGCATGTGCAATTAATATATCGAAGTGAAGGATTCGAGCAGCATTTGGTACAACATTGATCTACTGTTCCCACTACTGGAACCAGAGTCTTGGTCTCATTTGAAATGGTGAAAGTAATGGCTGACACTTCCTTACTGGGATAGAGCGGAACGGTGAGCTTGTTCAGGCATGTTTTGCTGATGGTACGATCAAACTCTAACGTTAAGAATTCGTATTGTAATCCGAATACATTGCGTGTACAATTAATTTCTTCATAGCAAACATCTTTTTCAAATTTTTGGTAGCAATATTCTCGCCATTCTTTTGAGATGGAGAGTTTTGATCTGTAGCAATGCTGGATTGCAATTTTGAAAAACTGCTCTCTTTCCTTTGTATTCATGTAGTCAAAGGCAATCATATTTAGAAAGTGAATGACTTCCTTATCAAATTTCTCTATTTTTGGTAATGAATTCTTTCCATTCAACACATTGTATTTATATCTCCTGAGAATATTGTCCTGAATGCACAGAAAATTATAAAACACTTGTCGAGACTTGACATTGTCACATGTCTTTGAAAAATGTTTAAGTTTCCGAAGAATATTTTTGCTATACGTCTTCCTCAACGAGAAATTTGTTTTCTCCATCAAGTTTACAAGTCTATGCCTCATTATAACATAAAGAATCATGTTGGAAATAAATTGCTTCTCGATCGATAAATATTTGATAGCTTGAAATCTGTACAAGGCCTTAAAATTTTCATGTACTATCCCTTTTTTCAGATCAATACTTTCTTCTGGTGTAGATAATACAAAAGCAGAATATATACAATGACCTTCCTCCTTGTTGTTAACCGTGACAACAGAGCTATTCAATGCTGATCCATTGGCTACATGTACATGAAGGATAAACTTCTTAAACAATCGGCAAGCGTTCACCGTCCAATGTTTCGTGTCAACAATAAGTGGATACTTATTTTTCCAATTTTGAATGTAATGAGATAGTGGTACATGTTGAGATTGTAAAACAGGATCATTATATGTAAGAAAAGTGTCCAACGATGAATGGCTGTCATTGTCTGAAACGAGTTTAAAACAGCTATTTTCAATATTCTCCAACAATGAGTTGAAATTGTCCCATGAAATTATTATTTGTGCTTCGTTATTGGAAATAAGCTTAAACGACTCATTAAATATTGACTTCCAATGTCCCAATATTCCGTACTTGAAATTGATGTCTGAATTGGTAATTCCTATTTCAGCTATTCTCACATACAACGTTGGAAGATATAAAGATTCCAATCGTTCTATCAGATCATGATCATAAATAACACTTTCTAAATCTTGAAAATCATCTCGGAGCAAATCAAATCCACCTGATATCAACCAATACAAATTCTTACACGAGTACTTTAATGATTCAATATCTGTCGTTTCGGAACAAAACTTTAAAATGACAGAGAGTACGTCTTGGTTGATATCTTTCAAACTCGCATGTTGTGTACTAATCTGTTCGTGTTGGAGAGAATGATTTCTTCTTGTCATCGATTGATGATCATCCTCACCGTCGCGATGATTTGCCAACAACAATTCTGAACGTTCATCTACAACCAAATTTTTCATTTTTTTAACTCAAGTCGAAAATTACAATCGAAAAGAGTTTTTCCGGAGAAAATCTTGATCTAACGTTCCCATTTCGTTGTTTTTCTGTGGGAGTCAAGTCGACAAGAGAACACGATAGTTGTGTGTTTGGTACGATCAGAATTATGGAGAGCAGCGTCCTTTGTACCAAAAATTCCGAGTGGTATTGTCAGCCAATGAGGATTGAGAATTGTTTATTGCAATACTGAATCCATTCTCATCCTTTGTCATGCGAGGGAATGAGAAATACCTTTTAGCATGCTGACCCGCTTATCCAGTCAAACGTCAACTTCTATTACAGTCGTTTCTTCCATTCAGAAAAATGTGTACAACTACAACTCTGACCTCACGCACGCCCCTTCATCGTGTTCTTTTGATGGTGCTGTTGCTTCTCTCCATGATCATCATGCTCCTCTCATCACAAGATCACATGGTCCATGCAACAACAAGTGAATGCAGACAACCCGGAGGCAATGTCAATCAAAAGAAGAAACGTGGAACGGTTCTTGTCTCCATGGCCATCGAATCACTCCACGATGAAGTCGAATCTCAACTTCTCTCACATGTTTTCGAATTACAAGAACAAGCTCTCACACAAGGCCGAACTCTTGACGATGAAGATCTCGAATTTACAAATCATCTCGAAGAAGAGCTCATGAATTCGAGTGAACAAGTTGCAAAAGTTCTATTCGGACGTCGTTTCAGAAGATTGGGTCGAAGATTGAGACGAATGGGACGTCGTCTGAGAAGAGTCGTTCGACGTGTGAGCCGTGTTGTGAGAAGAGTTGTTGCTCGTGTTGCTCGTGGCGTTGGACGAGTGGGTCATCTTCGAAGACTTGGTCGAAGATTTGGTAGAAGATTTGGTCGAAGATTTGGTCGAAGACTTGGACGTCGATTAAGACGATTGGGAAGACGATTGGGTCGAAGACTGAGACGAATTGGACGTAGAATTGGTCGTAGAATTGGTCGAGGATTGAGACGTTTGGGAAGAAGACTTGGAAGAGGATTGAGACGATTGGGAAGGTAAGTGTGTGTGTGTGAAATTTCAGTTGTTTTCGAATCATTGTTGTTGTTGTTGACTCTCTCTCTGATCATTGTGTCAATTTGTTGGAATCATGGTTTGTCGATGATCACGTGTTATTCCTAAAATATGGATGACTTTTCACACTTTTTGAAACAGAGCGTTGGCAAGAGCTGCCAAAGCTGTCATTAAGGTCTTGAAAAAAGTCCTCAAAGAAGTCACAAAAGTGTTCTCTCCCAAAGCTAAAAGTATGTACATACTCTCGTGTTGTGATTGTACTCATTTCTGCTAACATTCATTGGAAATGCATCAATCTCATTCATGAACAAATTTTCATCAATTTATTATTATTATTATTACTATTTCAATTTATTATTTTTATTATTATCATTTCAATTATTATTATTATTATTATCATTCAATTATTATTATTATTACTATTTCACACACTAAAATCATTTCTTACTCCTTGTGTCAAATCAAAAAAAAAAAACATTAGAAATTATTGCCACCTCTGTCCGTTCATTCAACGGTGCTACAGGACCTACCAATGCAGCCAAAGAAAATAGAACTCCTTTCACTTCACATTCGGCGGAACAATGTGTGGCTTGTCGTGTCGATTGTATGAAACATTATCATGTCGCAGGTGGATCTTTATTTTCTAAATGCAACAAGCGATTCAATTATTATGGATGTCAATCGGTAGCTCCATGTCTTCATCCTTCCACAGCTACGGATTCTGAAATTGAGGGAATGATTGGTGTTTGTGTCGTGAGAAATGCATGTCAATTGAATCGAGCAGTGTGGGGAGATATTATTTGGGGACAAGAGAAGGTCATACTTCAACGAGTGATTGGAAAAGTGCGTGCTTCGAGTATTTCACCTGAATAATGTAAGGATGCTGCATATTAAAATTGGACACGTTGGAAATTTGATCACAATTGTTTTTTTTGAATGAAGATTGTTTTAGGAATTGGCAATAGTTTTGATTTCTTTTTTTTTCAAACTCTCGGTGGGCTTGAAGAAGAATTGAGGATGATGGTAAGGTCACTCAATTCAAATACATTTGTGTGTTCAGACACGAACTAACTCTTTTCATAGCACTCTCAGTAATGTCTTGGTTTGGATGACTCAAAAACGTCAACTGTCAAAACCATTTCACATCCAAGCGCATAAACATCTCAAAAAATGTCGCCAACAACATCAACTACTCGACCTTCACTCCTCTTGGCATCACTCCTGTTATTATTCCTTCTCTGTGCATGGATTCAAACAGTGCCACTTGTCAACGCCACGACCAGCGAATGTCGTCAACCTCAAGGATCCGTCAGCGGTGCTCGTAAAGGTGGTGTTCTCTCTCATGATGAAATTGAAGATATCGTTGAAGGACATGTTCTCTCCCGAGCTCTCTCTGAAGACTCTGAACATTCATTGAGTGAAGAAGATTTAGATATTTTGAGTGAACATGCTGAAACATTGAGTGAGGAACATCATGTCTTGTTCCGTCGATTCGTTAGACGTTTGGGTCGAAGAATTGGACGTGCCTTCAAAAGAATTGGTCGATTTATTGGACGTGTCTTGAAGGGACTTGTTCGTTTTTTAGGACGAGTGTTTGGTTTCTCGAAAAAGGCCAAGAAGATTATTAAAGACTCTCTCGGGGATTATAATGGAGCGACTGGTCCTACGAAACACAAGAAGGAAAATCGATTGCCATTTGTGGGTCATATGGCACGAGCTTCATGTATTGCTTGTCGTGTGAATTGTATGAAGTCTTTTAATGCATTGGGAGGTCCATTGTTTTCTTCATGTAAGACTCAATATTATTATTATGGATGTCGACAAACTGCTCCATGTTTTGAACCAACAACTGCTGAGGATTCTGTCATTGAAGGAATGATTGGTATTTGTATGTACAGAAATGGATGTCAAGTGGTTCGTCAATGGAGTCAAGTGGGTTTGAATCCTTTGGTGTTACAAAGAGTTATTGGTAGAATTAGACAGTCACAAGTGAGTGCTGAATAATATTATATAATATTTGACTGTCGTCATCATCGATAACGAATATTCTGTGTTGGTGAAGTAAATTTTTTACTGAACTTGTGCTTGATCTTAATATTTTGTCAGTTACTTTGTAACAGTGTGACACACAGATCTTTGTAAGAACACGTTTCAACAAAATTGTGTGGAACAGCCATTGTGGACCTTATGCATGAAGGTACTGTTTGGTAAAGAGTTGAATGAGAAGTTTCGTATTCTCATCGGTTCCAACATGTTGTGTCAGTTCTTCAATGAGCTCACTTCTCAGTTTCTTAATGGGCTCTGAATGACGGTCGTGTCCTTGTTGCAGTACATCTTTTTGTTTGCTCAAATTTTTGATGAGAATGGGAAGGAAAGAACCAGGTTTCACACAAGCAGGAATTTCCAGCTTTTCACCGTCAATGAAAATCGATTCACAACTGTCATTGGATGTCGTACTTATATTATCCAAATTTGACATACTAAAGAGTTCTCCAAACAATTCATCATCAAAGTTGAAAGTCGATGAGGGTAATGGAGCTTCGTTCAAAAAGCTCATTATATCAAAACCACTGTCATCTTCAAAATCAAAATCATTTGCAGCATTGGACTGATTCGTTGTTGTTGTTGTTGTTCCATTGTTATTACTGCTGGCATCCGTACTGGTCGTTGTTTTCACGTTATTATTCGAAATGAGAGGTTGTACCAAGGTGGCCTGTGAAAATGATTGTAAATAGAGGACTGTTTCCACCTCTCGAATCAAATCACCGTAGAGTTTGTTCACAATTGGATACTTGCTCGTGAGTGTCTTGAGTGCTGACAAGTCCTCTCGTAAATTCATTGACGAATGGAAACTTTCAGCTGGTTTACCATATTTCAGTCGTACTCGAACGGCCTTAATGATTGTACTGATGAAAGGCGTTGGAAGGAAAACAAAGAGTGGGAGTTTGGTAATTTCAATAACATCTGCTGCGAATTTGAGCATGGTTTCTGTTTTCTTTGTCACTGCTCTCTCATAGACGTCAAGAACTACATCCAAGAAGTTCAAATAACTGGTAATGTATAGTATGGAATCCTTGTTCATCATGGTAGAGAACAATAAATCAATGTACTTGCTTAGGAATTTCGTCAGACGATCTAATTCTTCCATCTCGTCGTCTTGAATATGTTCCCAATCTTGAATAAATGTCAAATCAATTCTAATCTTATTTCCAATGTGTTGCAGTTTTCTCACGAGAGAATTTGTTGGTTCTTCAAACTCTGCCAGAAATATTTCAATAGGTCTCAAATATCGATGCACTAACAAAGCAGGCAATCCGTACATGATGTTCGAAACAAAACTAGAACTGCCACTCATAATGCTTGACATTTTTGATAATTGACTCACCACAGGCTTAGCTCCATTCACAAAACCTCGTGAACCAATACCAAAACAATGCATGGTACCCCAAACTTTTTGACATAGAGATTCAATCATTGAAGTGTACATTCGAGCACGTTGAAGGTCACCTTCTCCTACGAGATAATAAACAAGGAATGTTAAAGCAATGGGTATAGACATTCCATCCATGTCATCAAAATATTTTCCAATAATGGCTTTAGAATTGTTGAACCACTTATTCTTTAAATCTTGAATAAATAAATCGTCATGATTCGAGTCCATACTTGAAGAACCACTACCCATGGATGACTCTAGAGGTGACTCAAATGGTTGTTGATTGGTTTGATGCAAATGAATGGATGCACCAGCAGAATGTATCAAATCCAGATTGTTTGCACAATTTCGATATTGTTGATACACAAAATTTCCAGAACATTGTAGTGTGGCTGCCAAGACTGCAAAAAACACAGCCAAATCTTTTTCCATATCTGTTGCTGAGGACCAATTTGTTTGGCAACTTTGTCGTAGAAATTCTTAATTTGAATACCGAATGATTGTTGTAATTCCGCAGTAGGAGCAAGTTGTTGTTGCTGTTTGAGAAGTACAAGGTCTAAGAGAGCTGTCATTCTCTCTTTTGGAATTAATGGAAATCCAAAACTGTAGGTATGAAAATAAATATCGAGTACAAATGCTGTAATGGGCTTGACTGCATGTTGAACTTGCCCTGTTGGTGTGGATATGGACATGATGGGTGTCACTTCTGCGGTATGGCGGGTTGAAACTTTCCTGTAAATGCAGTAATTAGTCCAGGTGGAACATTGGCTATTAAGGAATTTAATTGGCCAGGATTTCTCGAGAGTGCATTGGCAGCCATGTCGAAAAGTTTGAGTTGTGTGGTACTATCAAGCGTGGCAAGTTTTGAGGAAATTGCAGAAAGTGACAATGGGGATTGAATGGATGCTGACGCCGCCTCTAACAAATTATTAGTTGAGAAATTGGTTGAGGATGGTGAGACTGTTTGAAAAGTTGGTTGTTGTTGTGGAGAACCTAATTGTGACGAGGAAGAGCTCACTACCAACGGAGGAGGAGGTGACTTTTGTAATGAATTGGGTTTTTCTTGAGAGGAAGAAGAGGATGACGCTTTTTCTGCATGATGATTCGTCTTTTTCTTCTTATTATTATTATTACTATTCATTTCTGGATAGAGACAAATATGATTCGTTTGAATACATCGGGAACAATTGGGTAAACTTCGATCACACTATTGAAATATATTATATTATATAATATCATAAATATATTTTGAATATCAATATCATTATCCTCTGAGGTATTTCCTAACCTACCTTTTTGTGCAAACTTCTACAGTGTTGGCACGACATGGGAGCGAATTCTCCAGACGCTTGAGGCTTGTGAAGTTGTTGATAGAACGTTGCGTTTTTTCTCTTCTTTCCTTCTTCAGGATGAGTTGGATTTGTTGTTGATGATGGTATCATCATGTTGGATGATGGAATGTTGTTTTCTCCTCCTCCGATGGGAGTAGAAGTATTGAGAGGAAAGGAAGACAAACCCATCTCCATAACGGTTTCATGAACGGAAGTTACGCCTCTTCTTTTTCTACCATTGCTAGAAGATGATGATAATGTAGTATAATTTCCGTTACTTGTTTGTTGTGGTTGTGGTTGTTGGAGAGTATTTTCAAGATGATTCGTCATGATGATCTTTCAATGAGAGGCTGATGATAAAAATGACTCTAAATCCCGATGATGAACCACAACAACGGATTCCAAGGAATGGGGAGAAACAACGCAGTGGTGGTGGTGGTTGAATTTTCTTGGGTTAACTTGTTGTTGTCGTTGATAGTAGTTGGATTCTTACTCGATATCCTCCAATCGGAACAGTAATGTGTTGCTATTGAGGATGATTTTCGCACAATTTTTTTGTTTTGGAATCTCCCATCATATGAGGATAAATTCGTTCCTAGTTGAATCAAACGTTGGGTGTTTCTGTTCTCAACAAAATATATTAGAGAATCATGATATGAAGATATGATGATGATGAAACTCAAACAAAACGAAAGAAAAACTGAAAGTTCAAAAAAAAAAATAATTTTTCATTAATTCTCGCTGTGGTCCATCCCGATGACGGCAAGTCATTTTGCACAAGCCCAACAGATCATGCAAGGCTTGTTGGATGTGATTCGGAATGATATCATGAGAGAGGAGGAGGAGATCATTTCTATATCCAATCAGGAAACAGAAATGAATCATCGTGGTACGAGTCATTCAGCACAAATGATGCAATCACTTCCAATGACTTTTAAGAAATCATTGGAATATTATTTATTTCATTTTCCGATCATGTTTCAATCACTCTCGTGTAAATTTGTACAATTTTTGGCGAATATTATTTGTGATTTGGCATTTGGAAATTTATCATCACGACCCAATACCAACAAATTAGAGGATGTTTATTACAAAATTATTTTTCGGAGGAAACACTTGTGGATTGAGTTGATAAAAACATTATTTAAATCTCAAGAGTATATAGTATCGAGGAGTTTTAAAAGCTATTCAACTTCTCATTCAATAGCTCACAATGTTTACATAACAAAATCGAAGAAGGACTCAAATTCTTGATCACTAACTTTATTCAATCTATGAGAACTATTCTACAGAACGAAATTAGCAATTTAAATGAAACTGAGGAGCAACTACAACACAATGACTCGGCTGTAAACGATACATTATTGAGTACTTGGTTTTACTTACTCATTGATTATTGCTTTCTTGACAGGATTCAAAATGATTTGTCAAATCTACTAGACCCCAAGTTTAAAAACTATGCATTGTTTGGTACTTGTGATGGACATCGACGGCTAATTGTGTTTTATCTAGATCCTGTAGATTCTCAAAACCTAAGCTCGAGGATAACACAGATTGCTTCTCTTATTACGAAAATGATCGCTACCGGTCACAATCACAAGGAAATACCTCAATCGAGAGTTGTTAGTACAAGCGAAGGCGAAGACAACAACATTTATCGAGATCTCATGAAACCATTTATTGAACTTGTCATCAAAAAGGAACGAAATATTGATGTTCCTCTAGTCACCAATTTTGTGGAAAAACACAAAATTCTAAGAAACTTTTCCAATCTAGAGACTTTTTTGTCAAAATTTGTACACACCATAAGCTCCATGTCCTCACACTCGTCCGATTTTTTACATCACGAAATACTTGAAAGAAATAATTCGACAATATCACATGAATTTGACACTATCGATGAGAGAAAACTAGAAATAATATTGACCAATACTTGCAAATTTGTAGTTGGTTTTGTGAAATATTATTTCGATGAGAAACTAGTAGATGAAGCCCAAATACTATCTGTGTGGTCAATTTTTGCTTCTCTACAAAATATCAACACTTCTAAGAATATTACTACACCTATTTTACAAAATAATTTATTTCTACAGCTCTCTATACCCACGCTCGTCAAATTATTGAAAATCTTTGAAAAGAGGGAACATTGTACTTTTTTAGAGAACAACCAACTCTTTGCAATTACCAATGATTCCAAAACATTATCCATGACGTACGAACTTGTTGAAAGCATGTGTTGTACCCTATTTTTCATGACAATTTCATCCAACTCGGTGGCAGAACACTTTCCATCTATCCTCTCAGTTTATAAGCTATGTGACAAGTCCTATTTTAAAATTCTGCTCTCCAAAGTTTGTAAAGTTATCATGATAGATATAGTGAACCGATATAAGGGTTCCTCCCTTTCAGAATGTATTGTAGCTTCTACTACTTGTAACGATTCCTATCATGCTCATGTAAATACCTTCATTCACTTTTTATCAAGTGGAAGTAATGAAGAACAGTCATTTGTGGATATTTTAAACTATCTAATGCAAGAAAGCAAAACTCAACCCTTTAACGATACCTCTAAATTTCTCATTCATACTTGCTTGTATTGGGCAACGATATTTCATTACTCGGAGAGTATCAAGTAAGTATTTTTATGAATGTTTTTTCAAAAAGCAACATTTGTGTCAATACTTCATGCAGTTTCAATTTTTTAACATGGCTTTCCAATGTTATTTCCAATGACGAACACAAGCTTGCACTGTTAATTTGCATCGATGAAAGAATTATCTTTGAAGATGTAAATCATGCAAGAAATTTCTTAATAGCTCCCATTGAAGGAATTGATGACGATGCTTTGGACTTGCTGTCTGAATCCTATCGAATTTCCATTTTATCAAAATTTTCCAATCCACAAGTGCTAAGCCATGATGAGCAATTCGAACCTAAAAAAGTATCCAAATTGAAAAAGTTAATTCGATTATATAATAACGATCCCAACGAATTGTTAAATTATTTCAATCAAGGAACTATTGAAGAGCAAGAACTTTGTTGCCGTCAATGGAATTCTCTCATCACTCGCACAACTCTACCAAAAAAGGCAACAGCGTTGTTTAATTTTTTACGAATTTCACTTCCAGAACGTCATCCTTTTCATAGTATATTTGCGTTTCGAACAATAATGGATCAAGAATTGAGTGAATTGGATTCCCTATTGAAAAAGAAGAAATTTTTGCACACGCGCCTAGATGCTAACGGTCTTGTTGATACAAATTCATTATCCTTGACTTTATTGAAATTAGTGAGAAATGATTCAGATTCTTCTCATGATACTATTGTTAGAAGCAACTCTCCTTTATTCAAAATGATTGCAGATATTTTCGAAAAGTACCAAGATTGTTTCCTGATCAAAACGATTTTTCATCATTGCAAAACATTATTCGTGGACATGTGTAACAATTCATCATTTTCACTCTTGCATGCCCAACGAATGATCAAAGTATTTGAAATGGTTCTACGCCACACAGATGCTTCAGAAATGACTTCTGCATTTCTTGACTCCATCTTTGATGCACATACATGTAAATTATTCATTTGGGAAAAGGGAGCCAATGAAATGCCATTCTTTATGAAAACAATATTCCAACTCGTGACGACCAGCAGTACTGAACATTCCAATCCACACCCTTCGTATCCACTATTTTTTCAGAGATCGTGCATTCTATTTTCTCATCCAGAATATTTGAACGTCTTGCAAGATGAAGAAGAAGTGCACTGGTGGTCCTCTACTCTAACAGTCACTTTTCAACACGCAAGTTTTGCATCTGTTGTGAAATTTAGACTTTGGTTGTTTTGGTTGCCAGATTTGATATCCACTCGTGGAATATGGAATGTTAGTAGTGATCATGGCACAACCACAAGAGAATACATTCATACGATATTGGAATTGTTTATGTATGAGAGAAAACATGTCAATGTTGATTCATTTCTGAAGGAATGTTTTATGGAATTGTTGAGCATTGGCGTTCAAGTGTTATCGACATTACCGTCAATACTATTTTCAGAGTTGAGAAGTTTTGATAAGGACGCAGAAATTTCTTTTAATATTGAAAGGCTCAATCAACCACTTTCTGAACAAGTTGTTGAAAATTCAAATCATTACCGACGACATTGGTTTTTAGAATCTTTGGCCATCTTGTCAAAAATACCCATGTCCATTCAAGAGTGTACCTTATTGGCTGAGAAAATTGATTTTACGATTCGTGAAATTTTTGAGAATGTGACCTTGCTACAAAAAGTGTGGATCCTGAAAGTGTGTGGACTGTTTTTTCCTTGTTGACCTCATCTCATCCTCAATTATTTTCATTGAGTCCCCATTTATCATTAACATTTTTGGAATGGTCGGTACAATATTATCAGATGCCAAGTCGTCGACTCGACCAAGAGGATCAGCAAACAGCAGCAGAACAAGATCAAAATAATATGAATCAACCACTCCTCGTCAATGACGAAGAAGATGAAAATCATAGTAATCCAATTCTAGAGTTTTTACAACAAGAGGAGGACACTTTTTCTGCAGTTTTGAATATTGCTGGAAATTCTTTGAAATCTTTATTTCAGGGAAAAAGAAAACGAAAGAAAGTAGATCTTGCAGATATTATCTTGGCAAAGAAAACCAAGTTGTGAGATCGCACGTATGGTTAATTAACACAACTCTTCAGGTAGAAGAAGTCCTCTAAAGAACTCGTATGATTTTTGAACAACATTGGTTTCTGTCACTGCAAATGGCTGTAAAATCTCAGAATCTTGCAAGAGCTTGTTTTTGTGTTTCACAGATTTGATATTTGATTTTTGTTTTCTTATGGCAATAGAATCAAGAAAGGTACCGTGAAGCATTCTAAAGGATTTAAGGGCAGGCTTCAAAGCATCTCTCAGTGCATTACTCTTTTCAACAGCCTTTTCACACTGAAATTGAATCGATAAATCCAAATGTTGTTCCGTAGAAAACTTGTCATACTTCTCTAAATGGTCTGATTTTTCAGAAAATAGAGTGTCAGAGGTAGGGCTCATTCCCTTTGTGTAAAGAACAATGGACCTTCGAACATTTCCAATTCTTTGCAAGTAGGTGGCATTGTCTTGTGGCATGTCAAAATGAATAACAACTGCTCGAGATGCATCTTTACATGTGGGTGTGTGAATCATGCCATCATAGACAAAATGAATGGTTGTTTTCTTTGTAAGTGATTTGTAATCTTTCGTTTGTGTAAATAAGGAAGAGTAGTATTCACAAAGTTCTGCATTTTCAAAATAAATAAATATGGTTTGAAATGTTCTATATTTTGCGAGAAATCCTAATAACGAGAATGAGTAAACTAATTTGAGAGGATAATTCACATAGATGTAAGAATGTCGTTGCTTACTCTTATCCATCTCAATGGATTGTTTGATGAGAGCATCTTCAGCTAAAATATCACTCATTTTCACAAATGGAGGATGTGCTCTTGTCAAATTGTTCAAGACATATTCTGAAGTCTTACTCGATATGGAATTGGAGTAAAATAGAGTCTGACGAGAAGTTTTTTGTGGTAAATATTTGCAAACTTCACTTAGAGTATTGAATAACTCTGAAAGTCGGCCATAATAATCATTTCCTAAGTGAAATACGACACACCGTAAAGATTTTGAGAATAAATCCGGCCGCTCCTTCAGCACTCGAATAATATGACTTAATGTTGAAATCACAATAGAGCTTTCTTCAATTTCTTCTTCATTTTGTGCAAAAGAAATAATACCAGATTCTAGAGACGAAGGTAAAGTTGTTTCAACGGTTGTTTTCAGAGTTTTTAGCAGCTCCTCTGAATCTAATAGTACGAGTCCTAAATTATTAAGCTTCTTAGATTTTGTAACCTTATACACATTGGTGAGTAATGGAATTAAATACGACAATGCACAATCTTCCAACACATTATTCTGAGCATCAAACGATGAGTAACTTCCTACTGAACAATATTCGCAAACGACATCCTTTCCGTTCAAAATATTATCAAAAACAACGCTTTGAATGAGAGAAAGAAAAACATTTTCTTCATTATCTCTATTCAATAAATCTTTCCTAACTATTGGATGAATGGCGTTACTGTTAGTGATGTGAATTAATTTAGAAGTTGAAGCAAGCGAGTTTTTGGTGGCTCCCTTTCCTTCCGATGACGTTAAACTATGAGATGAGGTAAAACCTGGTTGATTGTTCATACATTCATCTAATTGATCAATATATCCTTGATAGGATTTTTGTTGATATGTTTTTGCAACGTTGTTCGGAGCATCCATCTTTCGTTTCTTTTGTTGCTCCGATGAGGACTTAGATGTTGTTTCTACTTCATCTTGTTTACTTCTCTTCTTCAACATGCTTTTTGAATGAGCGGATGCCTTTTGTATCTTCTCTTTGAGATTCATTTTTTTTTCTTTTTTTTTGGTACGATTACACGAAATATTCTCAACATTTAAATTATTTTAATTGAGCTTGACACTTGGTTCTGAGAGCCATTTGAATTCAATTTCTTCTTGTCCTCCCATGACAATGGATGGATAGACTGGTGTTTGGATCTTGTAAATGGTTTGAGTGTTGTTTGAACTCTTTGACAGATTACGGAAAGTGAGCTTGCGACTTTCACAATCCATGGTCAACTCAATTTCATCACCGGCTTCGAATGGGAATGAAGAGGATGTATATTCGGTTGGCATCCATCGATAAGAGTTGGCAGAACACATGTAGCAGCCATGACTCTTGTAGGGCGAAACAAAGTCGTCAAATACTTTGTTTTCTACTTTTTCTTTGAGAGCCACACCAATTCCTAACCAAAATACAAACTTGTTGACCTTAATCCTCCAAGTGTACACTCCAAAATTCATTTCAGTATTGTTGTAAGTCTTGATGTAGGCATATTGAGAAGCTGTACCGGTAATAGAAATAAGAGAATGGTCGCTATTTGATTCTACTTTAAAATCATCCTCTGCATGAAGAAATTCAGAGGATGTCTCGCTTTCTTTGATACCATATTCCTTACCAGTGTCCAAAGAAGAGCACTTCACCACTCCATATCGCAAATTCTTTTCAACTTGTACTAGTTCAGTTAATCCATCTCCACGATGTTGTAAATCATGCAGAGTCCAATCAGAGAGGAATCTCAAAAAGATCAAAGATGGAACAACAATTCCACTGATAGTATTATGCTTGAAAATATAGAGCATTTGATCGGTATTAAATTGCTCAATTAATATCTTTCGAGATTGTTCATTCTTTTCAAGTTCGAAAAAGAATCTCAGAATTGTAAAAACTGCTCTTGTCATGATCTGTTGCTCATGTTCATCGAGAGGTGCCTTGTCACGTGACACATAATGATTGTACATGACCGTAAAGTAACCCAAAGAATCAAGCGGTTTCATATGCCGTTGTAAATGTAAAGCAATTTTTTCTTTACACTCCTTGAAATTATATTCGAGCACAAGAACTAATACACCCATCAGACTCTCGGTCGAACAATCAAACTGATCATTACTCAAATAATTTAGAATACATTCCATATATTCTTCCTTTTCTTTTCCAATCTCAATAGTGTACTTGTCAGTAGTAGAACTGCCTTGTAACCAACGATTGGCAAATTCAGGACTCTCCTTCCGAACCGATTCTCTATTGACTTTAAATTTCTTTCCGAGCGAGGAAAGCTCGATGGTTGTATCACCCTTACCCGAAGCCACTGATTTCGGAAAGGAAAGACTATTCTCACTACTGGATAATTTCTTAAAGGTCTTGCTCAGCCATCCAAGCATTTTCAATAACTGTTTTAATGATGTGTGAGTGTTCGTTGTTCTCTGTACAGATGTTTTGATCACTACTGATCCGATGAAATGAAAAATTATGTAGCATTGATTTTGTGGACAATGAAAATCATCACCAAAAATTTAATATATCAATTAGTAGTTAATAATCATGATCTAATCGCAACGCTCGAGAGTTCCGTACCTGTCCAAAGCAAAGTGTGTTGATTTTGGGTTTTTTTTAGTGTTTGAATTGTTTCGACTTCCAAGTTCATCTGAACTACAGCGTGTTGAGTAGGTGCTCAAAGTGGTTGGCGAGAGTTTGTGTTTGAGAGAGCAGTTGTGTCATGAATGTGAAATATACTTCTTTTCATGATGGAAACATTGTTTTCTTAGGAATGGAGAAATGAAAAAACTGTTCCAGACATGGTCATGGGCAGTGGTCGAAACAGATTCAATGTTGAGCTCTTTCAACAAGTGTGGTTCAATAGAATAGGTTAGGAAGGAAATAGAACAGTGAGAAAATCCATGAGTTCGTGTTGTGTGAAAGCTTCCTCAATAGTGGTCTTGAGTACAGTGAGTGAATAGACTGTTTGCGTTGTGCTTTCTTGTTTGGTTGTTTTACTCGAGAATAAATCACCAGTGTTGAATAATCTCAGAGTGTTTGGAGGTTGTTGAGTGAGTGGTTTTGTGGAGTCTCTGTGTTGAGCGAAGAGTTTTCGAAAATAATTTTGTACCTTGTCTGTTTCTTGTAACTCTTCCAGTTGTAGTGACAATATATTCCTCAGCCGTTTTTGCTTCTGTTGTTTCATTGTCAACTCTTCAACAAGTGGATCATATAACAATCTCGTACCATCATGGTGATGCGGCGTAAAACTGGACTGATAGAGAAGGAAAAATTCTTTGAGAGGTGAGTCAATTTCTCGTGAAAATATAAAATTTTGAAAAGAGTCCAGACTGACACAATCCGTCATGTCGTTTTTCGTCCACATAATATTGGAAAAGAAGGAAACAATTTCAGCTCGCACTTGTTCCAAATGTAAAATTTGCAGTTTAAATAAGGAATGAATATCAATTCCATTCAGGTCAAAATTAGTGAACACTTCGGTTATTGAGTTGTCTGTTATCACGAAACCTGAATTCTTCAAATTTACGCCTAACAATATTTCGAATTGTTTGTATTGTTTGAAAATAATTTCAAACTTTTTCCTTATCATGGAAATTAAAAAATTACATCTTTTCATCTAACGATTACAGAGTGTTGAAGGTCCTAATTCTGTCCATATTCATGACAAATACATACAATTTGTTTGATTTGGGAAAATATAATGACAATGTTTCTCTTTTTTCTACAATGATTAAATTTCTCAGAGCTCCAAACTAAATCCAATCGTCGCTGTAAATAATAATCCAACAAATCAATTTTAGCTTCAAACACTTTAAAATCCCACATATAATGAATACATCTATTTAATTCCTCTTCCATTCCATGATACTCGTCTTCATTGTTCTCGTATAAATATTTTCCAATATCTTCAATATTACAATTCCGATTCACAAAATGATGTATCCATTGTTTCATGCTCTCCATCAGCTCATCACGCGTATTCAATAAATATTTTTCATTGGACAGAACAATCCGTAAATACTCAACTCCTTTTGAATTTCCGAATGGTATCAAATCAAATAACTGTTGTGATTGATGAGTTTTTGCATTTAATTCATCATCATGTATTTTTCCATCATCGGAAGTAGTATTTGTGCTCGAATTCAAATAATACTCTGTTGTCTGCTTCATAGTCATGGCTCTTCTTGCGCGATCTCTCGCTCTGAAACAATGCAATTTGAGTAATTCGGCAAGTGCTTGCTGTTGAACCATTTTTTTAGGA